ACGCTGTTCCATAAAGCTGTTGCAGGAGCTGGCCAAACTCGCCAGTTTCTTGACAGAGTGTGACATTTCCGATGTGCTTACCTTTGTCTTGTCGTTGAGTGTTGTTGACTTTTCTTAGCTGGATCTTCCGTCGGCCCGTATGGCAGGTACGTATATTACAGGGAGAATGCTTGGGTTACTTAGCGTAGTAAAGTGCTGCTACTTAAGGCCGATAACATATTCAGAAATTAACCTTTGAGGTTTTGTGTGCTAATTAACATGTTGTTCAGTGTTGTGATTATTTGTATCTTTCGCATGTTCTCATGTGAGCATTTGATGCAGAAGTTGCATAGCCTTGCCGTTTTCCAGCTTTGCATCTAAGCTCATGTGTTTTTGATTCTTGGCCATATACACACCCTACATAGACCCTTAAACCATGCCTGTCTGCTGGCCAGTGTGTGAGCCGAAACCTTAAACCCCAGTTTTATCGAGTCCACTTGTGGAGCCTCGGGCCCGGCAAACCCTTGCCGAGTTGGGTGCATACCCATAGGCTCCATAGTAGTTCCTGTTTGGGGCTCATATTTAGAATTCTACAAGGTAATCCCAAGCCTGAATACTTCCTAGGATTGTCCTCATAAGCTCAGAATTGTTGTTTCTCGGGGTTTGTGATCTGATTAGAAGTTACAACCATACGACGTACGTATGATATATCTAAAACCACATTTAAAGTATTCGGTCGCTTCTGCTAGTGTACGGTCTAGGGGTTGCCTTTCGGGCCGCGGGAGTCCGGGCTCTTAGTGTTTATTAGGGTTTACGCAGGCTGTCGGAACTAAGAGCGTGAAAGTAAGGCACTCCGGGAACCAGGTCGCAATCTCAAGAGCACATACCTCGCCGAACACCAACCCGAAAGGCCAAAACCCAGAGGCCTACAGACCTTGAACCCAAATCCCTTCAGACCTTCTGATAGGGGTCAGAACCCCAAACCGCGAAATCCTGAACCCATGCACCCACCCTGCCGTAGACGCCTCAAGGCTGAACTAGACCCCCTTGTCGGAGCCACGCCTCAAAAGACCCCTTGCGGGAACCTACTGAGGGTGCCTGTCGTGGTTTCGTTGAGCCCCAGGCCCGAAGACGAGACCGCCGCACGGAGACCCCCACGAGCTCTGGAGCCCAGCAGGGAAATGGCAGGGGATTTCAAGGCTTGGGGTTCAGCCTTTGGGGGCCTGAGGGTTTTAGGGGTTACCTGAAGCAACCGGAACATGTTTTTAGAGTCCTTTATAGCTCACATATTACGGTTCTAGTAAGGACTTTTATAAAAAGTAGGTTGTGGTAGATGAAGGTAGTCCTTAGGGCCTCAGGGCTTTTATTTAGAGCCAATTGACGGTGGGCGGCGACCATTTTGACGTGAGCCAGCAGAATCAGTTGCAACAGCAACAACGACACCGACAAGGACAGCATTCGTTGAATGGTGTAGTGCTATACACTACTATCCCCAACCAGCGTAAACCTAGTTGAAGGTGGTGATGACGGTCGTGACAAAAGCTGCAACACTGGAATGGATGCGGGAAGCTAGGGAACATGCAAACATCAACCGCGAAAGCAACTAACTGGGACGGGAACAATTATCCAAAGCTGTTGTAATTCTTTAAGACTTGAACAAGGACAGCAGCCCCGACCTGTGCAGTGCGTTACCTGTATTATGTTTGTGTCTGTATGTCTCTCTCTCTCTCTCTGTGTGTGTATGTCTCTGTTTGTTTGTCTGTCTGCGTGTGAGCCTGTCTGCCTGTCCGCCTGTCTGTCTCTCTGTTTGTCTGTCTGCCTGCCTGGTGGTCTGTCTATCTGTCTGTCTGTCGATCTGTATTAAATCTGGCTGTATGTATGTGTGTATGTATGCATGTATGCGTGCGCAAGAAAGACTTGCCTCATTTGGTACGCCTTCATGCTCTGATATTATTTTGTGTATGGTTTGTTCAAAACAGGGGGAAGTTGAACAATTCGCGCACGTGTCAGAAACCACTGTGAAATCAATGGCCCTTGTTCAGTTTTTAAAGCACTCTCTAAATAAACCAGGGTGATATCACAGCGAACTGTCAAATCCTCGCAAAGCCTCAGAAAAACTGGTGGGCCCTGGTGGCAGGCATGGATGCATGTGTGTGCGTCGGTAGTACAGTAGGTAGGTAGGTAGGTTTTGGTAGGTATATGAATGTGTACATGTATGCATTGCATTGTTTCGACAACTGGATTCTACTGTACTCGCCAGGGTCTAGAGTCTGATCACGTGCAACAAAGTCCATGCCCCAGGCACCAGTTGTTCCAGCCGCCATGCCAGCGGAACGCCAAAAGGTGGGCTCTTTCGATGGAGGCTGAAGGTTTCGGGTTTCGGGAGTTTGCTGTGGTGGTATTTTGGAGGGGCAAGTCAAGGCTTCAGGTTTCAGTCAAGCGATGGAAAACATCTTGGCTCAGGGGTTCTTGTTCTCACAGCCAGGGTGCCTTGCTGATGTTTAGCTCAGATGTCATGTGGTGGGAGTTTTGACTTACGAACCCTTACTTGAATGTCAGCCCCGCACAAACATCAAAGGTCGAACCCTGCAAAACCAGCTGGATGGTTTCAACATTTTCAACTGGCTCCTCGGATTCGGATCCCAAACATCGTCGCATGATCCCTGAACACTGCGGTTTAGCGTGCATCCCCGAAATCCTTTTGAGAGGTTGATGCGGCAGGCCTTCTGTTTTTGTGACTGATTATTACTATGTTTGCTTTTTGCCTCTTGTTGCTCTTCACGGGTTCCTGGCTTCTCGGTGTGTTGACTTTCACAGCTTGCTGGCTTGTCGGCGTTTTTAGCGGCGCGGTTTTGAGACGCTTCCCGGCTTCCGGTCTTTTGGGCCCCATAGCTTCTTCGGAATCTTAATTCCGCAGACAAGACTAAACGGGGAAGAGGGAGGAAGGAAATAACAAGTAGTACAGTGCAGTAGTAGTAGGAGGAGGAATCCCACTTCGACGACTACTGCTGCCGCTTCCGCTATAAGAATCCTGAAGCCGTATGAAGGTACCAGCGGCAGCACTGCCGGTGCGAGTGGCCCCATTGGGTGATCGCCGGGTGCCGCGGTGTTGACGGCTACGTGCACAATTGAAAGTGGACGCAGGGGTTTACCTGAAATCATTCTGTAGGGAGTTGTGCTCATAGGGCAGTTGGTTTGAAGCAGCTTCCCTTCCTTTGCACCGCTGTTGTGCGATTTGTGACTAGGAATTGAGCGGGTAGACGTGAGAAGGATTGTGGATGTCAAGTTGGTGCATGGCAAGTCTGCGAGTCTTGCATTTCGGAGTCTAGATACCCCTTCGGAAAGTGGCAGTGTTGACATGTTGATACCTTTAGCAGTAAACTTTAGCACTTTGGACTTCACCGACACCCTAGTGGCTCGGGTTTGTGGTCGGCAAAATACATGTCGTGGCTAGTTAGCACTTTTGTCATGGCTGGGTTTACCGTTCTCATGATGTGGTGCTGTTTCCTTCGTGGTTTTTTAACCCTAAACCTTAAACCCTAAACCCGATTTTTGGTCTTGAGAAGATCACGTCTTTGGCTGGTTGCTGTGGCGAGCAGCCTATGGGCATCGAATCCTCGTCCCCTTGGACTTCCGGTTCATCTTTGGGACGTTGCCAGAATTGCTCCTCATGTTCGGCGTTGAAAAGCGTGTTGAAAAGCGTTGAAAAGCAGTATGATGGTCACTACAGACCCGGAAGCCTACAGCTTCACAAACCGCCGAAGCCGAGTGTCTTAGCAGCACAAGCCCTGCTCCGAGCCTTGCGCCGCCCCGCAGGCAGCTGCAGAGCAGGAGGCGGTTAGTAAAAAGCCCGGGCACCCAGACAAAAAGGGCTTGGGGTTTCCGGTGTCTCTCCGAGCTAGAGCAGAGGTGGCTCTAGGATCGCAAGGAAGCGAGTGCTGAAACAGCAGTCCTACTGTAGTATGCTCTCCGTATGGTCACTCGACTTGTAGCATCATCATCTCGGAGTTTCTTGATGCCGGGCCCAGAAGTGTACCGGAATCCGGCCTGCTGGAACACGCCTCACTGCATGTGTGTGGCTCTCTGCAGCTACATAGGCAACAAGGGTCTCAACATAACGGCATGGTTCTTGAATCCCATAGCAATGGCAAGACAGCAAACAAATCCACTATCGCAAAAACTCCGGGCCTTTTTCCAGGCCACGCGTGCCGGTCGAGTGACGCCCCCGCTTGGACAAAGCTGCCTTGTCAGACTGTTGTGTCCGGTACAGTATGAAAATCTTTTTCATGAGGCTATTTGAAAGTTTATGCCGAAGACGTACTTCTGCGAGGTACACCCCGGCCACCGTCGAGGCTGCAACGGGGCCTGGGTCAACGCGAGTTCGCGTGGAGAGGTTTCGACAGTCATAGGCATCTGTAACTAAAGCTTGTTTAACGCCAAATCTTTAGCTGCGGAGTAGGTACGAATACTCCCGAGCTTGAGTCGTAGCTCTCCCGGGCATAAGCCACCTGGAACAAAGATTTGACGTAGCTTGACTCGATGAAAGCCCGTCAGTGCTTCTGCGACACGAGCTGAATGCAACAGGCTGCGACAAGACAAGACAAAGCAAGCCCTACAGGCCCCTCTTGCACCCCAAGGCGCTGAAGCCTTACACGTATATCATCATGTATCTAGTATAGCCTCGAGGAGCTGCAAGACCATTTAAGAAAAGAGGAGTACAAGCAGCGCTTCGGCGGCAATGCCGAGTACTCCGAGCTCGGGTGGCGCGCTTGGTGATGGTTTTCTGAGCGCAGTGGACGGTAGCAGAGAAATAGTTGATGAAGCAAGGAGCAATGACATTGTTGACGTTTGCACATGCAACAACGACTAGCTTCACATCATTGACAGTGACGATATTTATCGTCGCGGTCGTGGGGCTTAGGCATACTAGTAGCAGTGACTTTCGCCGTCATTGTCATGATGCGAAGGGATTACTGGACCGCTGGGTTACTTTGCTGTGGCTGGAGTAATATTTTGAGGGCATGGGCTGGTGGCGCAAGGCTACAACGTGGTGTACTTGGGGGTGAGGACGATGTCAAGTCGCAGCATTCTCTCTCGTGTCTTTGTTGAAAGGTCTATCGGCTGGTTTGCCGGAACTAGGACGAAATGTGCTGAGGCATTTGGGCCCTGATCTCGACGACGACGGGCACCTTGACCCTTTCAAGTTGAGGGGCCGAGTCGGCGTTTGACCCTGGGCAGTTCGTGACATCAAGTTCATTGATTTGGCAGTGATTCTGTCACAGCTAGGGCCTGCTAGGAGATGTTTCGGTGTGGGCGCTCCCCAGGCAAGCGGACCATGTTTCTGGGCATCATTCTGTCAACCGAGGCTGCTGATGAAGCGGGCGATCCAGGAAAAGGCGGTGCTGTAAGGATGACGCTAAGCCTTGCGAACTGATAGGCTGCCCAATGTTGAGATCAGCCGCCATGAGCCCCACCCCCACAAGCCTCGCTCGATCCTTGACCCAAGGTTTCAGCTCAAGCTTCGGCTTACAGAGTTCAGGGTCCTACTTCGCTTCAGGGCTGCCGGGAGGCATCAAGGTTCGGCTCCTGTGTCTCCGATCAGCTGCCTTGCATAACTTGTAGTTAGCCATACAAGTCTTCAGGGCTCCGGGATTTCTAGGTTAGAACTCTCCGACGCTAGGTCGTAATCCTTCGAGGTTCCCTACAGTTCCCTACAGAATACGATTCAAGATTTAGCCTTTTGAATGTAGAACCCTTTGTATGAATATAGGGGCCTCAGTAGTTACCAATACTATTCTGGGAACTCCTTAGTGTAATGATAGTATATTGGGCCCCAATACCCTATTCTAATTTTTCATGTTAATGAACCCTACGATAGATCCCTTGCTAGACCCCTTATAGAAGAACCCTTTAAAGGAACCCTATTCTAAGTATTAAGGCCCCTCTGTAGGGCTCAGATCTACCTCCACAGGGGAGGATTGCTGACAGCCCCAACCGTGTACAAAGTACACGTCGCCGCGCCGCCATAGGACTCCATCGACGTAGTCCCAACTGGCACCGACGGCAAAGAGCCCATCGATCTAAATTGCGCAAGCGGGTTTGTTCTCGCCGCGCTCAAGGTCTGGACCTGAGACTTTCAGACGTTGCTCATCTAGAGCAACACCACAGCAGGCCAGTCTACGCCCGTGTGATGGGCAGGAAGAACTCACAGCCATGGAAGGACCGCGGCTACAAAGGTTACGAGCACTACGAGCACTACGAAAAAGACCCACGACTCTGGCGAGGTGCATGGGCATTATCGCCACGTGGTGGTTCGCAGGCCCCGCCACGCTACGATCAGGTGAGGCTGGATGGCAAGAACCAGCCAGAACAGGCCTGGAAAGAGCAGTACCCATGGCGTCAACCTTCGCAACCAGCCAAGGGACTCGAAGCTATGACGGCCATGCAAGCAGTCCAGAGAGCTTTGACTGCCACCAGGAAAGCGGACCAAAAAATCCGCAAATTACAAGAGGACAAGGAGCGCCGCCAGCTACAATGGGACCAATTTGCCAAGGAACAGGCGGCGAATTTCGTCAAGCAGAAGAGGCAGTTTGCGGACGACATGACCCGCCTGGACACGGAGCTTCTTCAAGCGGCAGAGGCTGGCAATGCCGCTGCGGAAAGGGTCAAGGCCATCGTCCTCCACGGACACGTGGAACCCAAACCCATGGAAGGTCAGGAGTCCGAGGAGGAATGGGACAAGCTGATCAGAGACTACGACGCGCAGGACACACGTTCGGGTTTCTTTCAAGAAGCCCTTCAGACTGCCCAGAAACTCCATCAGCCCTCGACTACAGCGGCACCGCCTTCTACAACGCCAATGCCTCCGACGACGACCCAGCAGGAACGAGAGCCTGCACCAGCTTACAATCAAGCGTCGCCCACCGCCTGCATGCGGGATCCCTACCTATCCAGTCCAGCGGGCTTGGGTTCGGCGCTGCACGCACACTTTGGTACGAATGCAGCTCCTCCAGCTCCCACCCGTCCTATGGGAGCGCCCGCGCCGCCTCCAGGCTTGTCGCACCATGGAATGCCAGCACCCATGCCATCCAACTCAGTACCAGGCGCTGCAGCACCACCTTCAGCGGACAAAGGCAGTCCCTTGCTGGCCGACAGACTTGCAGCCCGGAGGGAAGAGCGTCGCTCAGCGATGCATCCGTTTGGAGTCAAGCCGGGGACAGGGCCACTTCCTTCTACAGGCCCCGACGACACAGGACAGCGACCGGACGCGCAGATCATCGAGGAAGAGGCAGAAGAGCTCGCTGCTGCCACTACCCAACCGCCCTCACCAGGACTGGGAAACATGGAGTGAGCCAGGATCTGTCGCGAGAGCCGCTACTCACCCATCAGCAGAGAGACTCTCTGGCGGGGCCGGAGGTGTTTGAGACCTGGGGGTCTCACACTGGCCAGTTCCCCTTCGGAGAATGTCTCTTTCCTGACAAGTGGGTTGGGGCACATCGTGGACACTTCCCGTTTCACCAAGCTGTATATACTGTGAGAGCCGTAGACTTAAGTCTCTCTAGCGCTGCTCCTCCTTTCAGGGGTCCGCCAATGCCTCTAGGGATGATTTCTTCCCCCTCCTCTCCTCCTGAGCAGGGACAGCTTCGCTTCATTGGGTTTTTTGAAGTCGGAGTGATCCCTTGCTACACGTCTTCCTCGCGGGGCTTCGTACTGCCTTCGGCTTTGGCAGTTACTTGGCCCCCTCCGCCATTTTCTTTCAACAGCCCCAAGATGGCCAATCCTTTCGTTCCTCGTCCGTGTTTCGACAGCTTTCTTCAGCAGCCTTCTCAAGGGCAGAATCTGAGCGACCCAATCCACAATCCAGGTCGCCCCTTTTCCTTTTTGGGTTTAGTCCTACCCCAGCCCCGGCCCTTTGAACTGCCAGGCAAGGTCTATTCCGAACATAGCGACGTGCCAAAGAGACAGATCGGTGGCTCTGGGCTGTCCACGTCGCCTCTTCATGCGGCTCAGTTGTCTCTCGGGATTCACATCCTCCATGCATTCGAGGACACCATTGTACCGATCTTCCGTGCCCTCCTTGGCCTGTTGTTTTTGGGTCTTCTTCAGGCCATTTGGAGGGTTCTACCCGAGAGACACCAACCCCTAGGGTTTCTCATAGGTCTCCCCAGCAAAGGGATCCCTAAAAGGCTCATCACCAGTCTAGGAGCCTGTGCCTCTCCAAACACTCCCATCCTAGATTGGAGACCTGCTCCGCAGACCCGCAAATGCACCGACAGACGGCTCCAGTCCAAGAGCAACTTTGGGACTACTGCCACCAGAGTGCTCACCCTGACACTAGGTTTTGCACACTTTCCAGTGCAAGTTTGGGCAGCCCCTACAGGTTTCGCTGTGACCTCATTGGCTCATGCTCAGGCAACTGACGTTCGTCCCGATGGTTGGCTAGCTCCTGACATAGAGGCCATGGATCTTGAACCATTAGCTGCGACCCCGGCTCAGCATCAGGCACACAGCTCCGAGACCGACAGCGCCACTCTCCGCAGGTTCCACGTCCTTGCTCCCGGTTGTCGAACCAGGACATGCTGTCTCGCCGAGCCTCTCCCACCCACGCACGAGGAAGTCTTAGCATTGCTGACAGCTGTTTTGCCACAGATCCCTGTGATGGGTCCCTACAGAGTCTGGCCTCTGCATCCCCAGATCTCAGATTGTCAGGCGGCAGTTGTTGCTGTTCCAACGTGGGTTTCCCAGGCCTTTCAGAAGGTAGTAGTTTTCGATTTCTCAGCATGTGGAGGCCCCATTTATGCGGCCTTTACTCAGAGTATCGTTACACTCAGAGACCTCGACGAGCAGGCCAAATTTCAGGAAATCACCAACTGGATCGTTTTTGTTGCTCAGCAGCCCAGTCCCCTTCGGTCGGCAGTCTCGGTGGATAATGGGGCTGTACTTCGGTTTGTTCCTGCAGGTACGGTGCTTCCCCCAGAGCTCACATTCATTGAGCTCCTACACGGTCCGATTCCACAGCCACAGGACCACCGATCAGGGTCCTTTGAAGGGACCAACAAACAATGGCTGATTCTGCACGAGGATCATGCCTTCACCATCCCAGCACCAGGGGATGAGAACCTTCTGCGACAGTCGGTCGCTCGTACACTGCATTGTGCATCAGAGTCAGTCAGCCTCAGTAGGCCTCTCCCTCGTACTTTTGTTGAAGACTTTGTCTTTCAGGGTCAGATCTACCAAGGCATCGTCGCTGCCGTAGGTCCTTCACAGATAGACAACCCTCCTAGTACCCCACAAGCATTCGTCTTCCTGGACGGCCGCCATACAGGACAGTGCCTTCGCTTTCTAGCGGTACAGAGGGGTCATTATGCGCAATCTGCTTTTCTGAATCACCTGCAGCAACGCATACCCGTGGGTCATGCGCACGCTCTCGCTGATTTTCCAGACATGCAGCAGCCGATTGTTGTCACTGAGGATACCATCCTGCAGCCAATTCTCCTGCAAGGCAACACTCACGACGCCACACTTGCTCCTAGGTCAACACCGACTTCTGCGAGTTCCCGTCAGGACTCTCAAGGCGACCTTCAGCTTATCACGTCACTGCAAGCTCCACGGCTCCTCGGTGTAGGACCAGGTAGGCTGACGACAGACAGTGATGACGAAATATCTAGCACTGACATCGCTCAGGCTAGATTCCTCGTGCTCCGTCTTGACTGCCAACCTGTAGAGTTGACCGTCTCTTTTCAGACACCCTCTACGGTTGAGCAAGTTATAGAGACCGTTGCCCAAGCCCTGCCAGACGAAGTCTACAACCACTACTCCCAGGTGCACCCAGTCGACCCGCAACCGTCTTCACAGTGGGGTCTGGCGCTTGCCCTGCCATCTTGGGCTAGCCAGGAGCCTCTCATTGTATGCGATACTACTGCGGTTGATGGGCGGCTCTTTCTGCTCTCTGTTGGCCCTGTCACTGCCCGCCAACGCCTCTGTCGGCTCGCCGGTGTTCAGCCACAGAAGGTTACCATTTATGCATACGGCAGCGCACACCCTCTCACTGACGGCATTGATCTGCACCTTGAGCCCTACAGGTGTGTCTTCTTCGTGCCGCAAGGGTCGCCGCCCAAGGTTGGCCACAGTCTGAAATCTATGGCCATCACGCCATACGGATGGTTCCCGGCTGTTCACCTTCCCCTAGCGCCAGGGGGTCAGAGCAGCAACATCTACTGCCTAGCTACTGCAGGAGGGGACCGGCTGCACCGGCTGCAGGCTACAAGAGACAGTTTAGTCCCCAGAGAGATCGCGGAAAGCCTTGGCCTGCCTACGGGTTCCACCGTTGTTCAGCCCGGCGTGCCCCGCATAGCAGATGCTAGCTATCAAGGATACCACTGCCGCAACGTCTTGGCCGTTGCCCGCCTACCAGAGGATGAGGACGACTTTAGAGGCCTTGCTCCTGCCCTTGCACTTGTTGACTGCCGTGCGCTGCTTCAGGGTTGGCAAGTTCTATTCGTCTACAATGGCAAAGTCTCACACTCAGACCTTGCGTGTCAACTTGCCCACTTTGCACCCGCTGAACACCATGTTCAGCTCGATGGCACCAGGATGGATGGTGAAGACTTACTCGTTGATCCAGGTCAAGTTGTCATTGCCCAGTATGTTGCCAGTACGCCGGCTCCAGCTGGCGAAGACGAAGAATCAGAATGTTCTTCAGATCCTGCTGTCTCGGATACCTCAACAATGGGCATGGACACTACGACAGCCCCCGCAGATTCAGAAGGCGAACACCTTTTTGCAGACGATCCAGCTTTCGCTTCGGGTGCATCCAGGTCCCGTAGTCGGACACCACCAGGCAGAGTCAGATCCAGCACTACCGCCACTCCACAAGATCCCGTGCCGACTGCTCCGCCGCCTCCGGCGGCAGGTGAAACCTCTTCATCGCAGCGCAGTTATGAGCCTGCTACAGGCAGCATGACAGCCCCGACTCTTGCAGGAATTGTTATTGCCGGTACTCTGCCGGGGGCATCAGCGACTCCTGCACAGCTCATGCCTTCCGCGGAGCTGCCAGTCCAGCTCACTGCCCTGCATATCTGCATTTTGTTCGGGATTTTTGTAGCTTTGGTTGCATTTAAAGTCCTTATTGAGCCGGCTTTGCAGACACCGCCCTCACAGCTAGCCTTGGCAACCTTACGCATGCTGGCACACCGCGCCGGACTTTCTTGGCGCTATAGCCCAAGTCCGACCTCTCTCTTCCTACCGGAAGACCACACATCAGACTCAGATGGGTCCTCTCATGTTGAGGACATTCCCCTGCGTTTCGTTGTGGCAACCCCGGGGTACACTCTGGAGCGCATCATGCTGCGACAGGAATTGCCCACCACCGTCCCAGCACTCATTCCGTCTCTTCAGACAGCTCGAGATTCAGCCCGCAGCCGAGTCTTTTCCACTCTCATCCCAGCGGACCCCCAGCCCTGCGCAGGTACAGGTCTTTTCCTCGCTGTGCCAGACAGACCTACGACAGACTGTGTGCTCTGCATTGACACCACGCTTTTCGACCAGAGGCTTTTTGCAGTCAAAGCTCCATGTTATGTGGATCGCCGTCTCCTTTTTACCCTGGCCAATATTTCTCCAGAGCTGCACATACAGGTCTATGTAGGGTCTGACACACATCCTTTGTCAGATGACAGCCATTGTCATGTGTTCACTGGACAAACGGTGTCGTTTATACCGTCAGACGTCCGCATTGCTCAGCCCCAGTCTTTGCATCAGGCCTTACAGTACAGGGCTCCCTGGAGTCGTGCCTCCACTGTGCCCCTTGACACTGAAAGTCAGTGCTACTGCTTGGCCACTTCCGAGGCCACCCACGTGTTTCTCTATGACACCCGTGCGCCACAGGCCTACAGGAGGCAGGTCGCAGACACGCTACGCAAGGACCCTGCCACCTTTCGACTTTTCCCTGCTAGTCCACGCATCACTGATGCCGCGTGGGACGGGCTCCAGTGTCGCACGGTCATTGCCATCTGCGATAAAGGACCCTATGACCAGGACTCACACACAGGTGCGCTTGTTGACGCCCGTGCTCTTCTACAAGGCTGGCGGTCCGTCATTATCAAACAGGGCAAGGTCTCCTGTAAGACCATCAAAGCCATGCTAGAGCCTGCCTGCCCAGCCGGCTGGTACCTCCGGCTCATCGGGATCCCTGATGACCGAGACCTGCACCCTGTTCATGAAGGTCAAGTCATTGTCGTTTCCTGCCACCCTTGTGGCCCTGGCCCACAGGCAGCCTCTCACACAGGCGACCGCCCACTTGCATCTGGCGATGCCTCCGGACCTCCCCCACCCACCCCCGCGAGTGGAGAAGCTGACACAGCTCACAGGCCTGCGACCCACCATCCGGATGCTGTACGGCACCACGACACCCAGGAGCTCCCTCCAGCTACCAGCTCTGCTCCTGCCGATTCTGCTGCCACAGCTGCCGAATACCTTCAGAGTGTTTTCCTCATCATTGGTCAGGACTACTGCCCAGAGATCGTTTTTGCAAGACTGCCTGTGGACATCTCGGTGTCAGCCGCTCTCACAGCTGTTAACTCAGCGCGAGCGCCTTATGCTAGGCTACGGTTACCCAGGATCATTGCAGTGCATCCCCAGTCTGTTCCTGGAGTCGCTGTCGCCATTGCTTCACCGATTTGGCACCCAACCGGCGTGCTCCTCCTATTCGATTGTTCGCGGGTAAACGGTGCCATATATACACTCCAAATGCCGCGCATACTGCACCGACATGCAATCTTGACAGCAGCCGGCATACCTACCGGTCCAGAATATGAGGTCTACGTCAAAGACCTACCCTGGCCACTACCCAACGGCAGCAACATAGAGCTACACAGTGGAGACGCCCTTGTCATAGTGCCTGTGCAACCATCCGTGCTCGTCACTATGTCGCTGTCTGACATGCTCCACTCCAGAACAGGCTGGGATCAAGACTGGGCCCCTAACTTTGCCGAATACACAGAGACAGCGTGGATCCTGGCAGACCACGATAATCTCCTGTTTCAGGTTGCTTCAGCAAGGCGATCGTCGGTACGTGCCGACCTCGCTCAGCACCTGGGCCTCCCTCCCACAGAGCTAGTCCTACGACCCGCTACGCCAGCAATACAGAACCATGCCCATAGAGGTATCCCCACGCGTAATGTCCTCATAGCAGCTCGCACTGCTATTGGAGGCCACTACCAGCAGCCCCGCGACCCCTGGTGCTTTTTGGATTGTAGACCCATGCTTCTCGGGATTGCCAGGAGGCAAGCCCCTACGGGCAGCCTTTCACACAGGACCCTGACATCTCAGATGCTCAGCCGGTGTCCTTCGGGACACGTTTTGTGTTGGTTTAGGGCACAAACTAGACCACGGCCACTCCGTCGGGACATTCCCATCGAAGACGGCGACACTATCATCTTAACCTTTTTGCCTGATGATGTGTTTCCTGATGAAGCCGGTGATGACAGCCCAGATGATGAGCAGCCTGCGACAGGTCAGCCAAGGCGCAGTCCACCTGCCTCTCCCTCAGCAGGGCCCCCAGGCAACGCAACAGGCAGTGCTCGAGCATCAGCCGACACCACCAGGGATGCAGGCACAGGCAGCACTTCCCTCACGCATCAGGTGAACTTATCCCTCAGCGGACAAGCTACCGCCGGCCCAACACCCAGCCAGTCTGTCAGTCGAGTAGTCACGTGGGTTGGACACATTGCAAGTCAGCTCACCCCTGTCCTCCTGACAGCCCTGCCTTCTCGAAGGAGCGGCCGTACAGCGGATTACTGCGTCGCCACCCCTGCTCCCACAGACGCCAGACAGTGCAACACACGGCGTTCCAGTACCCACAGGCCATTCCAACCAAGTAGTGCCCTCTTCCTCTGTGTTTTCGGCACCTTACTCCAGCCACGGGCTGCCACCTTTATCCCTGAGACCGAGAGACCACTGCTACCGCTTGAAAATGGCAGAGTTCATGACCTTGGCGGCGCAAGTTTTTCGGGTCCAGTTGCGCCACCACGGTCCTTTCTTTCAGGTAACAAAGGCAACAGGTGTGCGGGCGCAGCCGACTTACAGCAGGTCAGGCATGACGCACGTCCACTACCCACACCGTGCCGAGCCCAGCAACTTACCGTTCACCAGAGTGACATGCTTTCGTTGACGGTCCCTTTACAGACCTTGCTGGATAAGTGCAAGGAGGTTACTGACGAGTGGGCTTTTCTTGCTGTTACGCTCCTGGAAACCCTTCAGGAACACTACGAAGCTCCCGCCCTACAGGCACCTCCTGTTATCTCCCTCGCTCAAGCTGTGCCGGTCTCTTCATACCAGCGGCACTGCCTAAACTTGGAGAGTCTCCTTCCACACCAGACTAAGCACGAACCACCCAGCCAGGACTGGTTGGACACCGATCTTCGCCACGTCCTGAAGAATCAAGACATCAGTCTGGAACTGCGAACCTCCTTTGCCAACCTTACCAGTTGGTATGATGCGGGCAGTCCGAAGCCCAGTGCCCTGCATGTTTACACAGACGGCTCTGCAGCATCGCAGCAGCAGGACCTGCAACCTTGCTCCTGGGCTTTCGTCGTTTTTGCGATCTGCCAAGGTCGAGAGCTGTTGTTGGGGCAGGCCGCAGCCACTGCCGTTCCCCCTTGTGCGCCTCATCACCTAGGCGAGTGCATAGACGATGCCCTCACGGGAGAGCTTCTAGCGCTTTGCTGGGCTCTAGGGTGGGCTGCACAACACGGCTGTCGGCACCAAGCCCCTGCTCTGTTCCGATACGACTCCCAGTGTGCAGGTGGAGGCACCTTTGGTACCTCCCGTCAGCCTACAGGAGCCAATCCGCAAGATTATGCGTCACTTACCTCGCTTGCCGTTGCATTGCGTCAGTACGCAAGCGCTAGGATAGTCCTAGACCACGAGCACATACACAGTCATGCCGGTTGCCTCGGTAATGAGCTTGCTGACGCGCTTGCGCGTACCAGCCGCGCATACCCCCCATCTCAAGACCAGGTATGCCTGCCGGACTGGATCCCTGCCTTTGCCGCGCATACTCTTCGTGACTGGGCATGGGCTATGGTACCCGGTCATATTGACCTGCCAAGACCCTTCGCCTTTGCTGTCGAGGTCGCTCTGCAACAGGCAAGACCCGAGCCGCCAGCCCGCGCGCCCACGCAAGCCCTAGTTGAAACACGGCTGCCAGCCACCGACGTATCGTTTTGCCTTACCTGCCTCACATTCAATGTCCTTACTCTGAAGGATTCAACGGGGCCCCAGCTGACTACTGGCTCCGTAGGCATGCGCATGTCCGGGCGCAAAGAAGTCTTAAAACGATCTTTACGAGAACACCGAGTTCATGTCGTCGGTCTCCAAGAGACCAGACTACCCAGTTCAGAGCTGCAGTCGGACCCCGACTACTTGATTTTCAACACAGCTGCGGCCGCCAACGGCGCAGGCGGCTGCGCGCTCTGGCTCTCTCGCAAGCTTGCTTATGGTGAAGACAGCACAGGACGCCTCATCTTTCAAGAAGACCATGTCACGGTTGTAAGCTCCTCCCCCCGTCATCTTGTCGCCAACGTTCTCACACCGCGTTTGCGGCTGCACATTCAAGTTGTGCATGCTCCATCACCAAGCAATGTCAGCATCGGTGAGGTACAAGACTTTTGGAATAGCCGCGCATCCGACTTTTCAAAAAGGCCCGCCGGTACAGACTTTCTTTTCCTGTGTGACGCCAACTCCAAAGTTGGCTCCATGCCTACTTCTTTTGTCGGCTCCCATCAAGCCGAAGAGGAGAATGCCAGTGGCACGCTGTTCCACGAATTTGTCATGCGCATCGGCGCGTTAGCTCCATCCACACACGCAGAGTACCACCAAGGCTCAGGAGGCACCTGGTGTTCCCCCAGAGGCCTATGGTCTCGCTTGGACTATGTGCTGATCCCCATTTCTTGGAAGGATTTTGAAGTCCACACCAAGGTCTTATATGAAGTTGAGGCGCTCCAACAGCGCGTCGACCATGTGCCTCTTCTTTGTCATTGTGCCTTTGTCAAATGGGCTCCAGCCCATACATACACCGTTAATCGTCGTGCGGCACTGCGTCCGACCCTTCCAGTAACCGTGCTTGAGAGGAGAGAAGTCCGAGCCACCCTCGCCAGCCTTGCCCCACAGTCCTGGCATCAGGATTCCACCAGCCATCACGACGCGCTTGTGGAACAGTGGCAGCAGGCCATCAAGCCCGCTCAGATCGAGGGGCCACAGCCACGTCAGACCTTCTTGTCTGCCGACACACTCAGCACCATTCAAGTCCGTACGGCAGCACGTCGTTATCTCGCCCAGGAAGCTCAGGAGAGGGATCGACGTTGGCGCTTCATATGTTTCGCTGCCTTCATTCACAACTGCCGAGGCTCATACTTTACTTCCCAGACACTTTCTGTCGTGGAATCCTGGCTGCGGCAACTTGATGTCAGCGAAGCCAGAGCGCTGACTGTCCTTTACGCTTCTACCAAGCAGATTCGGCGACAAGTAGCCAATGATAGACAAGCCCACCTTGCGTCCCTCGCCCAGCAGGCGGCACAGCATGATATCAAAGATCCCGCTGCTCTCTACAAGGCGCTACGCAAAGCTTTTCCGGAGACCCGCCCCACACGACGCAGTTCCTTCAAGCCACTGCCAACCTTGCGTCTTGAAGATGGCACTCTCGCCACCACTCACCAAGAACGATGCGAAGGGTGGCGCAGGCACTTTGCAAGCCAGGAAGCAGGTTCTCTTGTCCTACCCGACGAATACTGTCGTCTATTCGAGGCTGCTGCCCCAAGCCAGTCCTGGGATATGGACATCCATGCGGTACCTACCCTATGCCAGGTGGAAGCCATCATCCACACCCTGCAGTGCCGCAAGGCTGCAGGAGCTGACTCCATCACAGCCGAAACCCTCAAAACAGACGTTCCGGTGACGGCCAGGCAATTGCTACCGCTTCTGGCTAAGACCTCTTTGAGGGCACTAGAACCGGTGTCTTTTAGAGGTGGAGATCTTTTCTTATTAGCCAAACGTGCCGCCAACGTACTGGGCTGTGACGGCTATCGCTCAATCCTAATATCATCCGTATTAGGAAAGATCTATCACCGTTGTGTCAGGCAGCAATTGCTGCCGAGCTTCTCGGCTGATAGAGCGCCCTTTCATGCAGGCATCCTCCCCGGCCAGGGCATAGAGCTTATCTCCATCACAGCCAAAACGTTTTTCCATTCCTGCAACGCCCGCAGCCAACAGGGTGCGATCATCTTTTTTGATTTGAAGGCAGCTTTCTATCAAGTGCTGCGGGAACGGCTCGTTGAGCCAGCAGACAGGGAAGCCAGGATTGAGGACCTCTTTGCCCATCTGAAGCTACCAGACACTGCCATCTCGGAGCTCCGGCAGCAGCTTCTCAACATCCCCATTCTTGCCGCGGCAGGCGTCTCGGCACATACACAGGCCCTTGTCAGGGACATGTTCCGTGGCACCTACTTTCGCCTTACTAAGTGCTCTGAGCTCACATACACGCGACGAGGCTCGCGACCTGGCGATCCTGCTGCAGACCTACTGTTTGCTTTTGCCCTTTCGGCGTACTTTCGATCAGCCTTAGCTGCCCTTGAGGCAGAAGGTTTGGCTGCCAATATCCCTCACGAAGCCACTCGTCCCCCCTTTTGCCCTCATCAAGGTCCGATCGATCTGCACTGCCCTGCTTGGGCCGATGACTTTCTATGCCCTCAGACAGGCCAGAACTACGCCGACCTCGTCAACAGAGCTCGAAGGGCCGTCCAGCTACTTACCGAACACGCATCTTCCCTCGGCATGGAGGTCAAATTCGGGACAGACAAGACTGCCATCCTTCTTCCGGCCGAACTCCTGGCCCGTCATGCTTCACTGCTGGACGTGGACTCCGAGGGAGCGTTGGGCCTTGCCTTCACTGATCAGATCACACTGATCAGACACTTCGTGCCGGCGGTACATACGTACCGCCATCTTGGGGGCATCTTGACCTCGGACTCCAATCCGAGCCCGGATTTACATTATCGTTTTGCTCAGAGTATGAGTACTGTGAAGCCGTTAAGACGAAAGCTCTTCGGGGCACGGCGCTTTGATCTGAAGACAAGACGCATGCTTTTGCGCTCGCTTGCAGTGTCCAAATACACACACACTGCTGCAGCACTTATGCTGCACTTCGGCGTGCATCGACGCCTTTGGGAGCGACACTACCTCACACTGTGGCGCGTGCTCACGGCACGCACCGCCGTTGACGTCCAGGCCTCAGCATATACCGTCCTCCGCAATGCACAAGCCACCTCGCCCCCTTTGGCGCTTGCACACGCTAGGGCGGCTTGTCTCGCCAAGCTCTTTCGACACGGCCCTGCCGATTTGATTGCTCTTTTGTGGGACCACTGGCGCATTGCACCGGCTCGGTCATGGTTGGGCCAACTCTGCGAGGACGTCCAGGCTGTTGCTGTGTTTCAGCCCATTGTCAAAGACCTGCTCGGAGACTCAGCGGTCGTTCCAGGCATACTCGAAGCCTTTGCTCAAGATCCGACCTGGTGGCCTCGTCAGGTTAGGTCTGCAAGTCAGGCCTTCCTACAGGACTTGGACAAGTGGCATGAAAGCAAGATTGCCAAAGCTCCCCGGGTTCCTACGCCCAGAGCTGAAGATCTTCCTTATCAGTGCCATGTCTGCAACAGCGCCTTTCCGCTCAGGAAACACATGTACGCACACATGGCCAAGGCTCACCAGATTTACAGCCCGGCGCGACATTACGCCATCTCCACCGTGTGTCAATCGTGCCTCAAGTTGTTCCCTGACATTGTCTCTGCCCAACTGCACCTTAAGCGGTTTCCTTCTTGTCTCGTCCGCTGTCTCCACCTCTATCGCCCTTTGGAATTAGAGGAGATACGCAGGCTTGAGACCGAAGTAACCGCCCGGACCGCTGCTGTCCGCAAGGGGCAATGGCAGCTCTACAGAGCTAAAGGCCCTGCCAGACGTGTGCCCTCCATTTTGGGCCCACCTTTGCCGTCTGCTGAGGAACGAGGTTTGCCCGATACCTCCAGCGAGGAGGTTCTCCTTTCGGCTCTTCGTCCTTCCTTTCAACCGCTCAATGCGCACGTTGTTTGGATTCAGGACTACCTACAAGGGCGTAGTCAGGAAACTCGGCCACATACTCGTCCCTACTGGCAGCAGCGGCCCTCCTGTCCGTTTCACTCTTGAATTCAGCATGTAGTTTTGGGACGCGCTTCCCCGTGTCGCCCACAAGCGGCCCGAAGCTCGACAGTCCACCATCAAAGTCAAAGTCAAGGCCCCTCTGTATTATGGCTGTCTCCGAGCCGGAGGTGAAGCAGTTCAGCAGGGAGCTCCACCGCGTGAACAAGCAGAGAGCTGAACGGGCCCCCCTGCCTGGGTCTCGGGCTCGAAACCCTAAACCTTATAACTTATAAGCCCTGGGCCTAGACACCCTGTAAGCCCTAAACCCTATATATAAGCCCTAAACCCTAAACCCATTTGTCATAGTCATAGTATTAGGGTTTAGGGTTTAGGGCCTGCAGTGCAGATTTAAGTCTTGCAGTGCTTCCCAGCTGATCTGCAGAGTCTGGGTTCAAAAAAGGGTTTAGGGTCTCCCAAGCCCGGATTCAAAAAGGGTTTCACTAGATACATAGATACTGAGACAACATGTAGATATCTGGGTGGGTCTTCTGGCTATAGTATCACATACCAAAGCCAGAAGATCCACCCAATAGTAAGGTACGTGGGGATCTTATAAGGTCACCAACGCGTTGTAAGGAGGTCCCCACAGGGTGTTGACAATGGGCTTATTAGGAGGTTTGAAAGGTCCTGACAGGTTGTTTGTAGCCGGATTATTATGGGGTTTCACAATGTTTTTGAGAATGGTTGCAGTACAAGGCTCTGTACTAGATTGGTTTAGCCAAGGGCTTTTATAGGCTTTGACGAAGGTGTTATAGATTCTAAATAACACCAGGGATACCGGTAGGGGTACCTTGTTTGCATGTCCTTAGATTATAGAACCTGCAATCGGGAGTACGGGGTCTTTAATTTTTTGTAGTTGCCACGTGACGGGAGCAGTGTACCGCAAATCAGATGTTGGACCCTAGTTGAAACGATGTGTGCTTGTTAAAGGGGCTCTTGTTGGGCTCGCTGGGGCTTGCAACCATTTGAGTTCAGGGCCAAGATCATTGCATTTTGTTTGATAATTATTTCTGGCCTGGGTTGCTGTGATGCCGTCCTACATGCTGATTTCCGCTCTCGGGTATTTCGGCATGCTATTCAAAGCAAGCATTCAGGACCACATTAGGGGATAAAGGGCTTCTCAAGCCTATAAATGCCACCAAAAATCTGTAAAGCCACCGCGACCCAAAGTGCAAAATACATTTAGAGAGACTTCTTTGTTTTGTAGGAGCCCTAATCATTAGACTGCGTTGTTCGTTCATCGGGTGTTTTGGTTTTGTGATGGGGGTTCATGGTTATTTCCCGTTCTTTTGGGACCGCATTGTCTATTGCGACTTGTTGCTCAGACTTGCTGCACTGGTCCACGAACATGTCCTATGCCCAGTGCCACAAGCTTTGCGTTGAAGGTTTCGGGTTTGGGGTTCGGTATAGATCAATGTTTGAATTATTGGTTAAGAAGTATTCCAGCAATTACAGTCCGAAAGTAGCTTTTGCACAATACATGCCCCACAACCTCCAACGTACTCGTGTTAAGGCCCCACTATTAGGGCAAAAGGGTCTAAACCCCAAAACCCCGTAAGGACCCATTAAGTCGGGCTTGAGGGTTTTCAATTTCGAGGCCAAAGCAGCCGCAGCCCAAGCCGGAACCCAAATCCACAGCTCGGGCCAAGGCGCGAGATGTTTGGGGCCGGTTAGGGTTCAGGGCTAATGGGGCAAAAAATGCTGGTTTGTGAAGCTAAAAGGTATAGCGGTTCTGGACTTGTTCAGGTTTAGGTTTTAAAATGAAGCTACCATTGTCACGAGCGCTTGATGTGCAATGTATATGTGTATATGACTATGGTGTGCATGGTTTTCTACTTACTACCTTAAGTTCGTTCATGTTTACGGGTTAGTTTTGTTTGTCTACTTGTTGTGTTACACTGGTTTTGTATTTATTTTGGAAAGAGTACATCGCAGAAGTGCGGCAAACCTTGCGCCAAAGTCTTTTCCGAGAGCTACGGGCTAATATAGGTTTGTACTCGCGTGCGTGACCGGATGCCCTAAGCCCACTAGAAGATACACAAAACTCCCCAACGCCCAACAAGCCAAGATCACCAAACCCTGCAGCTCCTAGAACATTACAGTAGAAGCCCAAAAGTTGGAAACCACATAGCCTCAATCCTTAAGTAATGTATAGGCAATCCCAGCACTATTTGGCCTTAATCCGATTTCCAACTTTATGGGGTTTACTATAAACGCCTCAATCCTAAAACCCCGAGGCTTGGCCACTGTCCCAGCCGGCCTTGACGTGCTTTTCAGCATGCCGTTTTGGGATCGAGTTTCCGGCTCGAGTGGCCAAGGATTCACCTAGACACCCCGAGCTACCACGTGAAGCGGTCATATGTATGTATGTGTATGTGTATATATACGTATGTATATATATATATATATATATATTGTATGTATACAAATGCATACAAACAAAAATACGCATGTACGTACATACATACATACATACTCAAGAAAACTGTTTTTGTATCTATATCTATTATATATATATATATATATATATATATATACGTATATAGTGCGGTGCAGGAGTTCAGGATTTTAGCCATGAGTGTCTGGCCTGGGGTTTGCAGATTTTATCGCTTTCAGGACCGAGGACGTATAGCGAGGGGCTTTCGGTTTCGTGGTTTACTCGGGGGCCGGGAGCGTTTCCATCCTCCACATGTCCGGGTCGGCATTGCGGGGATGGCTGCCGGCGAATCCGACGGATGAGGACGCGGGGATTTGGACTGTACATAGGGGCCGCAATAGTTACCAATACTACTTTGGGGGCTCCTTTATAAGCAAAAGTGCAATATTTTGGGCCCCAAATCCCGATTCTAATTATTGAGGCCCTTATATTAGGGGTTTGAGGTTCTTAGAATCGGCTTAGGGCCCATCCCTCCAGGCGAGACACTGCGCAACGAAGGGGTGGAGGTCTAGTTTGTGACTTAAAGGCAACAGGTTTTGTTTCTGGCTTCGTCCAGAGCTGTTGTGTTTTTTGTTTATCATTTGTTTGCAAGGACACTGGGATAGACTGGGGTTGTCCACCGATGGTTATATCTGTCGTGTTGTAATGAATGGAGCGGGTTATGCGAACCTGCAGCAGCCGCCCTCAACCCTGCATCCTAAGTCCATCCTTGGGCTCCCGAGTCATATTAGATATATATATATATATATATATGTATGTATATGGCAAAGGAACGCTGTGTCTCGAGGAGCTCCGCGTGGCACTCGAACCCTTCCGTGCCCGCGTTCGCGCCAATCCTCGTGCGGCATCCAAACTCCTCCGGGAGGCAAGTTTTGGTGTTTAGGGGGTTTAGGGTCTTGAAGCAAGAACAGTAAACAGGGTTGTTCTTGTGTCAGTTTCGAGTGATATAGACAGCATCAGTTTTGCATTCACAGCGGCTTTGAGGTTGGAGGCGTTTTCGATTTTGGTGTCGGGTGGTCGGATGCTGAGCCACCTTTTTTGAAGTAGGACCTTTGCATGAACTTTGGAGCTTTGAACAGCCAGTAGTTACTTCTTGTGCCGGTCATTGCTTATGTGGCCACGCATCCGTGCAATCAGGGGTTCAGGTTTGTTTGCGGTTGAGAGGGTGCAGGAGCCAAAGATGTCCAGGGTTGCACTCAGCTGCAAGCTGCTTCCAAGTGGGAGTTCCCGAAAATTAGGGGTACCTTGTTTTGGGGTCCTTATAATAAGGATCCTACTATTTGGGGTATTATATTAGGGTCCCCGTTTCCGGAAGCTCCCAAGCCAAGAGGCACCGGCCGCCGTCGCAGGACAGATGCTGGAGGTGCCTTGCAGCCATGTGTTGTCCTGGATTTTTATGCGCTGGCGGTTATTGCCTTTAGTCGCTGTTTGGGCTGTTGACATTATGCTGACTTCACATTGCGGTTGCTGTCTTCAAGGTCGTCAGGAAACCGCAAGAGCTTCGATTCGAACCCCATATAAGACATCCCACAACTCGAAGCGCAAGCCCCATGACCCGTTTTGCTAAAGCCCTGAACCCTGGTATGAAACTACCAATATCATTTCTACCGCGCCACAACATGCCCTAAAACCCCTTTTAAAGTTATTAAGGCCCTACCCATTTCAACTCCCAGCCCGAGACTGGGTCATAGTTGGATATCATTTTACATGTTAATGGGTATGCTTAAACCCAATAAGGAATGAAGAAGATCATTGTTAATCCTATCCCAACAATGAACTAAAAACCCTAAACCCTAAACAAGAAGATCATTGTTAATCCTATCCCAACAATGAAATAGGAGAACCTCCAGCCCGAGATCCGAAGCATTTCTGTGCCTGGCCGTGGCCAGTGCTAGGTAGGCCTTTGGATCCTTTGGGACATTTTTTATTTTTCCCTTATTCGGCTTACTAGGATCCTATTTACGAACATTTTTCAGAGGCTTTAAAAGGCCAACCTAGAGTGAGAGTCGAGAGTCAAGACCCTCGATGTCAGCTCTTTTTACCAAAACGAGCAGTAATGTCAGCAATGGTAATAACAACAATGAATGGATACTACCAATATGAACAGTAATGTCAGTTATGATAGCAACCACAACAGTAAGAGGAATACTGATTCTATATTACTATGTTAATAATCCTCCGTTCCCCTGTTTATTCACATATATATATATATATACAAACGTTACATATACATATATATATATATATATATGTTTGTATACATACACATACATATATGCACATGATATGTGTAGGCATGTTTACTCTACTTTTTTGTTAGCTCATTTGTGCATTCATTGACTGATTTGCTTATTGATTCTCCTGTTCGTATTACAGGCAAGATAGACAAAATACGCTTACTCATACATGAATACATATGCGTCACACACCCTAAAACTTCGGCGCCCACACCCAGCATGCGGAAGAGAGAACCACTTGAACATGCCAATGCTCTAGGAGCTGCGGGGGATGCAGCTGAGGGCAGATGCGTTCCATTACTTCGCAGTCATGAAGGCGCGTCTTGAGATGTTTCTCCGAGATTTAGGGGTACCTTTCTTTGCGGTCTTTTTAATTTTAATAAGGGTCCTACTGTTTTATTAGCGTCCCCTATTTTGGGAAATTCCCCCTTGTTCACAAGGGGACGCGACTGGGCCTCAATAACGCTTCACGATTCAAGCTTCCGCCAGTATCAGGCGAGATACCAATTGGTGAGTGTTCGGTGGTGGAGACTTCGGGTGTCAAACTTAGGGTTTAGGGTTCAGGGTTCCGAAATCTTCACCCTAAACCCTCATAATCATACGACCATATCAAAGCCCGAAGAAACCATGTATAAAAGCTCTAGTCAAAAGGTGCTTCTTGCGAGGATCTCCCGTGCATATGGTATCCGTCCATGCCCGACAGCAGCTGAATCTTCAGAAGGAAGGTGGCTTGCATCTTCATCCCCAGATTTCTTTGCAGCCCTTAAAGGAACCCTAAACCCATTAAAGGGGCTTAGGATGCCTTTAAATGGGCTTAGGGTCCCGTGAAAGCTGGGTAAGAACAGTTGTCTACAGCTGCGGGACTGGTCTGGTCCTGACCTTGAGTCGGGCAAATGAACTTCGAGAGCGACCCTGAACCCTAACACAGCTTCATGCTCACTATGTAGGAGTTTCCGAAAATTCGGGGTACCCTATCTTGGGGTCCTTGTTATAAGGATCCTACTATTTAGGGTACTATATTAGAGTCCCCTGTTTTCGGAAACTCCCATGTCAGGCGAATCGTCGTGCCGGGCGGTGGCAGCAACTTGGTGAATCCAACTTATAGGTCAGACACGGATACTGTACAAATAAATCAGCCTCAGCAGCTTGTCGGTGAGTGTCCGTCGTATACAATTTGGCTTTCGTACGTGGGTAAGAACTACCCAGCTCTTTACCCTAAATTCTATATCAAGCCCTTGGCCCATGAAGATGGCAGGGCACTAGCAGACTAAACTGACTAAACGGATGAGGGTTTGAGGCTTAGGGCCGAGAGGTTTAGGATGGTTTGGGCTCGGGGCTTACGGTTTGACACACACACACACACACACATTGAGGATAAAGGAAGGTGTGGCGGTCTAGTGGTACGGATCTCATGGGGGGTTTCAGGTTTACTGTACAGTAAGGGGCATCAAGGCGCAGGCCTAGGAAATTTGACGAGCGTGCTGTGTTCATGTCCAGGTGTCGGACCAAACCTAGATTGCATAACTCGTTCGATCTGCGAGAGAATCAGCCCAGCCCAATAAAGCAGAAACCTGAAGGCATTTGCTGATTCGCTGGAGTAGATGCTTAGGCTCGGCTATGAGTTGCAGCATGTTTGGACACTGCAAAGGTTAGCTAATTCTGGAAAGGCGTTGGATCACATTTTTCAGGGCCTGAGGAGCCTGTTTCACAATAACACTGTACGGATTGTGGCAGGAAACGCACAAGCGAGCGGAAGGTTTTTGTTCAGGACTTTAGTTTTGAGTTTTGTTGAGGTATTTGGTGCACCACTTTGACCAGATGCTGCCGCAGAGGATTGCTCCAGACGTGTACTGCCTCTCAGCTCCACTTGGTTGGCACTGGCCACGCGCAGACGCTCTATCATTCTAGATACCAGATCCACTCAAATGAGATCTTCCTGAGACCATGGCTTTCTGCAGCGTCCACCAGGCATCTTTGACAAGGTATAGTATAGTAGAGACATACTTTTTGAGACTTTGTTAATACAATGTCATGTTGGGATCCGCAGCTGGATAGCTTAGCTGAGGAGATTTACAGATCGCGAGGTTGGCATAACATGAATGAAACCCTGGCTCTCGGCTCCTCTAAGCAATTAGAAGATCCCGATGGCTCTCTTCAAAGAAAACCTATATAAGCCTAAGCTCAGTGGAACCCTCTCTCAAGCTCCATAGAGTTGTGGCTAGTTTGCTACCAAGCCGATGTGCAGATCCTTTCCTTCCGTGTGCGAGTTGGGAGAGTCGAATATTAAGCCTTAAACCCTAACAGCCAGGCTACGGGCTCGCAATGGATGCTTGGGCCGAAGGTGGTCATTGGTTGCAGAGCCTGGCCATCTTTGACAGCATCGGAAGTCATACCGCGCCTGATAGGCAGTGGGCTAAATCATAGAGTCATAGATCCTACCGTTGCTGCACGGTACCCCGGTATCCAGGGAGGAGAGAGAGTTAGGAAGAGGAGAAAAACTTCAAGCCGAGGTGCCTGATGCAGTTTGCTTTGGCACAGCCATCCGCGCTACTTGGTCCTGCATGGGATGGCTAGCGGCTAGAGGATGCAAGAGATGACAGCACTGACATTGTTGGATTTGGGACTTTTGCTGTGAGGTTTGGGAAAAAGGGGGTACAGGACTAAGACTGACAAGGGTTCTGGACATTTAGTCCATTTAGTCATTCTGGCGTTTGGCTTCCGCGGCTGCGCCGCTGGAGGCCCACGTCACTGCAGACAAGTTGAGCCAGCCTACATTGTTTTACCATAGAATTCGGGTTAGCAGCCGAAGGGCCATGGACACATGAAGCCGCTTTTGATGAAGATCTGCGTAGTTGGGCATAGCTCTTTTTGTGAAGGCCGGTTCGCCAACAACTGACTCTTTGTTTTACGTATGGTATGGGGCCCTGTTCCAGGCCACAGTCCGGCTGTCTGCACCCTCTGATTTTGTTGCCTGAGTCGGGCCGTCATGACAAAGCCCTCGGTCGCTTAAGCAACCGAAAAAACCGAAAACCTCAATCCAAAACTGCAAAGAGAGTCTCGAGAAAAGAACCCTAAACCTTGGTCGGGGAGCCCTTAAAGGAATCCCGAGCACCGGCAGACCCTAACGCCTCCAACCAGCTCGTCTGTGGTTCCAGCATCCTCACCAGGCTTGCCCCCAAAGCCCTAGAATGTAAACTCTATAAATCCTAAACCCTACACCCTGAACCTTACATTCCTAAACCCTAAACCATAAACCTTACATTCCTAAACCCTAAATCCTAAACCTGACATTCCTAAACCCTAATCCCTAAACAGTTGTGAGGGCTGAAAACCCCGAGGTCTGCCAAAAGGCCTCTGACTGGCTGGCCGCCTGCGAGCTTCTCAGCGATATGGCCTCCGGAGGACTTGTTCTGTAGCCCTAAACCCAGAGAGCCCAATACCCCTTAATTAGGGAATATAGCTTAAATCATAATATGACCCCCCTTATAATTTAAGATATATTCCGTAATTAAGGGGTATTGGGCTTTCTGGGAACCCTACCTTAACCCTGAATAACCTACCTTACTAGGGTTCCTGATTATGATTTCCTAATAGAAGTCTTTTGAAAAAGGTAGGTTCTTCCGGGTTAAGGTAAACCCTAAACCGCCGTAAGGGCTGCTTTCAGGGTTGCCATAAGGGTTGCTAGAACTATAAGGGCTACAGCAAGGACTGTTGCGAGTTGGAGTTTTCGACATCCATTGAGGTTTAGGGTCTCTACTTTTAGGGTTACCACAAGGTTGCTATAAGGGCTACTTTAACGGTTACCAGTAAGGCTTCCAGGAGGGCTACCATAAGGGTCACGAAAGTTTGCCGGAGGGGTGCTTTAGTTTGCCTTTTCCGATGTCATGAAATCAGGGACCCCTAGGGCGTTCTGACGCACTTGAGTGTCGATTAGAATGAGAAGGGCTTTTCGCGCCTTTAGGGTTTAGGGTAGTAGTCTTATAAGCTTGGGAGTCGTGGGCTTTAGTGGACTTCAACCCTGGGGACTCGGGGCCTGCTGGTTATGACGTTGCATTTACGGTTTGCATGCAGAACGTGGGTGGTATGATCTCATACTGATGGCGACGTTCAAACCTTTTCGTGATGGTGGAAGGCCGGATGGTCATGGAGCTCCACATTGTCACAATAATGTTATGGGAGTGTCCGAAAATAGGGGACCCTAATATACCCTAAATAGGTAGAATCCTTAGTATCAGGACCCCAAGATAATGTACCCCCCCGCATTTTCGGAAACTCCCTTATCCGCATCATGAGCCCCCAGGCCCTGGGTCCCTAAGATCAAGGCAAAGGTGAACGTTTACCCCTGTGCTTGCTCTGAATACTCAAAAGGTGGGTAGGACTAGAGTTGGGAAACCGGATTAAAGGAATCTATAGGGCTCCTTAAAGGAATCTATAGGGTTCCTTAAAGGGATCTATAGGGTTTACAGTAAACCCCATAAAGCTGGACACCGGATGAAGGCCAAATAGTGCTGGGATTCCCTACACATTGCTCGTAGGGATTGAGGCTATGGGGTTTCCAACTCTTGGGCTTCTACTGTACTAAGACTGTAGCCGGAAGGACTCAAGCCCGACACGGTCTCGTTCGGAGCAGCGCCGCCGGGCATTGAATAGGAGGGATTTCCCATCCTTCAGGTTCTCCCTGGGGGCTCCCTAAGCCCTACTTGGAGGATCATGGGACTTAGTAATTAAGTAAGGTTATATGTACCTTGATTGGGGTTGTAAGTCGTTATAAGTATAGTTGCTCTAATTATAAGCCTAGTTACTAAGTCCCATGATCCTTCAAGTAAGCTCCCTACAGCCTAAACCTTAATCCAGGCATAGATCCCAAGGGAAAGCAACCCTAACCCCAACCATCCCCCCCTGCAAAAGAGAATGGCTGCAGCCTGACAATGTTGTCGGTGGGTCGCTTGGGCTCGAAGTCACGCTCTTCAAGCCTAGAAACTTCAAGACCAAACACTGAAGACCTCAAGCCCATGGAGCCTCAAACCACTGCAACCCTTACTGGAGGGTTTAGGGTCCGTGCTTAAAAAGGGTTTGCCTGTGAGAGAGAGAGAGAGAGAGAGAGAGAGAGAGAGAGATAGAGAGAGAGAGAGAGGGAGGGTTTAGGGTTTCGCCAGAATCAAGAAGGGTTACCCTCAATCTGAATCCTGACCCTGCGACCCTCAACCGTTTCAGGATGTCCGCCTGTGCTGCTGCTGACGCTTGGGGGTCGGCGCTGCACCTGCTGGCGACAATGTCTGCAGAGGTCGCGGTCAGGATTTATGGCCCTTTGGGATACCTGATATTGAACAGGAATGATTGAACATCATGAGCCTGGAGCTAGTCTTGCGGCAAATTGAAACCAATTTCACTGGGTCACCGGTTCTGGAGCTTGTGTGTTGCAGAGCTAGAATGTTTCTGGAATGGGGCTTCGGGGCGTGGGAATTTTGGGGGTTCAAGGTCAATCTTGTATCATATCTGCTCTCCATGGTTTACCCATAGCCCGCATAGTTCCTTTGCGGGATCACTTTCTTGGAATTCTAAATATGACCACCAAAAAAGGGAACTACTATGGGGCCTATGGGTAGGGCGATATGGGAGTTTCCGAAAATAGGGGACCCTAATACAGTACCCTAAATAATAGGATCCTTACTATAAGGACCCAAAACAAGGTACCCCTAATTTTCGGAAACCCCCCATATGTCCACGCTATCACCTGCAGCCCAGAGCCTCCCAATGTCTCCGGAACCATGGGCTTCGAGATTGGAGACGAAACCTTCAAGGGTACCTTTAAAATCCTTTAAAGGGATCTATAAGGGTTCCTTTAAGGGTTCCTTACAGGGATCTACAAGGGTTCTATAAAGGGTTTAGGGTTTGGGAGTTTCAGAAGATTGAAGGTAACTTATTTTGGGGTTCCTATAATAAGGAGCCTACCATTCAGTGTGCTATATTAGGGTCCCCTATTTTCGGAAACTCCCAAGTGTTCTAGAAACCGGTGGTGAACCCTCACATTGATGCGAACCAGAACACTTTCCATAGTAATCATCATGATTTCGTTTCGTGAATTTTTCTGCTCATTCGGCACCCTGACAGCAGCAATTAAATCGGAAACTCAAGAGACTCTAAACCTTATAAAGTCTGAAGAACATCAGACCCGAACTTTCATGAAACCCTGAGCCCTCAAGCCCTGCCTTTCACCCCGAAGCATTGCGGCGCTAAGCCTAAACCCTAAATCTTTCCCCTGGCCTGTGGCCTTTCGCAGACGGATATGGGAGTTTCCGAAAATTAGGGGTACCGTATTTTGGGGTCCTTATAATAGGCATCCTACTATTTAGGGTACTATATTAGGGTCCCCTATTATCGGAAACCCCCATATGATCTGCAGGCGGAAAAAGAGGTTCAAAAATCAAAAGCCTTCTTCTTGTTGCCGGTCCCTAATCACCCTTCAGCGCACTCGTCCTTGCGAAGTATGAGGCATATGACATATGAAACTACAACCCCAAACCCTAAAGTCAAAAAAAGGTCCACTCTCTCCTCGTCCGGCGAGTCCGAGTTGCGACAGCATACAGTCTACTCTCTCGAGAGTTGAGGCCACGGAGCCGGATTTGATCTGCTTCAACGTGGCCATCAGTGCATGCGAAGCTCGTCTGGCCACGGGGTTTGGCTCGTAATCCACGGGCCTGAAGAGTCGGAGTAGGTTTGTTGCGGATATCATACTATAGCTAAAGCCTAGCATTCAGTTAGTGTGTGTGTGTGTTTGTTTTATTTCGAAAAAGCGTAAAGAATATTAGAACGAAAGCGGCCGAGCACTAACTTAGCTATTTAAGGGTTCAGGGTCTGGAGTGCGAGGCTTCTTCGGGTCTGTTTCTTTGTGACACGCAAGTGAAGGTTCCCGAACGGGATTCAGGCGCTCCGGGGGTTCGGGCGTTTCGGAGTTTCCGAAACTGGGGGTACCACCTATAATAAGGATCCTACTATTTAGTGTGCTATATTAGGGTCCCCTATTTTCGGAAACTCCCAAATAGTGTAAGCCGTAGACCTACAAACCGTGGTACACCCTTCTTCTAATCGTTGGGTGTAGGGTCCGGCTCGATGAATACTTCGTCTTGCTGCCTCGGCACCTAAAGTTTTCTTGAGCTTGGAAACTGTTCGTCGTCCTCATGATTTTCAGCTCAGGGCCCGAGGCTAAGGCAGGTCTTATTATCCAGTCAGCGGTATCTTCAGGTCTCAAGCACGATTGTCATACCTTGGGAGCACATTCATGGACAGATGGGGCATGATGGGGGCTCATGCTTCGGGCACACTGTGCTATCTCAGGAGATGACCGGAAGGTGGCAGACAGCCCTGGCGCTACTGGAGGACCTGTGCAAGAACTTCAGCCCGACGGCCACGAGCTTCAATGCCGCCATTACCGCCTGTGGGAAGGGCGGGGAGTGGCAGCGGGCTCTGACCCTGCTGTCCTCCATGCATGACGCAGCTGTGCTGCCCGACAGAATCAGCTTCAATGCGGCCATCAGTGCTTGCGACAATGGTGGAATGTGGCCAGCTGCCGTCCACCTTCTGTTCAGCATGCACGGCCGGATGCAAGCTCCCGACCAGGTTAGTTCCTTGCCTTTGCCTGGCAAACCTTGAAGCAGCTCTCGAATTGACTTGTTTGAAGAGGGCACTGTTGGGCATGTTCATGCACATGTTCTTTCCTGCTGCAGGTTTCAATGCCGCCATCAGTGCCTGCGAGCAGGGGGGTGCGTGGCATCAAGCCTTGGCTGTGTATCAGGAGTTGATCCTTGCAGATTTGTCTCCGGATGAGCTTACCCACAACGCCGCCGTAGCTCGACGTAAGCTTCGTACTTCTGCGATTTGATTGCCTGCTTCGGAGGCCAAGGTCAATTTTTCTCTTCTGTACCGGCATTTAGATGTTGTAGTACATGCATATGCACGAATAAATGAAGACATAAATCAATGCAAAAAGAGATGCATACCTGTATGTATGCATACATGCATGCATACATAGCTGCGTAACATACCTGTCTTTATCTATATATACATATACATACACATAGGTACATAAGTTCATGTACAGACAGAGAGAGAGAGAGAGAGAGAGAGAGAGAGAGAGAGAGAGAGAGAGAGAGAGAGAGAGAGAGAGAGAGAGAGAGAGAGAGAGAGAGAGAGAGAGAGAGAGAGAGAGAGAGAGAGAGAGAGAGAGAGAGGGAGAGAGGGAGAGAGGGAGAGAGGGAGAGAGGGAGAGAGGGAGAGAGGGAGAGAGGGAGAGAGAGAGAGAGAGAGGCGGAGAATGGAGGTCAGGTCTCTTAACCTAGTTTCTCTCATGTCTTCCCCACTTCCAGCATTGAGAATTGTAGAGTTGGGCTTGAACTACTGTGCAATGAAGGAGGACAAGACTGGAATGATGAATATGCCTTTGCGTGCACATTTCCGTTCAGACTGTTCCACACGTTCATGTTTTATGTCGGGTGTGTTGACATCGTAACATTGATAGCGTTAGAGAGGGAGAGGGAGAGTGATCCGGATAACCTCTGTGAAGCACAGAGTGTTCTCAACTTGCGGTGTCTCATGCCGACCATTCGCGAAACGAAGACCCTGTTTGGCAGAGCCCGCTGTGAGAGCATGCGTGCCGTGTAGCGCCTGATTCTTGATCGTTTGGGGGGTGTCGCCGGGGTTACGGAAGTAGGGCTTTTGCTTCAAAGTCTGAACTATTGTCTCTGAATCTCCCCTAAACCCCGCCCCACAACTACATCGGTGATCGGCTCTATCTGCCTTAAAGCATCTACAATCTATATGCTCACCAACCCTGCCGAAACAAGACCCCCAAGAAAGCAAGGGCCCTTGAACAAAGCGGGCCTCTTCGCGCCTAAGGTTGGCTCTTTTGCTGTGGCCAGTGCCTGGGTTGCTGCCTTGCACTTTTTAGCAGCGCCTTGGCCTGCTTGTGAGTTTCCGAAAATTAGGATAACAAGGATCCTCCTATTTAGGGTGCTATACATTAGGATCCCCTATTTTCGGAAAGACACATTCGTTGCTTTTCAGGGATCCTCGTCAACCTCGTGGAGGGTGCAGACAAAACTGTTGAGGCCTTGGCCTATTTGTGGGTTTTCAATGATCCTATTCAACCTACTTGAGGGGCTCCTGTGGTCTGAAAGACCCTGCATAGTAGGTTCGTCCTAGCCAGGCGGGAGGCAACAAAAACAAAAACTCCCATTTTGGCTACGCCATGTGCACCGTACAATAAAACTCAGTAAACCGTTGGGTTGTTTTGGCTTAGAGTATTACGTTCGAGAGTCCCGAATCAGTTCCAACAGTGGGGTGGGGCGGAGGTGGGGGGACGTTGTGGCTAAGCTTGGGGGAGCCATGTGATTTGGGTGAAGACTTTCAAGCTCGGCCATGGGGAGATGTGAGACAAATATTTTCCAGAATTGGCAAAGGCACTCGTAGCACTAGTACTACTTTTTGTTCGACGCTCCTGGCCTTAGACCCAGCAAGCCTACATCAGCTTGAGAGTAGCACTGCCTGAACAGAAGCATGCAGCTGGTTCGTAGCACAACTTGGGCCGTTCTTCTTGTCCTCGCAGCGGCGTGAGAATATAGGCGCCTTAAAAATTAGACTAGGGTTTGGGGCCTTTTATACATTTTTATATAATAAGGAACCCCGAAACAGTGTTGGTAATCATTTAGGCCCCTCCATTACAACACCGAGCCGAGATCTGCAAAGGAGGAGATGCTATCGCGGGGCCTTTGCCCAAACGGCCTGCATGCCGGGGCGGTGGCAAGGTCTGCGATGGCTTCAGAGGGCCTGGAGGTGGGACTGGGCTTTTCGGGAAAAACAAGCCTCGACTTCCTTGAGTCCTACAAGCCCGTACCCTGTAAACTTATGAACCCTGTAAGCCCGAAGCCCTAAAGTAAACAAGCACCTGCTCAAGTTCCCGGCAGCTCGATCTGCTGAGCTCTCCAAGTCGCGGTGCGGAGCGCAAATCTATGGAGCAACCTGTAGCGCTCTTCCTGTATGGGGTTGGGTTTCGGGGTTTAGGGTTTGTCACACGACAAGTAACTAGGTAGAACTCGCAATCGCAATCAGTCGCAGCCGCAGACGCAGTCGCAGTAGTAGAAGTGAATTATTATCATTATTATTATCAGTAGTAGTAGTAGTAGTAGTGTTAGTAGGAGTAGTAGTTGTTGTTGTTAGTAGCACTAGCACTAGCACTAGCACTAGCACTAGCAGTAGCAGTAGCAGTAGTAGTAGTAGTAGTAGTAGTCCTCTTCAAGGTTTGCTGAACCGTCTAGCTAGTAGAACGTTTCCTTCTACTATTCCTTATTAGGTTTCGCTGAGGCTCACTGCAATTCTGGTTCGAGGAAAAATGGATGCTTTTTCTCATAGGTTTCCCTAAACTCACCAAAAACCCAAGTCTTCTGGTTAGGCTTTTTGACCGGGGAAGCTCAAACCCTAAAGCCTCCTGAACCTTGTAGTCGCGAATCCTAACTTCAAACCCAGAGCATAAGCCCAAACCCTCCACCCTAAAACCTACCTTAACTCTAGGTTACTCAGTTGCCGACCAAGAACCTCGTCTGGATTGTCCGAGTTGCGAGAGCGTAAACCCTACCCTAAACACACTGTGGGCTCGTCCTAAGGAAGGAGGAGGCAAAAAACAAGCCCTTAGTCTTCAGCCCTAAGTCCTAGCCCCAGACCCCAGTCCCCTCAACACTAAACCCTAAAACCCTCCGAGTGTGAGCGCCGAAACCCTAAAACCCTAAACCCTGGTGCTGTGGTCGAGACTGGGATCCTCGCCAAGGTTTGTCCGAGTGTGAGTGCTGAAACCCTCGAACCCTCCCAGACCCAAACCCCAAATGGGGGTTTAGGATCCTTATTATGGGGACCCCAAAATAAGGTACCCCTTATTTTCGGAACCTCCCAAACCCTTAACCCTTTATAGAGCCCTTATAGATCCCTTTGTTAAGGAACCCTTAAAGGATCATTTTCGGAAAACTCCCAAATCCCAAATCCCTTATGGAGCCCTTTGAAGGAACCCTTATGGTACCCTTATAGTAACCCTTTAAAGGAACCCTAAGGTACCCCCTATTCTCAGAAACTCCCAAATCCAGAGACTCCAATACCCCTTAATTAAGGAATATACCTTAAATTATAGTAGGATCCTTAATATGATTTAAGGAATATTCCTTAATTAAGGGGTATTGGAGGCTCTGGGAAGCACCCCCCCCCCTTATCGTGGTATCGTCCGGTGAGGCCGCCTGGAGCTTCTTGGAGCTCTGGCGGAAATTCAAAGTTGAGAGGACAGTCTACGGGGTAATAGGGGTTGAAGATTTTAGGCTTTGGGGGTATAAGATTCCTTACTTGTACATATATATATATATATATATATATATTTTTTTTTTTACATTTTTTGTTTCTGGGATTAATCAGACGGGATCCTTAATGTGATTGAAGTGTTCTCTGCTGTGGAGACCTTTCTATGCAATTGGGGCTTTGCGAAGTACATGACCACTCGACGGAAGTCCTACTTTCCACTGTGTGCGCGCGCGAGAAACATCACCCTAAAACTGCAGACCCCTAAACCCTAATCACCTCGTCAGGCATGTCCGAGTTGCGAGAGCGTAAACCCTAATCACCGAACTCCGAACAGCGCTGCAAGAATCTGACGCATGGGACGGCTTTCCGCCTTCAGCATAGCCGCTCCTGCTGAGAGATTGCGACAAAGATGCTGACTCGCAAAGAGCCGTCAACCCGACCCGCGGACTACAGGCGTTCCGTCCAGCATACTCAACCTAATTTAATGCATCGCACGCGCACGCCTAAGCTCTCGTGTGCTACAATGATGATGATTATTGTTTATGATTGGTACTATTGTTGTTATTGTTATATTGCTATTGAGATTGATTTTAGTACGGTTGTTTCGACATTAAGTTTTGCTATAATTATTGGTTTCACAGCTAACAAGTTTATTCTTGTTTTTTGCAGTATTTATTCATCCAATAATTGCTATGATTAATAGTGGCAGTAGTACTATGACGTTATCTCCGGGCCAGATCAGCCAATGCCAATCTTTAAGGAGCAGTTCAAGGAGCTCTGGCTTGTTGCGTTCGGCGGGCAGGTGGCGGAAGTGCCGCTGAATGCGCGCCCGGGCGGAGCAGGGAGCCTTTAAGGGGAACCCAAACAAAAACCCTAAGACGCCCTTAAACTGGAGAGATGGGAGGGCTGTGAGGATTGAGGGATTGAGGGCTGAACTGTATCAAGCTCAGACAAGGCAGTTGTTCGACCTTTCGGTCTTCTCCCCAGCTCTCTCCACGGGCTACCTAAATTGAAGAAGGACTGTTGTCATCCCGAGTCCGATAGTTCAGGACCCCGCATCAAACCAAGAGACCTGCAGAAGATAGAAGCCTGAAGAATACGGTTACATAAGGTTCCCTCTATAACAAAGATAGTACTCAATACCCATATGCCCCGAAACTGTAGTAGCTCTTATCCCAACAAGCGGTCATAATGAAGGCTCCTGTTGTGTACCCTGAAATCCGCGAGGCTTGAGGCCTGCAAAGCCTCCTTGACCCCCCAAAAAATCCGCGTGCTGAACTCAGGTTAAGGGGTTGAAGGTATTTCGGGTGTTTGGGTTTAGGATCTCTAAAGTCTTATGGCTCAGGGCTTAAGGTATTTAGGGTCTGTGGTATTTCTGGTGTTTTGGGTTTTAGGATGTCAGTTTCTCTGCTCAGGTGCTTAAAGAGTACCGGGCGGCCAGATGCTGCCGAGGAGCAAGGGACTGGGCATGTAGCGGATGCTTCGAGACACAGAGAAAGAGAAAGAGAGAGAGAGAGAGAGAGAGAGAGAGAGAGAGAGAGAGCGAGCGAGCGAGCGAGCGAGCGAGCGAGCGAGCGAGCGAGCGCGAGAGGGAGGAGAGAGGGAGAGAGGGAGAGAGAGGGAGAGAGGGAGAGAGGGAGCGAGGGAGAGAGGAGCGAGGGAGGGAGGGAGGGAGGAAGGGAGGGAGGGAGGGAGGGAGGGAGCGGGCGGGCTGTAATTAGGGCAAGGGAAATATCATGAGGTCAGAATGTGGTAGCATGCATTCTCCTCCCTCCCGAAGTGCTCCACCAACATGGAGGCCTTTGCAGCCCGAGTCTGCCTGTACCTCTGCAATCGGTTATGTGGTCAGATCAGAGGGAGACTGGCCTGAGATTGCTGCGAGCACTGGGATTCCGAGCTCCACAACCTCACGCCTACTCTTGGTATAGAGCACCTCTGCAATGTCAAGCCAAGACCCCCAACGCCGGATCTCGCAATCTCGCGTTGTGGGACACCTACTCTTGGTATAGAGCACCTCTGCAATGTCAAGCCAAGACCCCCAACGCCGGATCTCGCAATCTCGCGTTGTGGGACACGAAGCCGGAGACCGAAATCAGAACCGCCTCCACCCCGTCCTAAAATTAGCTCCCCCTGAACGGTCCTTCACACAAACCTCTGTATATGTAGCCCACAATCCCAAGGTGAAACTCACCCGTTCTGTTAACGTTTTTGGCTGTTTTGTGAGGACGTGTCACTGCTCGCCAGTGCTCCAGGGGCCCCGCTGTCTGCAGGAAGGCTGCGTTTCCTTTCAGGGTCTTTTCGGGTTTCTGCCAGGCCTCCTGCAGAGGTTCTGTAAGGGATTAGGGCTCTGGTGCTATGATGGTTGGTAGGCCTAAAGGCGCATGGAATGTGCAATGACGTGCCCATGTGGGGCGGAATTGGTGCCATCTGTGGCGAACTGCATTGGTATATCAGGCCGATAGAAGCTTGCTGATAGGAGGCTTGGATCGTCCTCAACTCACCGCGGCAAGCTGTATCATGTGTTGCCATGATTAATTTGCTTGGGCCGGGATGCGGGTTCCAAGATGTTCCAAGACTTACCGTTTTATGGACATGTTCCGAGAAACATCGGGGTCAGTCAATTAAGATCAGGGCTATGGGGGCATTCAATCCCCAATGCCGCTAGGCCCCACATCACTCAGGTCATCTTCGCTTGCAAGCCTGCCGGGTTGACTACCGATGAGGTGGTCCGTGGCCTGGCGGTAGCAGCTGAATGACTAGTCGTGTCGTACAAGGCTTTCAGGAGCTCTTGATACAGAAGCCCTCAGCGAGTTGGGCTGCGCTTGCTCAAGGACGTTTGTTTCCGTGTTCCGCATCCAAGATGCGAGCGTTTGACTTTGCGTGAGATGCAGGCCTGGGATTTGTGAAACATGTCAATTCCCCTCAAACGCCATAGAGGTGTGACTGTTCGAAGATGCAGGCCCGTTACATTAGTACTTACCACTTGGGTGTGGGAAAACTGAGCGCTTCGGGTTCGTAGGGAGATCCGGAGGTTGAACATATCAGGATGAAAATCAGAGTTTGTGGTGGCCTGGTGCTCAGCACCGCATTCCCTAATCCCTAAATCCGCTGAGCCCTGTTGAAGTTGTCTTAGGTTGCGGGGAGAGGCTGTTGGTTTTTTTTTGCAATTGTGTTTTGTCTTTCTGCCCCGTCCGCAGCATATAGGTTGAGTGTCTGATTCGGTTTCTGCCAACAGGCCACATCAAAACACCTTCCTTGTGCACGGGGGCATGCTAGCTGTAATAGGGAGCCTACCTTACCCGTGCTTGCGAGACCTAAATTCCAAGACTTAACACGTGGCATAGATTTCTGCTTAAGACTAGGGCCCGCCCAAGCCTTCACCCCTTTCTTTCATGTTAACCGCGGAGCCTCACATATAACCCACGAACCCATGATAGAGTTACCTTCCACACAAGATTTTACTATTTTCAGTATACTTAACCCACTGCTTCAAACTATGCGCCGTCTAGACGTCAGTCCCACAAGCTGATGAATCCTAACCCACTCGAATCCGAATGCCGTAGCTACACACTCAAACCAGGTAAGCAAAGTAACCTTCAGATCTGCTCTAGCATCGTAACAGCCCTGCAGAATGCCAACAGGTTAACAATGAGGTTCCCCTGCGACAGTGGACCGATAATGGCGCTGACATATCCTGACCCCATACTCCGTAGCATTCCGTGGCACCCACAATCAAGAAGCCCAGGGAGAGTGGCTGAACTATTGCAGCCCATGTCAGCTGCACTTCACGTCGTGTCGCGTTTGGACCGGTGTTGGTTCGGGGTGCTTTGGGCTTTGGCTGCTAATGTAGGGGCCTGAATAATTACCAATACTATTTTGGGGGTTCCTTATTATAGCTATAGTACCAAAGCCCCATTATTAAGGCCCCTACATTATAGTACCCTTATAGATCTCTTTTGGTAGCCCTTATAGAACCCCTTTAAAGGAACCCTGCTCTAATTTAATATCCTGCTATCTCTCTCGCTGTCGCTCTCGTCCCTTCTTTGTTGGTGCTTGTCTTGAACTGCTCGACGTGGCTACTACGGGTCTCAGTTGGGAATGTAGCCTTCGGAAAGTTCAGATAACATATGTTATTAACATCAATTAACATCTGCGATGTCAGTTTTCATGCAAGACCAGAGTTGCAGAATCTCCTGTTTCGGGTTTAGGATTTCTGGAGTGAAGGGGGCTGGCAAGCAAACAGTGGTATGCAGGCTTCTGACTTTCGGGTAGAGACAAAGCATGGTGCAGAGCTCTTGGGCTACAGTCTTCGGAGATTCTCGCATGTCAATGCAGTCCTACTGAGTCTAATGTTTGCCTGTTTGTTTTTCTTGGAGCCAAGAATTAGTTACAAGTAGTGAGGTCTCTTTGGTTTCATGGTAAACTGCCCATGACGTGTACGACTGGCTACGACAGTATTCACCAGATCTATTATTTCAATTCTGCCACGGGCGTCTGTTTCCGCTCATCACAAGACAGAAGGTGATCGCATCTTCTTGAGAATCATGTTGTTGACGTTTTTGGTCTTAGACTGTTCTGTGCTAACTATGCCTTTGGCCTTTCTGTCCGACATGTGTGCACTCCGTGCCTTCTCCTGTAGATAAGGGTACTTTCGATGCTTTCTTGTATGACTCGAATTGGAACTTCGGTGTATGCTTTTGTGGACGATTCAGGATTCTGTCCACCAGCTGTATGTTGAAAGGCTGCCCATGCTCCTTGTTGGCTTTTTCTTTTTCGTAAGACCGTGAGCCCGAACCCCTGCAGCTTACACTCCGTAAGCCCCGAAACCGACAATTTTGAATCCTATGGCGCCGCAACCTCAAAGCCAAAACCTCTTCTTCTGTGAAGGGTTCAGGATTCTGGGGTTGAGTGTAGAATTCATGGAGAAAACTGATAACAGAGTGTTCAGGGTTGAAGGAATTTAGGGCTCATATGCAAGCCCGAACCCAGAGACTCCAAGATCCCTTAGTTAAGGAATATACCTTAATTTATAGTAGGACCCCCCCCTAATATGATTTAAGGAACATTCCTTCATTAAGGGATATTGGAGTCTCTGGGAACCCCCTCGTGGCCTGTCAGGATCAGGGGACCTCTGGGGTGATGCCCCTGGCGCTCGGGGGACCCATGGCATTTTCGGAGAAGGTCGTTGGTTCCTTTGAAGGGGTTCTGTAAGGGTAGCAAAAAGGGATCAACAAGGTTGGGAAGGAGGATGTAGGGGCCTGAATATTTAGAATAGGGTTTTGGGGACAGTATACTATAACCATATTGAGGGACTCCCCCCCCCACAATAGTATAGGTAATTATGCAGGCCCCTGTATCATGGGCTTTCTCGCACTTGAGGGCTCCAGGTTTCAAGGTGCAGCAAGCAGGTTCCAGGCATACCACTATAGAGGCCTTAATAATTGCCTATACTATTTTGGGAGTTCCTTATGATAAATGTACTATAATGGGGGCCTTCTACATGTAATGAATACTATAGGGGCCTTAATAATTACTTAAACTATTTTGGGAGTTCTTCATGACAAATATAGTATAATGGTGGCTTTCTAATGAATTATCAAGGCCCCTATATACATTAGGATCGAAGGGCGAGCTTTGAGTGCTTCGTCCCTGGGCTCGGGAGCTTGATGTTGTCTCTGTGCCCAGGAGAGGGATCTGCGGCGGCAAATTGGCTTGGGGCCCAATTTGCTGGAAGGCTGGTGAAGAAGCCTGGCGACAGAATCCTCGTTTGGATGTTATTTTTGTGGGACTTTCCGAAAACTAGGGGTACCTTATTTGGGGCCCCTATAATAAGGATCCTACTACTTAGGGTGCCTATATTAGGGTCCCGCATTTTCGGATACTCCCAAATAGTGTTTATGGGGTGAAGAGGTCTTGTTATAGACCTGTAGATAGGCGATCGCAAGGCTTTGATTCGGAGTCTGTCAGAGCCCCGACCCACCACGCAAGCCCCGAGATGAGTTTTTTTGCATTATGCTGGACGCACTGTCTCCTGCTTTAGGCTTGAGGCAAACAAAGGCACAGCTAGCCCAGGAGACTCCAATATCCTTAAATTAAGGAATATGCTTGAAACTAGTGTAGGATCCTTAATTTTATGATCTACCGTGCATTCCTTAATTATGGGATAGTGGAGTCTCTGGGCACCCTCCCAAAGAAACTTGAAGCTGAGGAAGGAATACATTTGCCTGTGCGAGGGGCCTCCCTTTGGCCCGGTTGGGCACGGTGCGGTGCTGACTTATCCGCTGCGGCTGGTGCAGCTGAGCAGCGTGGCGGCTTTTAAGTGTTGGCTTTAGGATTGGGGGTGTGGGGTTTGGGCTTGACTGAAGGGATTCAGGGCTTCATGCGTTGCAGTCTCTGCTCAACAAAAGGGTTTGGGTTTGATAGAGCCTTAATCCTCAAAACCCTTGACCCCCAACCGGCTGACATATATTTGTACACACCTATATCTATATCTATGCATATATATATATATATATATATATATATATGCATATGGATCTTGAAGAATGGACCCAGGGCCTTTAGGGCCGAGGGTTTCGGTCGGTCGGAGGGAGGACCTGGGGAGTTTTCTTTTACGGGCGCAGTTTTTAGGGCTACTATAGGGGCATTTATAATTACCTATACTAGTTTGGGAGTTCCTTGTTATAATGATAGTAGAATGGGGCCCAAAACCCTTAGGGTTTGAGGGCTTAGGGGCCTGGATGGTTTGCTTTAGGCGCGCATTTACTTCCCAGCAGAGGCTTTGCAGGCTGGATGCAAAAATGGGGCCTGGATGCCAAGGGGGTGTTCGTGTTTATGTAGGGGTTACGGACAGTTACGGATTTTGATGGCATGGCCCTGGAAAACCGGAAGACTTCCAACACTACTTGCTCAGCAGCAACTTGCCAATTTTACAGTGTGTACATTTACCAAACTTCACTGAGACATTGTGTACCGTCGCGGTGTAATGTAGGAGCCTTAATAATGGGAATATGGGTCTGGGGGCTCCTTATTATAATTACAGCATAATATGCCCCCAAACCCTATTCTAATTGTTAAGGCCCCGCTAATAATCCGCTAATATACGTTCGTAAACATCTTATGCATAATGCCTTCGGCGAGAGTTTAATCCCAAGCCCATACTGATCTAAAGCCGAATCGTGCCGCGCTCATGATTCCTTAGATCCTTCAGCCGAAGCCTAAATCCGTAAACTGTCAGGTCCAAAGCCCTTCTGAAGCCGGAAACCCAAAAGCTCAAGGCAAGGGCCCCTAACTCGAAAACCCTGAACCTACCTCGACCCCAAAACTGCAAGGACTTGTCCACATGTGAGCTTCAAAAAATACCCAACCATGCTAAACCTAAATCTCAAGCCGAAAATTAGGGGTGCCTTACTTTGGGGCCCTTAAAATAAGGATCCCACTATATTAGGGTACTATATTAGGGTCCCCTATTTTCCGAAACCAAGGCAAAGACACCTACCAAGTCGAGGTTGCCTCGGCGGGACGACCTGCAGAGACGGCTCTCCAAGTGATGGCGTGCTACGCCACAGCAGTCAGTCTGGTCTTTCTAAGGTTACTAGTGACTACGGTTTAGGGTTTAGGGTTTAGGGTTTCCAGTAGGGATCTTGGCAGTGTGGGAGTTTAGGGTTTTGGGAGCTTAGAGGTTCTGGGCATTTTGCTAGTTTTGTGGTTGAGGCTCAGAGAGTGTTGGCCTTTGCTTGTGCAGATCAGAAAGGCGATTTCCAGTGAGAGCACAAGAAGGCACATGCAGTGCAGTGATGTAGAAGACTGTCGTTCAGTATGTCATGCTAGCAGTCGGCACAAGGTATATATATATATATATATATATATACATATATATATGTATATATATATATATATCACAATGTACGACTGGACCTTCAAGCCGCCCTTCACTCTGACACCCGCGGAGTTTCTGCTCGGGGCTTGGCACACGTCCAAAGTTTCGCTCCGTGCACATCCGGGTAAGCCATGACGGGGGAATCCGGAAACGAGCTCAGGCTGTTGCAGGAGGAGCTTCGAGAGGTGAGCGATCGGCTCAAAACGCTCGAGACCTTGGACATCTCTCAGGAGCTCCGCGTGCTCAGTGAGCGTCTCGCACGGCTTGAGACTGGAGGGATCCAGGAAGAGCAGATCGCGTTTACCACTGAGCAAGATCAGGTCGTACCAGATAACCGCGACATCAACGATGTGCAGCGACTGGAGGCTGGAATGCTTCCTGGTGCCAGTGAGACCGAGACGGCCGAGACGGAGCAGTTTCAAACACGGCAGCCACGAAAGCTCACACACAAGTCGGTCGTGGTAACAGAATCGGACCACCCGCTTCAAGAGTCCTTTTGGGATGCTTTGCTGCTGGCAGGCTTGGACGAGATCGGCCCGGCTGGCAGTGCTGTCATCAGCTTCGGCGTGCTGGCGAGTTTCGGGCTCCAGCTGCTCTTCGTATGGATTGTTTTAACATCCTTCCTTGGCGATGATCCCAAGTATGACATTCAGCATTTGAAGAACTGGCGTGTCCTCTACGGGCACAACTATGAGAACATCGATTCCTCCGGCGCATCACTGGTCTCAAAGATTTGCGGTGGGGCCCTCTTCGAGCGCGAATGGTGGCACAGCTCGCTGCTGGATGAGGTGGATGCTTACCTGGATCCTGTGTTCCCAGGCAACATAGGGACCCTTAGAGGGCCTATTTAAGGACAAAAAAAAACCCTTGCCCCCCTCCCCCTACCCCCCTTATAAGGCTCCCTATGAAGGCATGTTTCCTGACTTGAGCGTCGGGGTGGTCCTGTCCAGCGTCGCACTTGCAATCTGGGCCTTCTACATTGCTGCCGAGCTCCAGGATGCTGTAAGGTTTCTATAGTACCAGAAATTAGGGGTACCTTATTTTAGGGTCCTTATAATAAGGATCCTACTATCTAGGGTATAATAGGACTAAATAGGTAGGGCTTTGCGACATTTTATATTTCTCTTATTGGGCTTAAGTGATTTAAGAGGATCTTACCTACTAATATATTTTTCAAAAGGCTTTGACAGCCCCTCCTACAGGTTTGCCTGGTCCATATACCGGCTGCCCCGCGGCAACACTGTCATTAGCATGGTGAGCGAAGACGAGCGAGTCTTTGAAAGCGTCAGTCGTCTGCGGCGCACGGCGGTGTCTTTCACGGTCTTCGCACGCTTTGGGATCGCAGTGACACTGGGAATGTCTGGCGGCCTGTGGCTTGCTCACACCCGAGATGTCACCAACATTATGCTCAACGCCGTCGCCCTGCTGTTCATTCTGGAGATCGATGAGCTCTTGTGGAAAGTCATGGCATCCAGGCACACTAGCAAGTACCTTTCCTCTGTTCGAACGCTCCAGCTGGGTCCCCGCAAGACATGGGCCGGAGTGGACATCGCCTGCATTTTGCGGCTCATCTTCATCATTGTGGCTCTTGTTATCTTCATCCAGAAAACCGTCTGCAGAAATGCAACGCAAGCCCAGGTAGCACGCGACATCCTCTGCGGAGGGAACAGAGACTTCGTGTACTACTCCAACCCACAACTTGGGCCCATCATGGTCATGGACACGACGCCCTTCGATGTCCAAGGTGGGCTCTGGGAACCCGGCATTCGTTCGATGCTTGAAGTGGTGGTGTCGAATTACGACCGCAAAGATGTGGACTTTGCAAATTGGAGGCTCAACCTGGGGGATTTCAAAGTGGTCGCGCAGGTTGCGCCCACAGGCCTCACACAGATCTTTACAGCATATACCCAGCTCACGACTGTGACTGCTGCAGACAACCCCATTATCTTTGGCAGCTCTTGTGAAGACCAGACCCCTTCCGAGTTGGAGTGGGAGTGGTCGGCGCTCACGGCCATGACCGGTGCCAGAAACTGCTCTGAAGTGCGGCACTTGTGTGACAACCGCCACTTTCCACTCGTGCGCATGATTTGCCCAGAAGCCTGCGGCTGCGACGTGCTAAACAGTGGAATGTTCATGGACACCGGATGCCGGCATCAGTGTCAAGCTGGACCAGCCTTCATTGCAAGTCAGCACAATACTTCGTGCCAGGACTACTCGGTGTCGAACCTCAATGACACTCGCTCAGGGGCTTGGGCACGCTACTTTCACGACTGGGGCCGCTTTCTGTGGTCCATGTCGCCAAACCGGACTGCGATGAAGGACTTCTCGGAGATGCTCATGGTTGTGACATTCGCAGACTGCGCCTTTGTAAACGAGATAGATATGATGGACTTCCTGCTCTGCAAGCCGGACCCAGTTGCAATGTTTGGTGGTGAGGGTTTCCCTATGAGCCTCCGAACGGGCGCTTGGCTTTGTCCCGAATCCTGCGGCTGCAGCCAGAAAGATACGGCTTGGTGCCCGAAATGCTCCGAGGATGGCGATCCTGATGCCTAGAACCAAAGCGCGATGGGACTTATTAGGTCCTTAATTATTATGGGTATTTAGGCCCCCTACCCCCGGCCCTCTACCCCCCTAAGGGGTCCTTATGATAGAAGGTATATTTTTTGTTTTTTTCTGCTGTCTCTTGGGTTGAAATCATGTTACGGAGGACCCCACAAGGATGGTCCTGCTTGGAGCCCGAAAAAGTCGCTGTCCGGATGCGGAGGGTTTAGGGTTTTGAAGAAGTGGGGGAAAGGGGGGCTCTTGCTGTAACCAGGCTGCTGGACAACGAGGCCTGCTGCAAAAAGGGCGATGGCGGGTTGCCATGTAGTTGGCCACTGGTCACATCACAGCTTTTGAGAGTGAACCAGGGATTGTAGATTGAGATTTGCAGTCGCTAAGATCAAAGCAGCCGACTGCCATGAGGCTTTGAGATGCAGAGCGACGAGGTTCCAGGCTGGGACATGGATTTTAGCCAGTTGCGTGCAGGCGAAAGGCTAAAGCACCTGGGGATTAATGATTCGTCAAGAGCAGATTGTCAGGACCTTTCAATTCCATTATCCCTTGCACCGCTGCCATACCAGGAATCCGCCGAATTTTTAGGGGGAATAGCTTCTTGGTTCGGTTGCTGAAGCAATCGGGGCACTGAAACTGAAGCTTTTCTCACATTGCATTGTTGTAGACAGATGGTGGCTTTTGTGCTTTGTTGGTTTTCATGCATATACGTCATGACATGTGCGATACCCTTTAAGTTGTATGACAATATTTGACACACAGACCCGCTGCACTACATACAAGGTCCGGTGAGCGGCATCTCTGGAAGTCATTCAGCATAGAACTGGTCATCGTCGTAATCGTAGGAATACTCGTCATCCTTCCGACTGGAATGCTCCGTCTTGCGTTGCAGAGCTGGAAAGCAGCATCGTGCCGTCTACTAGTGTCTCTTGCTTCATGACCTTGCGAAATCCTGTCAGTGTTACCACAGTGCACCATGCCTGTTGGTTACGTTTTGCTGTCGTTTTTTGCTTAGCTTGGTTGGTTGTTGTTCTCAGGCTAGCTGTTATGTTCCGAGGACAGTTTCGCGTTCGAACAGCATTGATGTGCAGGTGGCTCTAGCAGCATCTGCTCTCTGCTGACTCTGTGGCCCAAGACGGGCAGGACACCCGAGGTATAGCCTGTAGGAGTTTGTCAGTTCTCTGCTTCAAAAGAGAAGGTACAAGGCTCCAGTGAAGGAGATCTTGGGAGGAATTTTCGTAGGGCGTAGGGTTACAGGAAGCAGGGTAGCAAGGCTGCTTTAGCCTTGGATACAGGGAACACGAGAAGGAAGAATGCCGAAGCCAGGAGTTTCCGACAATGAGAGGGTACCTGATTTCGGGATTTTGAGAATAAGGATTCTACTATTTAGGGTGCTAAATAAGGAGTCACCTATTGTCGGAAACTCCGAAAGCCGGCCAACGGACCTTCAACCTCAGGCAGGTTCATGTGGCCCAACCCGAAGGTCGCAGAATCCTGATTCCTTCGAAACCCGAAAGCCATGAAGTCCTGAAGCCCTAAACCCTGGCTCGGAAGACGAAAGCCCTAGAATCCTGAAGTCGCAGAAACCCGAAAGCCGTTTGATTTCTGGAAGGCCTAAACTCAAACCCTGACCCCGATAAACCGTGCACAGTTTGTTGATGCGAACCAAGAACCTCGTTTGGAATGTCCGAGTTGCGAGACCGTAAGCCTCATAAACCCTATAAGCCCTCAACCCTAAACCCTACAAACCCTAAGCCCTAAACCCGGGAACAAAACACCTGAAGCACCCTTTCCGCAGGAAGCACCAGATCCGGGCCCACCTGGCACATGCAGGCCGACCCATCGTCGGGGACTGGACCTATGGCCGTCGAGAGGACAGAGCAGGTCGATTTGGTTTTTCCCTCACATAGATATACGCATAGATTCACGAGCATAGACACCTCCTTACCGTATATGTAACCATATTGTTTCGTTATTTTGCCTACAGTTGGTTTAAAATTTTATGCAAGCAGACGGCACCCAGGGATTCGCCCTGCAAGCCTCAAGCTCCCAACAGTATGCCCCCTCCCCTTGGGCTGTTTAGTTGGTGAAGGAACTGGTGTTTTTTACCTATCATGATAAGGATACCGTTTCATTTGCCGCTTATCTCCTATGATACCTACCCCAGGTCACCCTGATGAAATTTGTGCACCGTAAACCTGTTCAAGACCTAGAAGTCTTAACCGTGATCCTTAGCAACAATCACCCTTTGTCGATTCCTCCAGGAGTCCCTTGTGCCGCGCTGTCCTCGCCTTTTCCTCCACTGCCGGCGACTTGAGCTGCGTACCGTCGAAGGACCCTGCAGGGATTCTGTGTTTGCAGGGAGGAGGCCTTGCAGGGCTCACAGGGCTTGTGGAGCTTATGGGGTTTATGCGGCGCGTGGGTGTTAGAGGGTCCTGCGTACTGGGGTTCAGTGTGGAGTTTCCCAGAGACTCATATCCCTTTAATTAAGGGGTATACATTAAATCCTACAAAGGATCTTACTATCATTTACGGTATATTTCTGAATTAAGGGATATTGGAGTCTCTGGAGTTCAGTGTTTCTCCGCAAGACTGCACCGTTGTGTGCAAACTGCAGGATGCTGACCGGGCTATGTCGCAAAAAGCTCTCCTCAACCGCTGTCACGGTTCTACACACACATATAAATATATACATGTATGTATACATACATACTTACACGTGTATAGTATATATATATATATATATGTACATGTGTATATATATATATATATACATGCATGCACATCCCAAGCCTGTAGTAGCTCCTTTTTCCTCTTCGTCCTTTGCCGATTCGACCCTGACAAGGCAACGACTTGGCCGTGGAGGCACCTTTGCCCCGAGATTTGGAGGAGGTCTTGGAGGCAATCCGCCAAGAGTCTTCTGCGTAATTGCATCAACGCACGTTTAGCTGACGTAAGGGCTTAAATGATTACCTATACTATGTTGGGGCTTCCTTATTAAGGTGAATTATAGTAGAATATACACCAAAACTCTATTCTAATTGTTAAGGCCCCTATATTAGGTTCAGGGCTTAGGAGTAGTATACCCCCGACGTCGCCGGCAGGAATTTGGAAAAGAAGGTTTTGGTCATCCAAAGAGGCCCCCAAGCTGAAAACTCTTGGCGGACCCCGAAACATCACGAGGGTTTGCTCATTGAGCAGAGACAGGATGTTGCGCTGCGACAATGCAAAAAACGGCGTGTGTGCCACGAGGGCCAAAATCTGGGACTTTCCTGAAGTTTGGGGGCTCTAGAAGTATATAACTACATGATATGGCCTGATCGCGTTTTTTTAAATGCACCTTGTTTGCTCTGAGACTCACCAAGAGCACGTGCATATGCGATCCTCAGGGAATGTAAGTTGATTAGTTCCTGCATGTTACTTAGTACTTTGTTCAAAACAGACCACCAACCTCAAACAACCAAGAGCCCTACAGTAAACCCCATAAAGTTGGAAACCGGATTCAGGCCAAATAGTGCTGTGACTCCGTATACATTACTCTGAAGGATTGATGCTATTGGGTTTCCAACTTTTAGGCTTCTGCTGCAAACTACCATGCACCCAGCACAACCCCTTCAGAGTTGCAGGATACTGGCTGCATGGTTTGTGCTTTCGGAGTGGTATTCCTCCCTGAACTCTAGACCTACGTTCTCCTACACTGGAGGACCCATACCTCCGGGTCGCAGCATCACGTGCAGGGATATGCACGGTTATTGGGAAGTGGAATTCGTTATATTCATTCGTGACTGCGACCCTGACGCTTGAACCTCGATCCCATCGCGACCGGACTATCCTCTTGTGGCTGTCATATACAAGAACACACTATAGGGGCCTAAATAATTACCAATACTATTTTGGGGGTTCCTTATTACAACTATAGTATAAGGGGCCCAAAACCCTATTCTGATTATTAAGGCCCCTATACTAGAATACCCTCCAAACCCTGTTTCATCGAAGAAGGCGTTGTTGTTGACCCAGCTGCAGACACCAAGCCCATGTTAAAGGAGAACGGGAGAACCTCCGCGAGGAAGAGCCCAAGGCAAAGAAAGTCTAACACTCCCGCCCCCCTCACGCAAAACAACCCACAATACTCTAAACCTGCTTAAGCCTGTACCCAATCCTTAAAGCCTTGCCAAATGTAAACCCAAGTCCTTCAAACCGAGAAACTCAACCCCCAAGCCCACTCCTAAAGCACTAAGTCCTAAACCTCGGTTCTCTCACTCTGTTTCCTTCTGCTGCCTCTCTAGTCACGAGGCCCGCCGAAGCCCCAAAATTCCGTCAAAACCACCTCTAAACCCTAAACCCGAAAAAATCCTAACCCTGTACCGTCCTTTGGCCATGTCGGGTCGCCGTCTGCCAGAGCTGGACGCCCTTCTCGGCCGCCTGGCAGCAACAGTCAGGCCAACATGGGAGTTTCCGAAAATTAGGGGTACCATATTTTGGGGTCCTTGTAATAAGGATCCTACTATTTATTTAGGGTACTATATTAGGGTCCCCTATTTTCGGAAACTCCCATATGGGCTTGCATTTATATGTAGACGTATCCACAGAATAGGCATGATTCACGGCTTTATGCTCGATGTTTTTGGAATAAATCTCGAGTTTTCATTCTAGGCATTCTGTGCTTTGGGAGGCTTTGTGTGTTTCTCGGCGCTTTGGGTTTCAGGGGTTTGAGATGAAGGGCTTGACGCCCGAAGGTGTTTGGATTTAGTCCGTGAGCTGTATTTTTGCATGCAAACTGCACGAGATAGTGAAGCATCTAGGGGCAAGGCAATGGCAAGGGACGTGACGTAGGCCGTTTCTGATAGTTTAGATATACGGTAAGACTAAGAGCCATCAGAGCTCTGAAGTGTCCATTCCCAGCGCCCCTTGAAGCGGATGTGAAAATGATGACGGAAAGTGTACATTCCAAGAGGCTTCTAGGGATGTTGCCTCGTGCAAAAAACATGTGTTAGCGCGCACGACTTGCAGTAGCCTCGACACCTTTAAGCCATACACAGAAGCTAATGGTAAAGTCCCATTGCGAGCTAAACCCTAAGCAGATAGCACCAAGAGCCTCAAGCCCGAAAGCCCACCCCCGAAAAGCATCAAATCCATTCACATGCCTATGGCTCGATGCTGAAGCACTTACTGGGAGCCTTCGTCCTATCAACCTTCCCATGACCCAACAAGCTGTAAACTAACTCACTAACCCACTAACCTGTTGATTTTCTCGGCATGCCAATCCCTACAGATATTCCGACTATATCATATGTATATATATACACACACATATATATATATATGATATGATATGATATGGGGTCTCAACAAAGAGGGCTTTGGGTTCTGTACATTACTTTCGTAATCCATACACATACATACCGTCAAGGTACTAACTTACATTGCTACTAATATTGTCTTGGGCTCTAGGCCCTATTCAACTGCCTACTTGTTGGAACCAAGGCCTGCCCAAAACCTTACAGGCTTTCTGCTTGTCTTGTCGCTCAACTCCAAAAGCCGCAAGCCTAAAACTTCAAGCAAGCTCCTTAAATCAAAGGGGAAAAGGAGGGACCCTTAATGGGGACCCCTACCCTATAATGGGCTATATAATGGGTATATAATAGCTATACTAAGGGTATATACCTAGGGGTCCTTATTAAGGGTCCCTCCTTTTACCCTTGGATTAAACCTGAGCATACAGGGGCGGAGCCGACTTCCCCTGAGCTGGCGCGCCGGGCGCTCGAGCCACATATTCCAAGGCTGCCCGGAGCTTTAGGGTGGGATCGGGGTTTGGGGTCCGGGGTGTCTTATCTGTCTAGGGGCATCTACGGTTATGAGCTCTTTGCACAGTTTATGACAGGATGGTCATATAGGGTTTAGGGATAGTCAGGGCTCGAACGGACGAAATGTTACAACTGCTCAAGATTGATCTTCGTTGAGTTGCCTGAGCTTCCATAAGCTTCTGTCCTTGGTGCTGCTAGCTGAGCAAGATGTCTTTGCCTTTGCCTGACCCCACACAGGCACGGCTTCAGCACGGTTAAGCTAAAAGAATTGTTTGCACGGTCAAGCACACCAAACAGACATCATCGTGTGCATTCTGCACGAGTCATGCGATTGAAATGTGTGGAGGCTCCCCCTAGGTCTCAATGTCAATGTTGCAGTATCCTACACATCGACTGCCCCCCGCTCTCCCCACCCCGCGGTTCGTGAGGACCACGTAAAAGCCGCAAGCTTTTTTCCTGTGGCCACCCTGGGGTTTTATGACGTAAGGGGTATGTGGTGGTGAAGCCGCCGCCAGAAGTTCCCCCGGACGTGGCTCCCGCGGTGGTTCGGTGCATGGTTTGCACTCACGTCCTGTTATTTACACAGGATCCGTGCGGCAATGTTCCCCGCAATGACCTCTTGCCTTGAATTCAGAATCAATCAATTGAGGAGCAAGTTCGGCAGTCCTCCTGAATCCTGTGTCTAGGGAGGGAGGCATCAGCTGCCAGTAGATGGGGGGCAAGCCTTTTGGCCGGGCCGTTTGGTGGTCTCCTTGTGGTCTTTCGGTGATGGTCGTTGTGGTGCTTTTCTGGCTGTTCTGGGATCTACACTTGCATATTAAGAAAGCAAGAAGGCCTCAAGAAGGACATGTATAGTAGTCGTGATATAGGTAAGTTCTTGTCCCGTTCAGTGGGCTGGAAGAATGACGGAGGTTCAGCGTTCGCGCTATGCCTCCTGATATTCTGGCCTGCGATTTCGTGCCCCTGCGTTGCGAGACTCTTGATGATGGCACGGATGTACATGGAAACATGCACAGTCCATTGTCACCCCAAAACCCCAGAACCCCAAATCGCCCTACAGCAAAAATGGAACCACGAGACCCCCCACCCCTTGCCCTCCCAAACCCCGCATCTCCTAAACAGCCTAAACCCTCAACACGACACTCCAAACACTCCTAAAGCCCCTCCTATAGTCTCCATTGTAGTTCCTTTTTTTTTTTGGTTTAACCAAATATGTAATTGGGATCCTGTAGAGGTAAAGGTAGCCCCAAAAAAGAACTACGATGGAGACTATAGGCAGGACCCGGAGCCCCGCCTCCCTCCCTCTTGTGAGAAGGCTTCGGGCTGACGCACGACATCTCACAGCTCTACTCAAAGGCTCCTGGGATGCTCATGACCAAAAAAAATGTGGGCCCGTTTCTAAGGTTATAGTATAGTGTCCACCAAAACCCTATTCTAATCTTGCGTAGCCTTCAGGGCCCGGTTCTCATAATGAAAGGTGCTTCGTTGCATGTCGTTTTTTTTGTGTATATCCGAGGGTTTGAGATTTCAGTTTGCTTGGAAGTTGGTTAGGCATGGGTTGGTGGTTCCCACACGAGCCTAGCCGTCCTGGCAGTGGATTCCTCTTCGGAACTCTTGGGCACCGAAGAAAGTAGTAGCAATGATCACAATAATAATAACAATAATAATAATAATTATAATAATAATAATAACAATAATAATAATAATAGCATTAATAATAATAAAAGCATTAATAATAATAACAATAATAATAATAACAATAATAATAATAGCATTAATAATAATAACAATAATAATAATAATAATAACAATAATAATAATAATAATAATAGCATTAATAATAATAATAATAGCATTAATAATAATAACAATAATAACAATAATAATAATATAGTGGCACTAATAGCTATTATAGAGGAGTTCAAAAACAGCAAGAAAAGCCCGGAGGACCCCGGTCAAAGTTACTGTGACAGTCCTTCGTAAAGCGAGCGGGCCTTGCGCCAAAAGCCTAAGTCCGAAGTGCTGAATGTTCATTGCAATTTAGATTTTTCTATAATAGCTATTAGTGCTGCTATATTATTATTAGTGTTATCACTGCTACTATTATGACGCCTGGCTTCCTAAGATCCAGCCTCATGTCAGGGGAACAGAGGCGAGATAGCTTCGACGAGTGTTGACGGCCCAAGATGCGGAATATGTTTTGTATGTAATGCCCGAAACCTGTCCTCCGGCACGGCAATTAGCGATACGTAGATTGTTAGGCAAGCTATTACTTTCTTCAATTAGGACCCCGTCACGCCAGACAGCTAGCGAAGGCATCCTGGCGATGCTGTTTGCGACAAGGTTTGGGGTTTGGGGCTCACTGTCCTGATAAGCTTTGAGCAAAACTCCGTCAAAACCGAATGAAGCCATCTGCCTTCGCTCAGCCCTGGATGTTTGCAAACCCTAACTCAACCTGCTGCTAATCGTAAATCATCTGGCTCTCGTAGCTGGCAGCTTTCAATCAACACACACGTGAATCGAAGCATCCTCGTTTGAGGAGTCTGTGCCTCTCTTTCTCTTTCTCTCTCTCTCTCTCTCTCTGTATATGTCTCTGCCGCTCGCTCGCGCTCTCTCTCTCTCTCTCTCTCTCTCTGTCTTCATTATATATATATATATAGATGTATACATTTGTATATGCACATACAGACCGTCACACGAAAAGAATGTTTACACGAAGCCTCATTGACTTAACCTCACTAGACGGGCCAACCCTACGAAACCTTTAAAGCCTTAGACAAAAGATATTAAAGGCAATAGCCTAATGGAATGCAGGGGTCTGAGTCATTGGTAATAATAGTATCGTCGTATCGGCTTTACATATCTTTCGTGCAAAATGCCTCCACATGCGATTCCACTTAGAGCGGCCCATATAGAAAGTACCAGAAATGAGACAGTCCTCAGAACCTTCTAAACAAACTCGTTTGAAAATTTTATTCTATCTCTTTGAGGCGCCTATATCAACCTTTTAAAGCATACCATAGATTTGCCTTAGAGCCCTAAGTCTAGACACCTGTAGAAGCCTCGAAGATGTCTTCAAGGTCCCTACATCATTAACTTCTTCAGCTGTATCACCACATATAACTCAAAGAGGCCTTCCTTCTTCGATCATCAGCAATGAAGTGGTTACCGTTGTGAAAAACTCAACACTGACTGCCCAGAGACTCCCAATATCCCTGAATTAAGGAATATACCTTAAATTATAGTAGGATCCTTAATACGATTTCAGGTATATTCCCTAATTAAGGGATATTGGAGTCTCTGGGTGTTGCGATTCATTCTGGCTCTCTATATATGAGCCAAGCGTGAAGGCCTCGCAGCCGCAAGGCGCGCCGACCTGGCCCTTACGGTCTTAAAGGCGCTGAGAGCTGCCCGGGTGGCTTGGCGACCCGGTGGTTTGGGGCTTGAGGCTTAGACGATTTGGGGTTCAGGATAAGCCGAGTTTGGGGTTTAGTCGGTCAAAGTGACAGAGCTTGCTGGCCTCGGGGTCTTCGACGTCACACTTCAAGCATGCACAAAAAGGCTGAAACTAGAACATTCGCGGCTGCATATGCCAACAAAGAACACAAACGTGCTACCGCGGACGGCTTTTCTTACGCGGGCCAGGCGTGAGAACCGACTAAGATGCCAGCAGCACCAGAGCCGACCCATGTTCGCTTGTTCTTTGCTTGGCTTGTGATTGAAATGGCTTTCGCGATCCACGAAGCAGGTGGAAGTCAATGCTTTCCACAGCAGTGCCGCCTTGGGTGGCTTAGCTTGCCAAGAGTGCCTTCGGGGGGATACAACGATAAAAGCTGAGCTCTAGACTCTAAACCCTAAACCCACTTTGGGGGAATGGGAGGGTCAGTTCTCAGAGAAGCTGCGGCTTCCTTCAGCCTTGGAGGTTCAGGCTTTCTGGATAAGCATCCCATCCCATGGCTTGAAGTCGTGCAGCCGCTTAGGGTTTGGGGGCTTCGGGCTCAGGATCGTACGGCTATGGGGTTCTGGGTTCCTGTAGAACTTGGCGTACCCGTTTCAGCTTCCGGATATCGGACTGAGAGAGTGTTTCGAGCTCGAAAGCCCGGGTCATCTTCAAAAGATGCCAAGCACCTTAAGCCCGAAACCCTACACCGTAAGACCTGGGGCCTATGAACCCTAAGCCCTATAATCCCTAAACCTTATGTGCAAGCCCGATACTTTACCAACCTCTAGTGTAGTGCAGGGGCCTTAAGAAGAAGAGTAGGGTTTGGGTAATTCTAATGAATGAAGGAACCCCCACAACTCTATTAAGATTCTTCAGGCCCCTACATTAGAGTAGCCTTGTGAAGATTTCTTATAGTATCCCTTATAGACCCCTTTAAAGGAGCCCTACTCTAATTCTTCAGGCCCCTACGTTATCCGAAACCCTAAACCCCCTAGACAAGGGATCCCTTTAAAGGGCCGTAATTAAGGAACCCCCAAAACCCTATTCTAACTCTTAAGGCCCCCTTACTATAGGAGCCTACGAGCGAAGCGGATGCTGGGAGCTAGCGCTGGGTGGTCTGGAGGACTCTTGGGTCGACTAGAGCTGAGGTGTGAGTTCCCGACAACTCGGGGGGTACTTTCTTTTGGGGTCCTGAGAATAGGGATCCTGCCATCGAGGGTGCTATATTAGAGTCCCCTATTTTCGGAAACTCCCACGCGTGAGTAGGGTTTACGAGTAATTATACCTGAATCAGCAATGCCCAGACTATCAGGACTCGTCATTTTGATTTTGAAATGTACAATGCCTATGCATATATATGCAGGCATGCACATATGTAAAAGTGCCCTTAGAACGGGTGGATATGGCTGGGTTTAGCTATAGGATTTAGTGGCATCTCAGACTGTTTCGCATTGGTAGCATCAGTCTTAGCGACACCATTTGGATTCATCTCGACGATGTTATGCCAGTTGTAGCAGTGACGATGGTAGTCAGCTGCGGCATAGAGTTTCTAGTCAGTTTCGGGGCTGAACTGAGACAATGCAGTGTCAGCTCGGACGCACAGGTTCTCGATTGCCTTACGATACCAAGGTGGTGGTAGGGAAGCAGCTTCGGGATGGCTTCGAAGCACTGTACTAGCTGAAGGTCTGACATTCTTACGCAAAGAACACAGAAGTGATATGTGGTGGTAATGAGCAACACCATAGCAACCTAGGGAACGAGGAGCATGGCCCGCCGCCAGGAGATGCTGCAGAACCAGCTGGAGCCGGATGTGTTTTGCTACGTGCCTGTCATCAGCGCGTGTCAAAAGGGCAGCGCATGGCTGCAGGCACTTGACATCTTCGACTCCATGTCGGGGCATCGGGTGCTCCCAGACATGATCTGCCACAGCGCTGCTGTGGGGGCGGCGAGGATGGGAGGGAACTGGGAGTTGGCTGTCCGCCTTGTTGGGGAGGCCTGCCAGGCTGGGCTGGTGCCCAACAGGATCATGGCCGGGGCAGCGATGCGAGCATGTCAGGAGAACGGCCAGTGGAGCAGCGCGTTGGATCTGCTCTTCCGGCTATGCCAGCTTGACTTTTTGCCCGACTTGATCTGCTTCAACATCGCCATCAGTGCTTGTGAGCCTGAGGGCCACTGGAGGCTCTCCCTAGTCTTGCTGGAGGAGCTGAAGGACTACGCGTTGCAGGCTAGTACCGTCAGTTGCAATGCGGCCATCAGCTCCTGCGAGAAGAGCTGTCAGTGGAGCATCGCAGTACAGCTTTTGGAAGAGATGTCATCGAAGTCCCTGTCCGACAGAATTAGCTACAATGCCGCAATCAGCAGCTGCAAGTTGCAGTGGAAGCATGCCTTGGCTCTTCTGAGCTCAATCTCTGAGCAGCATATGGATCCCGACGAGATCAGCTTCAATGCCGCCATCAGCGCCTGCGAGAAATGCGGGGCTTGGGAGGCGGCGCTCGCGATTCTCGCTCTGATCGCAGCCGGTGGTCGCGCCGGACCCGGTATCATCACTCTGAATGCTGCCATGAGCGCATGTGAGAAGAGCCATCGTTGGACTGAAGTGTTGGATCTTTTCAGCCGAATACAACTCTGGCATCTCAGCCCTACAGAAATAAGTTGGCAAGTGGTTCTGAGTGCTTGCGAGAGGGCGACCCAGTGGCAAGCCGCCCTGCAAGTGTTGGACCGCATGCTCTCGGACCAGGTCGTCCCGTCAGGAACGGCTGCAGGATCCATCCTTCACTCGCTTCCCCAGAAGTTGGACATCAATTAGTCGACTTTGCCGCATTCCGAGTGTTCCGTTTCTTGTGCACAATGTTCACACCCCTCTGTCAACCAGCACTCGGGTCCGAAAGCCTGCGCTCGAGTTGTTGTTCTGTCTGAGTGCCAGCCCAGGATGTCCACGGCAGCTTTGGAGACAGTACTGTCGAGGCTCAAAAGCGTCTGGCTCGAAACGGGCGATGTGCCAGAATTACCCAGGTCGCTTGGTGGTCACGGACGTTCTTCCACCGTGATCGGAACTAACTCGGAACTTATGACGAGAGGATGCAAGATTGCGCATCTCCAGTCTCCAGCCGGGGTATTCGAGTTTGCAGAGACATACGCAGTGGTAATCATCTAGAACCTAGCCCCGTAAAGGTCGCGGACCTTACCTCGCGTGGTAAGTTGTTGTGGACACCACAGCCGCTGCAGAGGGCCAACCGTGAAAGAATGGGCGTTGAAGCCACGCTTACACCGCCATGATGGGTTGGTTTCGGGAAATGCTGTTGATTTGAAGGGAAACTCCACAGGCTTGCTCCACAGGCGAGCCTTTGAAGCCCCACGTTTACTACACGGGCAAGATTCGATCACCCGAAGCAGGTGCGGGGACTCGAGCAATCAACCATGCACACACGGCGAGGGAATTGCACTTGGTTGTTCGTTGTATTGTCCTTATTCTTCTTTCCCACAAACCTAAACCATACTCCCAGAATCGAAAAACAAAATCCAAAATCCTCCACTCGCCACAAAAAGTCTCGAATTGAAACCCAGCCTAGGTCGCTCCAGGGGGAGTTCTCTGTGGTAGCCTCGGCCGCGGGGGTTTTCGCCGTGGCGAAACCCGAAGGTGGCGCCCCCGGGGCCTTCGATTCCGGTCGGAAGGATTTCAGAGCCTACGATTACAGTACGGATTCGGGCTTTAGCGGCTACTTTGACCCGGAATAACTTACGTTTCTAAGGACTTATATAAGGAAATCATAGTAAGGATCCCGAAAAGTAGGTTGTTCAGGCTTTTAGCGAAACCGCTGTGTATTTGTGTATTGCGTCGCGGCTGACAGGTAACTGAGTCCGAGAGAGAGAGAGAGAGAGAGAGAGAGATACAGAGAGATACAGAGAGATACAGAGAGATACAGAGAGAGAGAGAGAGAGAGAGAGAGAGAGAGTGAGAGAGATACAGGGAGAGATAGAGAGAGAGAGACAGAGAGAGAGAGGGGCAAGGGCTTAGGATTTGGGTCCGAATTTACAAGTCCAAAAGGGCTGTAGAAGGCTGAAGACTTCAGAGCTTGAATTCTTGCGGTTAGGGTGTTTTGGGGCATACATCTTGGCGGTTGGGTTCTGTCGGTTCAAGGTGTAAAAGGTTGGAGCTTTATGCGGCTCCAATCAGATATTGTAGCGTTCACACCTAATCGAAGCACTGGTCTTGTCTTACATCTCTTGCTGCTGTCAGGCACATGGCTAGCAATGGGGTTTAGCGACTTGGGGGGTAGACAGTAGACTTCATGAACTTGTGAGAAATAATTAAGGGCGTTTCATTCAAACTGTTCGGTTTGGGCGGGCCTGCATGAGACAGGCTTGTTGCTTGGCACGCTGCATGTATTCATGAGTTCGATAGATGTGCGAAAGATGTGCCGCGTGCCATGATATAGGGGCCAGAGTTATTACCAAACCTCTTCCATAGTTTTGTTGATAGTATGCCGCGCATTGCACATCCCAAATTATGGTTACAGGGATGTCTGTTTCTTAGCCGGGTATGTCCAGCAATACCCCTAAACTGGCCCTATAATTCTTCAACCACGAACCCTTAAACGCTTAATTACATGACCTATAAGTCCCAAGCATCTACCTCTAGTCTCCATTGTAGTTCCTTTTTTTGGGTTATCCAAAATCTCTACTATAGGATCCTAGCCATAAAATGGGTTAACCAAAAAAAAGGAACTACAACGGAGACTAGAGGCAAACCCTGAAGCAGCAGCTGGGGGGGTCCGAGGGTTTTCCGGAGCTTTGGCCCCTAACATGGTGTGGGGACTTTACAGCTTCTCTTCGGCTTACATCTTAGGGTTAGAGTATTGTAGGGGTTTAGGGTTTGACAGTTTTAGGGCGGATCTGGTTGGAAGGCTAGAGGCTAGAGGTTATAGCAAGTTTAAGACCAGGGTGTTTGGGGTTTCGCTTTGGAGCAGCTTCCAGAATCACTTGGAGTTCAGGACAGTTAGGGGTGAGATAGGGCAGGCCTGACAGCGGTGCGGCTGGCATTCGCTTTCAGTAGCTAGGAGATGGAGAGAGTAGCAGTAAAGTCTTAAATCAGAGCATTTTTTATCATCAAGGTGTCAGCACCGAGCAGTTGGTGGAGAAGCTGGCAGTGCCACTCAAAGAACATGGCCTCTGCCTTTCTGTGGTGTCGCGGCTGCTCGACGCCTTCCGAAGTAGACTAAATTCAGTTTGTTCCTGTTTATTCAAGCTGCCAGCAGGCCAACTTGAACATCGACCCTAGGCGATTTGAAGGGCTCAAATCTGTGACGCAGTAGTTGTGGGGGTTGAGCTGCCTGTTTCAAGAAGCAATAGTGCCACCTTATGTGCAGTACCTGCGCACTTCCTGGGTCCAGGATAATTAATTATCAAAATTTGCTCGCGTCTAATGTCCACACGACAATGTTGCACGATACACCTGTGCTAGGTAGTCTGTTGCATCAGTACAGGCAGACAGGTAGATTCGCATGCATGTTATTGCGCATATACGACGCACTACAGAAAACCCTAAACAAGCGCTGCAAGGAGTGCTGGGACTTGTCCAAGTAGCCTTCAAACCCCATGTGAGCAATTTCAACAACGAGCAGGAAAGCAGTTAAGCCTTGGAAGCACAGTTGCATGCCGAAGGCGAGCAAAGCATAGTAAAGCAGTTGGAAAAAGTCTGGAACAACATGCCCGCGCATTCATGATGCCAGCAACAACGCGTCCATCATAGTACAACCATTGGAGTGCTAGTGTTTTTCTCGCTGAGCGACGCCCAAGCAATGCAAGAACTACTACTCCTCCTGCTGCGACTACTACTACTACTACTACTACTACTACTTCTTCTACTACTACTACGGCTACTACGGCTACTACTGCTGCTGCTACCGCTGCTACCGCTGCTGCCACTGCTACCACTGCTACCACTGCTACCACGACCAAGACCACGGCCACTGCCACCGCCACTACTGCTGCCGCTAGTACTACTGTTCCACTACGACTGCGACTACCACGACTACCACTACTACTGCTACCACTACCATTACCACTACCACTGCTACTACTACTCTTACCACGACTACGACTACTACTACTACTACTACTACTACTACTACTACTACTACTACTGCCACTACTACGCCTACTCCTACGACTACGACGACGACTGCTACTACACTATTACTACGGCTCAGAGACCACGACTACTGTTCAGAGACTACGACTACGGTCAAAGTACGAACTGTGGACGACGACAACTACTAATTACTATGACGGTCTAGTTGCGCAACCTAGCGCAGAACTTTGCAGGGTACGAAGCTGTCGCTCATATGGGAGTTTTCACGAGAAACGGGGCGCTGGAGCTTAGTTTAGAAACTGAGGAGTCTGATTCTTATCAAGTTCCCCCGAAGCATTATTATCGTGGTACGTCCGTTTTCAGACACCTCCTACCAGGCTTGATCAACCGACCTCCGGAGTGTTGCCGCTTGTTTTGGGAGCAGAGACGTCCCCCTCCGGGCGATGGTGTAAAGCACAGTTTGCGGGGCGGCTCGTCAGCAAGCACTACATCTGCCTGTGCGAACCTTGGGCCAAGATTAAGGGAAAGCGTCGGCCTAGCAGACCTAATTGTGTGGAGTGAGGATTAGACTTTTTCCATCATCCCCCAGTAGACGACGCACGCGCCCACAAATGACAGGAGGGCAGATCGTTGGGTGATGTTGGCAGCAAGGGGAACATCTCGGTGCCTTTACGATCCGTTCAGGTGGACGAGGAAACTTGGATTAGCGAGGTCTGTGGGCAGGAGGTCTCGGGCCGAGATTCCTTCACCGCCTATGAAGTCAAGGGTCGATATTCCTCGCCGAGTATGGGAAGGGACGAGTTGATACTCCTCAGTGTGCAGCCCAAGACTGGGAGGAGACACCAAATTCGAGTGCATTTTGCCAGCATCGGGCGGCCGTTGGTTGGGGATTTGACCTATGGTCGTCAGTCTGAGACCTTGGTGCCACAGTGCCCTCGCCTCTTTTTGCACTGTGCCGAGGTCCGTTTTTCGGCACTGTTCGGTGCTTTTCATGCTAGGGTCGAACTGCCGCTGGAGTTGAAGCAGTTGCTGGAGCCGCTGCGACAGGGAGAAAACTCAACAGCATGCTCAGCACACCAGAAAAGCCCTTGTGCTACTGGAGGAGGGATTTGGTCAATGACCTCTTGCTCGCTGGAAGAATCCCTTACCGGTCTTAGCAGTCAATACCCTGAACATTGCACATTCTTCCTGCAACACCTGTCGGCCTCTTCTAGAGCTATGCTCCTCGCCGCAGGCCCGAGAATTTGCGAAGAACATTCCCAAGCCGAAGTTGGCGCCGAAGCAGGTCCTCTGTGATTGGCACTGTTGGGGGGCTTGCTGTGGATTTAAGGTTTGGTGTTTAGGGTAACATAGAGCTCCGGGTTCGGAAAGGGTACTGTAGAGCCCAGAATATTTCGTATATATTACCGTTCCTTGTGGCTGCCTAATAGAACAAACATGAAAGTTAAGATGAGCCAAAACGCCATTCAGAGTCTTCATGCTCCTGACGTAAACCCTAAAGGCCGAAAGCCCATCCACACCCCTGTCGTAAACCTTTTGAATAAAAAGCAACAGGCAACAAGCCTTATAAAGCCCTGACAGGCCCTCCTTTCATTAATGCGCCGATATGCGATGAGGGCCGGGAATGCCGTAGGCCTTTGTCCGACAGTAGAGTGTAGATTTTATCGTGAGGGTCTAAGAAGAGGGTGTCACTTGTAGGTTGCCTTGTGAACACCAATGACCCTCAAGCGCATTCTTAAACGGTAACGGTCTGCGAGCACTGTCAGCATCTGCATCAAGCACCTCATGCTTCACACCCCTTAGCATGGCAATCATACGAGCAGCGGGGTTGAGCAACCACCCTAAGTTCCACAAGCCAGTTAGGCTCGGATTTGAGCAACAAGGCGCTGAGGCTCAGACCTTCCCTTTAGGATTTAGGCTAGAGGGTATGTAAAGGTAGGTGTTCTTGAGCTTCGTGCAAGAAGTGGTTCCGTAAGTCGTAGCAGGTGTGTGAGCTTTTGGTAGAGCAGCAGTAGTTCTTTGTGTTTGCTGACTTTGGGGCTTTGATGGATGTAGAGTTGTAGATGTCTCTGTCCCAGTTCCATATTCTAGAGAGATTGCCCTTGGCAGGTAGTGGTCACAGCGACCAAGATGGAAGAGGAAGAGGAGGTGGTACAGGAAGCTTTCGGGTGGGTTTTGCACCAGCCTCGTCCTCGTCTTGCAGTTCATGTGCAGTCTTGGGGGGCGCGATTGTCAGTCATTCGTGGTCGTTGTTCTACGCAGATCATCGTTTGCTCGAGTTTGAGTACTGTATCTAACCATAGTGTAAATAACTGTTTTCGAGGACAGTGGATGAAAAAGCTTAGGGAACCAGCCCTGCCATCCCTCATCGTCACAAGTAGTCACCAAGCTGCTTATCCTAGCATTTCCTGTGCTAATAAGGTTTTATAGTTGGCTTGTGGACCACCCTGGAGAATCGAGAAGAGCTGCTTTCTGGCTCAAGCCTGACATGTAGCAGGAGTACAGTTCAGACAGTTCAGGCCCCGAAACCAGCCCCTCGCTCGCACAGCTTCAACCTCTTAAGACCTTCGTGTGGACGTGACAGCCACGCCACAACTTCTGAAGGAATCATGTGTAGCCCTCAAATCGATGTCTTGTGCTCCGCATATCATTGTATGCGTTTTGCTTCGATGGTGTCAGTTTCACCATGTCGGACCGTGTCACAGTCCGCAGTGCAACTGGTGATGTTTTGGTGGAGTTGAAACTGCACGACTTGGAACCCACGGCCAGGTCACGCAGGCCAGGGCGCCGCGAAAAGCAAAACCTTCCAAGGTCCAGCTGAACATGAGTAGCGGGCAATAGCCGATCATCAGCGGTAGATGGCTACTCATGGGTTAAGACAGGCAGCGCCTTCGGCCAGTTTTTGTCGTTTCACGTTATAACGGAAGGCCCAAACTCTGACAGCCCCCAGGCTAAGTTTATGACCACGAGTCACACGAAGCAAGACAGCCCTGCAACATCATCGCTCTAAGATGAGTCGCTGACATGATGCAGGTTATGGCAGGAAGTTGAAAATCATCTCCCCCTGGGCCGGTCAGTCAGCAGCCTCCGCTTCAAGGGGGAATTGCTGCCTTCAGCGATCCGTTTATGTGACTTAGTGGTCCTAAACCCAACTTTTCAACTTTTGGTGCTCTTATGAGACAGTCTCATTCTGAAAGTTTGAACTTTCGATCCCATGGGTATTTGGGAAGTAAGGTGACCTTGATGTACCAGCAGTGGTGGTGGCGAGAACCAAGGTCCAACGACCGCTGCGCTATGTAACCTTGTGGAATGGCCTGACACCATTCCTGGTGGAGCTGCTTTGCCGTCGTAAAACTCGACGAGTTACGGTGCTTCCCCACTGGCAGAAGGAATGCGAAGGACATGAAGCTTGGCAGCCAACCTGTTCACAACGTTTGTTGCATTTGGGGAGGTTGATGTTGATGGGCCTGTAAAGAGCCTTGTGCCCCAGGAAAGAGAAGAAGACTGGGAAGATGAAGATGCCACAGATCCACAGAAGAGGCGGCGTTTGGACAGCGACAGCGAAGAAGAGAGGGACTTGTCCGGTGGATACGGCGCCAGGCTGCGTGATTTTGGTACGCCGGTGCTCGACATCGAGGTGGAGGACGTGTTCATCGGAAGGAGCGAATTGGAAGATCTAACTTGGCGCAGCCTGGGATTCGGACCTCAGCTTGATGGCAACGCCATGCTTTTGAAGAGGCGTGAGAAGGAATACATCTTCGTCGGAAAGGATATGTTTGGTTTCAGGACGATGTCAGACATTGTGAAATTTGCATCTCCAGTCGGCCTCAGTTCGGTGCCGTATACATTCGCTGTGGATGAGCACGGTCGCCATTACCTCTTTTTGGAGAAGGTGATTCTGGATAGCGTGCCCGAATCTGAAAAAGAGAGACTGGGACCCTCCCAGCCATACTGTCATCTCTATGAAGACAGCAAGTATGACAAGTGCAAGTTTCAATTGCGATATGGTCGCTTCGCGATCACGTACAGGCTTCCGAGCATGATGCCTCATCAGCACAATCCCAAGTATCAGAAGATTGTGAATGGCAAGGTGGAGGTAATCTCGCGAGACAGTTTTGAAAGACTGTTGAGGAAGTGGTTCAAAGCACATGGCATCTCTCACATGCAGTGTTGGAAGGTCCGGCCAAATGGTGACTTCGGGGAGCTTTTAACAGCATCTTTCTAGAGATGACCGTTCATTCATGCCGGGCACTGCCGATCGGCGGCCGCAGATGGGCACCAGAGAAGAACCCTGAGCTTCTGAAATGCGAGCAGCAAAGCCACCTCAACAGCTACGACCGCTTCAATCCCTTATGGAGCCTATAACACTAAGGCCCGTACAGAATCACGCTCACAGAATCTAAATCCATTCGTCCGGTCACCTGTATCTAATGCAGCAACGTACCAGGCATCCGTCACAGGATTCCAAGCTGCTTTTTCCCAGCCGGCTGGATAAACAAGTACTAACAGCATGTACTGTACCCTGTACTCTAGAATTACCCAGGCCCCTAACCTGCTCGAGAGGCCCCGAAACCCAAGCGTCTAGCTTTGTATCAGTCGCGGAGGCCAGGGGTGCTACGCGCTTTGATGGGCACAGGGTCACGGAAATGGGGAAACCTTGCGGGACTGAGAGCTACTTGGAGGGGCAGGGGACTTAGTAAGTAGGTTATAAGTAGAGTTATAAGTACCCTAAATGGAGTTACCCCAATTATAACCCTACTTATAACCTTCTTACTAAGTCCCCTGCCCCTCCAAGTAGTAGCAGGAGGAGTAGTAACAGTAGCAGGAGTAGAGGTAGTAGCAGTAGCAATTATGCCGTAGGGTTTGGGGTGAATCGGGCTTGTTTGGCGCTGAAGTATGCGCAAGAAGCCGACAATCCTCAACTTTGAAAACTGTGGCCTCACGCACGAGACCTCACATGCCGCAGAACAGCGAACATCTGATATCATAAGTAGCCCGAAGTTTCGGCCCTGCTTGAAGCCACAACGCGAGCGTCCAAATCCTGTAATTATGGAAGCCGGACCTAAATCCCCCAAAGTAGGCAAACAAACGGCCAAACACGCGCAAACGGCAATCATTCTGCCAATTACTTTGGGGTCCATTGCCTATGTCGCTGAGGGCACTTTTTGGTATGGTTATGGTTGAGGATTTACCCGAAATGCCCTATTCTAAACTGTTGTCACGGAACCCAAAATTCGCCTTCCAGGAAGTCACCGACTGGGAGGAGATTCGGTCGCCTCGATGACATCAGTGCAGGGTTTCGGCTTGTGAGCTCTTGGTATTGCTTTATAGAGCTGTTTTGTACGAAAACAGGCAAGGCTGTGAATTCGGGCAGTTTCAGATTCACCGGAGGGAACTCTGAGTTCGATGAAGAGGCGAAACCTGTTTAGACAAATGTTTCAAAGAGATGCAAGCCTTTCATCCGAAATCAAAGGGGAAAGCTGAGCTGCCTCAAGACAATCTGGATGCTCTGAGTACACCTCGAACCCCGCATCGTAAAACCCTTACAAAACCTTGTGCACGTCGCAAGAACAGCTCGCACGAATGCCCAGGCGGAGGGAGCGACAGCACATGGAGGATGCGGCCAAAGTCGCCCAGGTGAAGGATTTCTTAGAGAGGCTGGCGGTTTGAGCCTGTTTGTCGTTTCAAATCACAAAAGCCACACGCCACTTCAAACCCTACACCCATCGCCCTTACCTTAGCCGTAGCCTTCAAGCGCCTTATGAAGCTCGGCTCCAGAACGTTCACGGTAGAAAGTGGGCTATCGAGGATTCCTGGCAAAAGCCGCGAATCAAGAATCCCTAAAAAAACTTTGAAACGAGGGGCTGTAGCACTAGTCAGGCTCACTCGTCACATGCCTTTGCCAAATGGCTTCGGCTGACTCTGGCCCTGTACAGAGGGGTTTGCATGTGCACGAATTTTCGTTCTTCACCCGTTCGGGGCTTCTGATATGGGTAAAGTGTAAACTATTTTACAAGGGAGCCTTGCAGGGAACTTAAACGGAGTCTGGCTCTCCCTCTCCCTCTCTCTCTGTCTTTGTGTGTGTCCCTCCTCGCTTTTCTTCTCGCCGTCCCGTGTGTTCTGCGTTTCAGTCGTTTTGCCGTCATCGTTTGGTCGCCCCTTTCCTTTTCTTTCTTGCATAGTAAATAGTGGAAGCTACAGAGGCAGTCATGCACATCTACATCTGCCTAGTATTGTAGTATAGAGGTACTTCGTCATGTTACAAAGCACGCTTGCCGTACATATAGACATATGCCACGGAGAAATGTACACATAGGTACTTGCATGCATGCACACCCGTGGGTGCACGCGTGCGCGCGCACACACACAAACACACACACACACACACACACAGAGACGCCCAGGCGAAGAGATACGCAGACACACAGAAACACAGGCGCACGCGCATGCACAGACACACAGACATCGACGGACGGCCGGACACACACAGACACACACAGAGACACACAGAGACACACAGACACACACAGACACACACAGACACACACAGACACACACAGACACACACACACACACACACGCACACACACACACACACACACACACACACACACTCGCACACTCGCACACACTCGCACACACACACACAAATACGCACAACATGAAGAAACTCCTATACGAACTTGTGCAAACACACACACACACACACAACACACACACACATGCAAACGTGCGTCTACTGTGCACACACGGCACGACGTTGTGTGCATGTTGTTTGCAGTCTACGCCCTGAGGCCCAAACACATTCCGCATGGACACCCCATGTGAAAGAAGACAATGTAGAGGCACCCTCAACATATAAATGCTCATGGTCTATCGTCTCATCAGAGCTCGAAGACCTTCTTGCAGCTAGTTGCAGCCAGCGCTTGGGGCTTTACTGCAGGATATCTGGTTTGCAGGATTGGTGGATTCGATGCTTAGTTTGAAGTTGATGGTTCAGAAGCCCTATAAACCCAGGACCACAATACCTTATTAAACTCGAAAACCCATTGGGTTTTGGGTTTGATCCTTCGGGCTCATACTGCAGGGTTTCGGTTCAGGGTTTCTGTGTTGTGAGCACCTCCGCTGCTCTGCTGCTGGAAAATTTCGGACTAAGCCGGTCCTACCGCCCTGGGCTTGAGGATTGTTCGGTTCAGGGGTTTTTGGGGCATAAGGGCTTTGTCAGGCTTTGGGGTTCAAATGCTTAGGGGGTTAGACAACATAGGACGTACCTTAGCCCTGAAGAACCTACCTTTTAATAGTTCCTTATTATGAGTTCTTATATAGGGGTTTCCGAAAATAGGGGACCCTAATATAGTACCCTAAATAGTAGGATCCTTATTATAAGGACCCCAAATAAGGTGCCGGAAACTCCCATATAGGTCCTCAAAAAAGGTGGCTATTCCGGGTTAAGGTAGGATTGTTGTAGCATGGCCGCCATGCTCGTCTCGAAGATGCCCTCCTAAGGCCGTAAAGAGCGTGATACTATAGAGGCTTATACCTATCTACTTAGCTACATTATTTTGGGGTGTTCCTTTTTATTCATGGTTATGGTATAATGGGCCCCCAAGTCCTATTCTAAATATGAAGGCCCGTATATTAGCAAGATGAGCTGACGCTGAGAATTCCGACAGTTCCTGTCTGTTGGTGCCTGTCAGATTCATGAGTACTATGCGGAAGTTTGTTGTTGGAGTTCCTTGGGCTCTTTGTTTGGCACTTTCAGGGCTCTCCTGGTTTAGGTTTTGTGAAGGTGCACCTGTGGGCTATACGGCGAGAGCTTTTTGGCTGAGTTTCGGCCATGGGGTAATGATTGGTATTATTTCGTAATACATTGCAGTGTTCATGTTTAGAGTAACCCATCACATCTCCCACCAGATATCCCAGAAATCCTGGCAGTTTTCGGGGTTCACCCCACAGCCCTGAACCTTACTTTGCAGAGTTGATGCACCGATGCGGCTCGAGCTCGCAACTGAGCACATTCTTGCCTAATTAGCAGTCTGATGCTGACCCAGATTGGAGTGTTAATCCCCTAAACCCCTTAACCCCTAAACCCCTAGACCCTAAACCCGCAACCCCCAACCACAACCGCCTCAACCTTTAGATCCCTAGGTGCCTACACAACAGAAGCCTGGTCCTGTCTTGGTGGTTGCCGTAGTTTCCTTCTCAAAAAGCCCTAAACCTTACTTACCCCCCCCCCCCCCGGTTAGCGATGAAAAGGTATCACGAATAGATTGCGAATAGAACCACAAAGGCCCAAACCCTAAAGTAGGCCCTGAACGATTTAATGTAATGCAAAGTCAGAAGATCAGATCATCTCATCTGACATCATACAAGAACGTACGATATCACATTATAAGATGGTATACTTTCAGAGAGTATAATCTCATATAGTATCTCACACTATTAGTATTATATGGTCTAACCGAAGCAGGTCCCAGGTCGAAGCTCAAAGGCTGTCTGCCGCGCCCGCGCATGGAGCTGGGATTGCCCTCCCACGCAAGGATGGGCTTTCTGAAACCCCGGGGCACGGTTAAGGGTTCAGGGAATAGGGTAGGGGTTTCAGGGCTCAGGGTTTAGGGTTCAGGGTTTTGTGGGGTTAGGGTTTTGGGGCTTACTGTAGGTTTCTACAGCAGGACTTGCTGGCTGACACTAAGAGCCCAGCTGCAAAAAAGGGTTCTACAGCACTAATTCTGTGCATTTCGGAAATCAATGTTCAGGCACGTTGCACATGCCCTGATGCAAAAAAAGGGGGTTTAGGCTTCTTCCAGTTAGGGTTCTAGGGCTTCAGTTACCTATCAACCATGGGCAACTGGGTTACACACAACATGGTTATAGCAACCTGCGATTTAGGCAACTGGAGCCCAAGGGAAGCCCTAAGCATCCCTAATCTCGGCATAAACAAGAAGTGGCGCCCCAAGCCCTAAATAAAGTGCAAAACCACGAACCTAGTAAATCAATCCCCTGACCCTAAACACTCCGAACCATATGCCTCGCCTGGATTGTCCGAGTGCGAGCGCCGAAACCTTAAACCCGACAGTAAAACCTAAGCCCAAACGCCAACCCGAGCAGCCCTGGTAAATCTGGCTTTCGGGGAGGTCGGGATGATGCTGGGGGGCCTAGTCCTGAATCAGTTCCTAGAAGACCCCGGAACCCTCCCTGGTAACTCTACAGCGTGAGACTTCGGGGGCTACGAGGGTATAGGCTCTTACGACTTTAGGGGTTTAGGGCTTTCTGACTTTGGGGTTTGGGGGGTTTAGGACTTTAGGGTTTGGGAGCTTATCAGAGCTTCGGGACTTTGTGGGTTTAGGGTTTTCAGCCCTTTGGATCTCAGGCTTCAGGGATTTAGGCTTTCTGGCTTCAGAAAGTTCAGCCGAAGTCAAGTATTCCAGCACCTGACACTTCGTGGAGGCTGGCGTTTCTGAGGTATCATAGCTTGCATGTCGGCTAAGACTCTACCACTCACAACAGCTCGAAACCAATCTCACCTAGTTTAGGCTCCCTGCCCCAAGTCGCGGGACCTCTCGGTGACATACCCCGCATGCTGTACGCCCCAAGCCTGTGGGCGCAAAAACCCCAGCCTAGAAGGACGGACATGCTGGCAAGCTCTGTAATATCCTAGGATGCCCAGAAATACCCTTATTTCCTCCTAGGTTCCTTATCAAGGTACCCAGTACCAAAAAGGGAGCCCTTTCTATTCCTAGGGGCATCCTAGCATTTCTAACTCTCCAGAGCAAGTCGTCTCCTGATCTTCGCTTCCTAAAGCGCAGGGCCCTGTGGCAGCTCACGCCGGTCGCATGCCCCACGCAGCAACCACTGCCACGTCGTGGGGAGAGCGTTGTTGACTCAGGCCAGTGCGGACGTGTGTTGCACTTTGCGAATATTTGAAGGGTTCAAAGGTTTAACTACTGCTAAAACCTCATACGGAGATGAATGCCCAAGCTTCAAGCAGCTTTGGTTTCACCCATTTTACACTCGTGCCAGGATCTCACGCAAACGGAGCGTGTTGTTATTTGTTTTCTGTTTCATTCCAAACCAAAGTCTGGCCTGCTTGCTCGAGCTTGGTGCGCGTGGCCTGGCTATTATGTCTCTTGCCCCACGTGTGTGATTGGATGTGTAATGCCGTTGATGGTCGTAAGTTCTGTGAAGTTTAAATCTGCCATCTTCGGTAACATCAGCATCACTTGCCCTGCGCTCTCTCTATCCGTGATGTGATACGGCGGCTTTCTCCACCTTGCGCCGTGCGCGGTAGGTCATTATGTATGCTGAAGCATTGAAAAGCTCAGGTATGTAATCCCTCATGTCCCTCGGCTTGAACTCCGTCTCATGTAGGTTATGGCTCCAGACCACCCTGCAGCACTGGCATTTCCCATGGCGCAGCTGCAGCATTAGGATCAGCTTCTGAAGATGTGGTGCAAATGATGCAACATATCCAATGCCATTGAAATTGCCTCTGTCTTCGTTTGTTTTGAGGGCAGAACTCGGACGTCCTGCAAACAAAACGTATACTTGCTCATACTTGCTCCCTGGACCCAATACTGCATGCTCTCTGTACTCCATGATGATGAGGCTCTTCCTCAAAACTCCTGACAGATCGCTGCATCTGACTGCAGCCGCACCATCGGCCTTGTTTCGTGTTTAGCACAGCCCGGACATTTTTAGATCTGCACGGCATCATTCCATTGACGTCAACCCACTGGGAGAACGAGTGGTCGCAGGCCAGCATTTCTCGTCATGTCAGATGCTGCTGCATTCAGACGCTGCTTCAGCTGACACTCCGCCTGACAACACCTGACACTTCCACCAGTTCTTGCTCGCAGCGCTCGCCGAAATATCTCCACATGTGGCAAACACTGGCGAGAGTAGTTTGTGCAGGTTGACGCGCTTCCGAAGTGGTAACATCTTTGTGGAACCAGGGTCCTTATCTCCTTGACTCTTACTTCAGCGTGTAAAGATTCTTGCATGGAGGTAGTCGACCCATGTGTGCTTTGCGGTTCGGTGCCCATTTGTTCTCGCTATGTCTTGAGTCGACGAACCTTCGAGCCAAGTACTTCATCTCTCAGCACCCTTATAGATAGTCTAGGGCCGCGGGTTTAGGCTGTAGGTTTGCTCCTGGCTCACAACGAGCTTTGCACCGAAATCCTTTTTCCCAAAGGATCCAAGTATCATGATGGTAGATACTTATAGGGTATTTTGGGGGTCTAAGTATAAGCCAAGATGATACTTGGACCCTTTGGGTTTTGCATCCCTCCAAACAGGCTGCCGGTGGGCTCGATTTGCGGCCGCTCTCGCGGCCGGAGGGACGACGGGTTGAGACGGTTGAGCTCTGCTTGCTTTGTATGATTAGGGTTATATTTTTCTAGTAAACCCAAACTGCAAGATTTGGTCCAACTGAGTCTGTAATTTGTTTTAACACAGAATGTGGCAATCGAAACAATCCTGCCATGTATGTGGCATTGCATTTACTGTCTTGAGGACAAGATGCATCAAACTATGCAGTCAAACCCGTGAGTGGAGTTGGTTCGGTGTCTGGGCCTACATGGCCTGTGATCTTCTTGCTACTGAGTAGTAAGTCGATTCACTGGTATGTCAACTGCAACCCTGCTTTGTGAGTCGTCCAGCTTTGCACAAGGCAAGAAAAGCCCGAAGACATGGATGCTCAGAAATATAGGTGTGCAATATACGTGTCAGAACAATTGGCAGTAGCATTCCCTTATAGTCCATGTGTATACTTGTTGCACAGTATGCCGCCAAAACCCCAAACCCGAAAAGTTCAGCCCACCATGTAAATAAAATCCCTCTAACAACGGTTCTTGTAGCCTGTGCAGACCACAGGTGAAGAAAGGACCACATGTGAAAGGAGGCAGTTACAAGACGCAATCTTTGAGCCGATGGGCAATATGAGCGAACAGGGTTTAGGCTTACACTCTGTGATTCTATGATCAGACTAAGTTACGAGAGATTGTAGAATAAGGTCACTATCGGATCAGCCGAACCTGAGGGTCGAGCTCCGACGGAAAAGCCATACTTTTACAGTGCTAGCGTTCGTCTGATCACTGAGAAATAAGATATAGGGTTTAGGGTAATATCGCTCCGGTTTCACTTCGGTTTCAGGAGGCTCTAGACAGACTAATCTTCGCTCGAGTGTCCTGAAGTACCAGGCCGTGCACAGTAATTCAGGCATGAGCGATATTGCCAGTCTTGTCAGTTACATGACTCACCAAGGGCTTATCACTCTCACTGCCTCAGTGCTTATCGGGAGTAGAGTAATGGGTGACTAGGATTTAGGCTTTTTTAGCGCTTACTTAGGGTTTAGGGAAGTCCAGGCCTTATAGGCTTTTTGAAGGCAGTTTAGAGTTTCGGTCAGGCGGCGCCGCTGCTTCGGATGGCCGCCGGGCGGCAGGTCTCCGAGACGAAGCGGCGGCGAACAGAAACGCAAGGCCGGGAGCCAGGGTGTTACAGTTTAATTGAAAATAAGGGCTATCTCAGATTCCAGGAGATTCATAAGGGTTTCAGGGCCGAGGGACGGAATCCACAGGCTTGCGGGCGGAAGAAATGTGTGAACAAAAAGATAGACTTCTTTCGAGTTTAGGGCAGTCGAAGGCTTGTAGTTGTAGCTGATGACTGCTCCGAACACATGTGTCCTCATTTCCGAACCCCGTCAAGAGAGACAACATGTCTCTACCAGCTTGTAGAGCGCCATCTCATGCATGAGTAGGCCACAGTAGGCCTAATTACGCATGCGAGTGTACTTACGTATGCACACCAACAGGTCGTACTGTTGGGAGAGCTTATACTTGCATGACGAGTTATTCCTTTGAAGCCATCTGTAATGCTTGTCAATATAGTTGCAACATTGCAAGCCGTCGCTTCACGCTAAAGTCTTACTCTGCTTAGAGAAGCGTGTTATCATCGTCTATGTTTACTTACACTGCCCGAGATTTGTGAACCTCAAACCCCAACAGCTCAGAAGTGAGATAGGAAACTCGAAGCACTGGCCAATCAAGGTCTGCCGAACGACATCAGATGGATCGGAGGCTTGGGCGAGCTGGCACCCTGTCCGCCAGCTCGACAGCTTGAGAAAGTTGCATAGGTGGGAGCTGTTCCAAATTCGGATGTCTTCATGCTGAGGCCTCTGACTGTGCTTCGGAGATGATTGCGGGCAGGGTTACACGGCAGGGTGCTTACCTTCGGGGCAGTTCAGGGACAAGGTTGCCGTTGACCCGCACAACGCCCAAGAATCCTCGGCATGGAATCCTGACCATTGAATCCTCGCAGCTTAACCAAAAACCAAACCCGCAGCACCCCCACCCTTAACCCTAAACAACCATCGAAAGACCACCGGGTTTGTCTTGAGGCAAACAGCTACGATGCCCGGTGCTTGGCTTCTGCTTGCCTTCTAGAGCTTGTTTAACGTAGGTTTCTGAACTGCCTCAACCAAAGCTCCCGGCTCAGGCCTTCATCTTCGATCTGCCACATGCCCGGATTATCGGAGCATGTCCCATCGCACCCTTGGCCAAGGTTTCTTACTGATTGTACATCAATTGGGCACGCATCTCCTGCCTAGTCCTGTAATCAGAGAAGAAGACAGACGGACGTGTGCTATAGGGATTTGCATTTCAAGATCTTCGGATTTAGAGGTTGAGGGTATAGCCTTGCGCTGTTTCAGGATCTTCGAATCTGTGGGTTTCGGGTTGGAAGCTTCATGGTTCGTGTCGAAGGTCATGAAGATTGGAAAGCCCGGCTTGCACTTTCCTTGTGCAAGCGCATTGTCTTCGTTGCCATGTTTGTTGCATCTGGACGCGAAGCTCTTCGAAGAAGGTGATGTTACAGGTTTGCTTGGATTCCTGTTGCAGACACGTGGGTTCACTCAATGTTACTGAGTGGTGGTCAGGCGATAGGGGCGGGCGGCAGGAACGAAACAGTCCTAAACCGTGAAACCACAGCTCCTGAACAAGCCAATGAGATATTGCAAGACTCTTTAAACTTTTCAAGATGTTCAGGCACTTCTGCTGTCATATCCTCAAAACACGCTCCGAAGCACACCAGTCTAAACCCCCACCCCACCCCACCCACCCCTTGCCCCCGGTGGAGTGCTGAGTGCTGAGGTGGGGCGTCGTGCACAACGGAAAGGTCGCCTTTCCTTGGGCTCTGGAGACGCTCACGAAGCTCAAGGAGCTGAGGCTCTGAGCCCGAGCTTTTAAAGTTTGGGCTTAAGTCTTGCGAGCGTGGCGCATGGAAGTCGCTTTTAGCATCTTCGTACGCTTGGGTTTCTTTAGGCTTTGGGATGGAGGGTTTTAAGGGTTAGCGCCGTTAGCGCCAGGCTTGGGTAAACAAAAGAATCATGCCTCGGGACATGGGCGCGCCAAATCGCATAGAACCTGATATTCCGGACTCACCCGCAGCGTAAAGGGCTTGAAACTGAGCGGGCCGTATAAGCCCTAAACTCCTATATAAACCCCGAACCGTGCACAGACTCAAACCTGAAGCTTGGTTGATGAGCTAGATCACCTAGCAAGGCCGACGGGGGATGGGGGTTAGGAGACTGTACTTCCTGATAAGCCCTTGTTACGGGTACTAAGGCCCCTACTACCCTTTGAAGGGTCTTTGTGGTAAGTCCGATTTAAAAGTGTTGCTCAGATTTCTACGGTCTCAGGTTGTTGTTCTTCACCATAGTTGCTCTGATAATTCCCGCGTCCGCAGAGTTGAGGTGGCCTTCGTGGGTTAAGCTATGTTCTGAGCATGATATAGATATAGTCTATAGTGTTGGTTATGGCCTTTTCTAGCTCGTATCCGAATTACGTGTGATTTATGGTTGTGTTTCTTTGGTATCTTGCAGTTGAACTATTCCTTGCGCGAGTGTGAGGGTTCTTATATATCTCGTACGTAAGCCCTCGACTGTCTCCAACCAGCCCTTTGCTCGAATCTCGAGATCTTCTCGAGACATCTCGAACCGTTAGCCCTAAGCATCACACCTTGAAGCCCTCCCTGAAACTCTCCTCCTCCTTCGAGCAGGAAGCCTGTACTTTTTTTGTCGAACTCCTCTCGCCGGCGAGAGCCAGAATCTTGGGGGTATAGTCTAGTTTCTTCAGTTGCTTAAATATGTGGTCTGTGTGTGTGTGTGTGTGTGTGTGTGTTTTGTTGGGGTTGATGTTCAACTTGGGAGAATCTGTTTTGGGATATACATGTTGTAGTGTGTAAGGATTACAGTTTTCTGCTTGCATTGCTCTCCCAGCCTCTTTATGTGCACCTGGGCTTTATGGCACAGCCACTACTCGTAGCACACGAAGCTAGAGACTCGGGTGCAGGTTCAGCAGGGCTGTAATGTTTCTCTGTAATGTATCGTTACACGAGCTTGGATATGCTAGTAGCTTGTGGTCCGAAAGTTTGAGTTGAGATATGTGCGAGCCAGGCGATTGATGCTCGGGCTTTGCTTAGCATGTTTGGAGTGCACCTGTATGTGTGTACGTATGTGTGTGTGTATATATATATATGTATACACACGCATGTGAACCCTAAAAACATGTATTAACGGAGACACTACGAAGCGGCACAACAGCCATGTACCAGGGTTCAGGTCTGACGGTGGCAATACCTCGGAAGAGAGAGATTTGTTCCGTTCCGGACGTGTCAAGACCACCGAGGACAAACAGTGCGGCTTTGCAGCGCCTCGGCGTCGGTCCGAGCCCTAGGACTCGTGCGTTACATTACAGTACTTCTGCTTCCAGGCCCTGAGCCCGAAGCCCCGAATGCTGGTTCTTCCGGCTCGCGTCAGCAGTTGAACCGAGGCATTCCGACAGCTGTATCTGAAATCTCTGTTCCGGTGCAAGCAGTGGGGGCTTAATAGCTAGATTCTAACATTCATTACATCAGACCTGCAACAAGCACCATGATGCTTTGCCTCGTTTCAACCAGTCTATCTCTATACCTATCTAACTATCTGTATGTACGTTGTCATGTTATCATCACTGTTACTGTTATCAATAGTAAGCTAGATTGGCACCATAATGCATTTCTTCATTTCACTATTACACACATATATAATATCTACAAAACAACATAAGTGCAAGTATGCGTGTATATGCATATACATATATATATATATATATATATATATATATATATATATGGGATCGTGACCCTTCTGGTTGACCTCCCTAAGGCTCCGAGCTTTATGTGGACCTCATCACCAGTGGTGAAGTAAGCTGGCAGATTCTTGCAGGCTGGCAAAGCCACTTGAGAGCTGTGTCGGGGGTTGATCTTCTAAAGGGTTAAGGTTCGGGGACTACTTTGGTTCGGAAATTAGGTTTGAGGTTCAAGGCTTGGAGCGCGAAGCTTCTGGGTTTAAAGCTTATCTTGCAATCCTTGGAGGTGTGTGGCTCACACGAGGAAGCCTCAACCCCCCATTCCTTAAGAAAGCACGGCGCTGAGGTATGAGGTATAGCATATATCACAACGACTGCACTTGCTGTTTTGCCAAGAAGCATGTGCGGCCTGAAATCCTTATATATAGTCGCGAAGAACAATCAAAGATGCTTCAGAAATCCGAACTTTAGTCTTCCGAATCTTGCGGTTGAGTACTGGAAGCTTGCGATCCGATCCCTTGGAGCGTCACAAAGAAGCGCTTCAAGATGCGCTTAAAGGCTTTGGGTTTCGATGTTTCCGGAGTGCAGGACCCCGAAGTCGATATGTTTGGTATACCCATAGGCTCCATCGTAGTTCCTTTTTTGGGGCTCATATTTAGAATTCTAGTAAGGTAATCCCAAAAAGGAACTACTGTGGAGCCTCTGGGTACCCGGCGCCTCTGGGATCCAGGGTCTCCGGAAGCCGATGTGGCAGCCTGAGATGGTGTGATGTTCTCATGTCGGTCTAGGGTTTAGGGTTTAGGATTTGGGGTTTAGGGTTTAGGGTTTAGGGTTTAAGGTTTAGGGTTTAGGGTTTAGGGTTTGGGGTTTGGGGTTTAGGGTTTAGGGTCTGGTCAAGAATCTAGGGTTTCACCTTGGTGCTTGTTTGTGTTGTTGGATCTCATTCTCAGCGTGGTTGCTTGCCATCGTCTTCGGCTGAATTCAAAGGTTTGCCTCTAGTTGCGCCTGTGCTTCTCATTGAGCCGGCTCTTGGGGCACAAGCGGTTTACCTAGGGCAGCCTGCAAGCAAAGGGCACAGGCGCTGCATGCGCTCTTCGTTTCAGTACATGGGATAGTTTCCACCGAATTCCTGATCCAGTTGTTCGAAATATCGGAGTTAACACATGCGGAAGCTTCTTTCAATTCAAGAGGCAAGGACTAAGTAAAGCCTGTAAGGCGTATAAGGTTTTGAGAGTTGGGTGACGAAGTGGCTTAATTCATTGAGCCAAATCCTGCTACTACAACTCAAGGTTATTCATGTTTAAACAATTCCCACATTGACGCCGAAGCCAAAGCATGATGTGGGAGTTTCCGAAAATAGGGGACCCTAATATAATACCCTAAATAGTAGGACCTTTATTATAAGGACCCCAAAATAAGGTACCCCCTATTTTCGGAAACTCCCATGTTAATCCGCAGGCACTTAAAGTTCCCCCGGAAGTTCGTGACTCAAAGGCTGGGGGGCAGCTGATATCCTTTTGCTGAGTCACAGGGATGTGATTGAAGGTTTGACTACCCATAGGCCCCAAAGTAGTTCCTTTTTGGGATTACCTAATAGGATTCTATATACGAACCCCAAAAAGGAACTACTTTGGGGCCTTTGGGTAGTTCCATCACAGGACTCCGTCTCCAGAGTTTAACCATGGATGCGTAGTGTAGAGGTGCGTGTTTGTAGAGTGTATACATATACCAGCTGTCGGAAATGAGTGTTTTCTCCTCGGGCTCTGCGGTGTTGGAGTTTGCGGCAAGATACCCTCGCAAGCTTTCAGCTGTAAGGTCATCCCTTGCAACTCAACTTCAGACCATCCCTACACCATAACCCCGAGCGATCCTAAAAACCCGCAGTTTTTCCTGCATGCGAGCCTCCCGTACACCGTAAAAAGTCCTTTTCAAGCCCCCTCTTCTCCTGAAATTGGAGCCTAACCGAAAACTGCAGTTAAACGCAAAACCCTCCACCCTAATGACCTGGCCAGCGCATTCTTACCTTCGGCAACGGCGAGGATGACACGAAGTGCACTCGCTCGATCAATACACGGATATTTATGGTTGTGTTTTTTCGTGGGGCCGACTAGGAATCCAAAGCCGGATGTCTTGCCTGAGATTTTGCAGTGTTTTGGCAAGCTTCTTGCGTGGAGTCCAAGTGCTGAGCTGGAAGCTCCTGTATTACCTGCAGACGAAGGTACTTGCAAGGCTTCTTGCCGCAGCGGGCGCTCGCCGGGCGCTTAGGCATTTGCGAAGGTAATGACGTGCTAACAACCCTCGTGTGCGTGCGGAACAAAGTATCTGGAAATAGGGTTCAGGGATCGGGGCCAGTTGCAAGATCACACTGGGAGATTGAGCATGATTGCAGATCCTTTTTAGGGTAGAGGGTAGAGGGTTTAGCGTAGAGCTTGCAGATCTCTGCCACAAGGTTGGTGGGGCAAAATGGGCAAACCGAAACCCTGACAAGCCAACCCTGGTAAGGTACGTTCGGCATTCAGGTACTGCAACAGCTTTCTTGTAACAACTGGGACGTCACGTTTTCTGCCAAGCCATGCTCGGCAAACCTGCCAACACCTACACGACAGCCTATGTCTTCTTTCTAGAGGATACAGGATGAACATGCCTTTTTGGGTGCTTGCGGCAGGCTCCTCACAGGTGGACATCTGCTTGTGCCGTTGCTTCCCGCTGACATCGGTGTCAACCCACCAAACATCCATAAACATCCTTGGACCATACTCAAGCCATGCGCACCCCTGATAACAACCGTGGGCCATGACAAATCTACAAAGCCCCATCGGGCACTGTCCAACCCCATGGAAGACAAAGAAAATCGGCTGTTGACTGCCATCGAGGCTGCCGCAGAAGAGGCAGCTCGGGGGAAGTGATCGAAGTCCTTACCTTGGGGTTTATGGGTGCAGGGCTTGGGGGCTTGGGAAAATCCGTATCCCGTGCTCAGGCACTTAGGATTCCAGCTCTGGTTTCTAGTCTGGCAACCAAAAGCTTCTAACTGAGTTCCGGCCATAGCGATGTTACATGGCCTCCAGAGCCATTGCTCCTAAGCCTAACATGTCATTCAGACTCTCAGGGAAGCTTCCGAAAATACTAAACATTACAAAACCCTTATATAGCACTACCTAAATCGTAGGATCCTGTGTTATAAGAATACCAAAACAAGGTACCCCTAATTCGTGGAAGCTCCCAAAACGTGTATCTGAAGGGATCCAATGTTCCGGGCCGGCCTGAAAGTTGGAACACTGCGTTTGGGTCACGTCGAGCATTGGCCAGGCTGATTTCAGATAGGGCCTACATAATTACCAATATCATTTTGGGGGCTCTTTGTCATAAGTATAGTATAGTATAGTGGGCCCCGACACCCTATTCTAATTATTAAGGCCCCCTATATTAGGGCCGGTCCTTGTTCGAGTGAGGCGGCATTATCAGGTTGCGGAGACACCCCCCACGTCTCTTAGCATGCCTGCCTGTTCTGTCAGATGACTCACAGCCGACAGCTCCTGTTTTTGTAGGCGTCAGCCTCGCAGGGTTTCCACTGGATCTGGATCTTTCTGTGCTTGGGCTGTCTTCGGAGCCTCCTAGACCCCAAACCCATCCAAACCCCACTCCTCACCTGCAGCGTCCGAGCTGCGAGTGCCAACCCCACTGCCCTGAGAGCAGGCAGACTTGTTGTTGGCTCGGGGGTGCTTTGCCCTATGCGATGGTACAGAGGCGCGCCGTTGCACTTGTGATCCTGGGGAGCATTGTGAGATGAGCTATACTCATGCAGTGGTAAGGAGGGCTGTCGGGCCTGGGCTATCTTCAATCTTCGGACACTCGCACGCAGCTTGATGCACACGATTCGATGTTCGGTGTTTCACGCTGCAGCTAGCAGCGATTGCTGCGGGCTTGACGAAGTGAGATCGAGTTCCTGCAGGTACGACCCAATACCGACAGACCGGGTTTGGCAATTGCAAGCTTTGCAAGTCGGCAACTTGGTTTCCACATTGGACGTGTTTGTCACCACCCACAGTGCGTAGATTTCTCACCGACCCAAAACAATGTCGTGCTGTGTTCATGCGCGTTGCTAATAGCATGCTACAGTATACTTTCATGTTCTATATAGAAACTACCATGTTGCATAATAGACCATACAAATTCCGGTCTTTGTATCTCCTGGAACCCCGCTTGTCAGGAACGCAGCTGCGAGATGAAGGACTCTTCCGCGCGCTGCACCATCACAGGGCCACTGCCAGGGTGCTTTCAGAAGAATATGATTTCACATATTTACATATTATGATACAGTAAACAATGTAGTCTTTCGAAGAATATAATACCGTTTGATACATTATAGTACAGTAGTTCTGTCGCATTCTGTCTTGGTGAGCCAAAGCACTGCCGCCATCAAGAGCTGCCCGACCCGGCTTAGACTTACCCCCGATGTTCAAGCCAGCAACACGGATCACAAGCAATTCGGGTCGGCAGGACCTTCGTGGAAAGCTGCATTCCAACATGTCCTGCAGACAAAACTCAGCTACTAAACAACTTCAAGCATGCTCGGACTGGCTGCTTTCGGTCCGAACCCGAGTTTTCCAGCATGGCTGGTTTTGGGGCGTGAGAGTTGTAGCTGGATAGCTTGTTCCTGGTTTTGGGGGAGTCGAAGAACAAAGACGTGGTATAGTTGTTCCAAGACATGAGATTGCTGACGCAATTTCCGATTGATAGAGCTTTGAACGTCTCAAGGCCCAAACGCTTACAGGCAATGCCGCAAGGGTTTCAGTTTGAAGCCAAGCGCTTTGGATCCTCGTAGTGTTGGACACTGCAACCTGCAGCACCAGATCGCCCCCGGCAGCGTTGAAACCCTAATGTAGGAACCTGAGTAAGAACCAAAATAGTAGGATTCATATGAACCCTAACAAAAGGCCCAAGGTTCCTACATTAGACCCTCAACCTCTGCCTGGTTCTGCCAAGAGTGGCAAGCAAAAGCCCTACAGGATCTCGCCTGGCTTGTCCGAGATGTGAGAGTGTAAACAAGTCCCAGGCCCAAAACCGTTGCACCCTAAACCCAAATCCCAAAGACAAAAAAGCTCTTGCCCAAAAGCTATACACTTTAAATCCAAAGCTAGCTTGTTGAAGGACTTCGATGCGCCCCTGAAGGTGGCAGCAGCTCGACAGGCTTTGCGGGGATCTCCGGGTGGTGAAGGGGCTCTTTTGTTTCGAGTCCCCTTCTTGACGAAGAGTTAGGCGATTCAAGCATCCCAGAGCATGGAACTATACAAAAGGCTGGATCCTAAACCCTAAACCCTGAAACCTAAACCCTAAAATAACGATCATGTTCCCTTTGAAAGTTGCAGCCTCGAGCCGAGAGGGCTAGGATAGAAGTAGTTTTTGGTACGGCAGGGTCCTTGGAACGTTTAACCTATGCCTTGTGTAGTCGTTCGACATACCACGCCTTTTGTTTCGAAGGCCCGCAAACGAATCTTCGCCCTTGCTAAGTAGGAGAGAAAAATCCTCCGCTTTCGTGGAAGAAAGGGGCTGGTGGTCTGAGCCACTCGCAATGTGCCAGGTCTGTGTATTCTACAACTACGAAGCCCAGTAGTACCCTTATTCCCTTTTTGTAGTCCTAGGTTCCTTATAAAGTTACCCAATACCAAAAAGAGAGGCCTTTTTAATCTGAGGTTGCTGGGTATCCTAGACAAGCTTTTGGAAATAGTTGGGTTGCTTTGGGATGTCCCTCGGCTCGGCGCCGCTATAGTAGAAGCCAGAAATGTGGAACATCATTATCATCATGCCCTTAAGGTAAAGTATAAGGGATCCTAGCACTAATCCTCCCAAAGCCGTGTTTCAACTTTCTGGCTTCTACTATACAAATATTGATCAACACTTGCGGATGTGCACGTGCTGCACAGCACACTGCTAGGGTTTGCGGCTTGTGGGGTAACTACGTGTTCCTCACGTTGTACACTCGTCGGGTCGCCTGCTGAAACTACTGAGTCTTTCTCCTGGAATGGAACCGATCAGAGGACCCCCCAGCAAGGCAGACTGCTCCAAGAATCAGAAGCCAAACGGAGCTTGAGGTAGATGCGACAGGAAACGGGCTCGTGGAAAAAAGAGTGGGTTTAGGGTCCAACCTCCGCCTTATACAAGCCCCAAAAGAATCCCAAAAGACCTCATTTGGCCTATCCGAGTTGTGAGAGCGTAAACCCCAAAGTCTTCATCAACAACCTACACCCTCCAACGCGCAATCCCTAAGCCGTAATATAGGGGCCTTAATCATTACTGATACTAGTTGGGTGTTCCTTATGGTAGTTATAGTATAAGAGGCCCTAAAACCCTGTTCTAATTATTAAGGCCCCTATATTGCAAATCGCTCAGGTGCCCATGCTAGCCCGGAGCCCAGACTTGCACCAAGCGTACATGGGGAGCTAATTTCGGTGTAGCCCTTGTTTGTTAATTTACATAGAAATGAACGACAATTAGATAGATCTGGATCTTCGGATTTTAAACAGGGTGCGGATTTTCACATGTCGGAATAGTTTGTGGATTTGCAGTATTGGAACGAGTAGCCTTGCTCTGATCTTAAGAACTGAGCCTGTGAAACCTCGAACATAAATGCCCCAAACTCGGAAACCTGCCCGGCATTTACAACTTTGAGACGAGGTCAGATGTCTGGGTGTTGCCTGCTATTTCATGTCCGGGCTAGAGTGAAGTATCGAGGCCAACACACACGAGGAACTTTGTGGAGACTCTGTGTGATGGGCAGAAGTGGCAACTACAACAGAGTTTAAACTGTTTCATACAGAGGCCTGAAACAGTTGCCTATACCCTTTTTGACGGTTCCTTATGTAATTATGGTTGCAGCAGAATGGGCCCCGAAACCCTAGTCTAGTTCTTATGGCACCTACATTAGAATCTGAGCCCTATCATCTCGCAGAGGCGAACCCTGCACCACACCTCCTTACAGGGAACTCCAGAAAGTTGGAACATGGTTTCATGGTAGGATACCCTATAATTTACCATAGAAGGGTTAGGATAATCATGTTCCAACTTTCTGGCTTTTACCTCAACCTAAACCATACACCCGGAACCCATAAGCCATGAACTCTAAACCCTCAGAGGTGGCGAACCCGGATGTCGTGCGCCCAGATGGTGTGGCGAGCCCCATGCCCGGGAGGCCTATTGGGGGACTCGGATCCTGACCTTATAGGGGTAGTTGTCAAAATTTGGGTCCCTGTTTGGGTACCCCAAATATTGGGTCCCGTATTTTATTAGGGACCCAAAAGGGGCCATAATTTTGACAACCGCCCACAGGGTTTAGGGTTTAGGGGTCTTCGGATCTTACCAGTAGGGGTACTTAGAAATCTTTTGTAATTTTTGGTTCCTACAAGTCTACTATCCCTAAGAAACAGCTGAAATTGTAATTTCTTCTGGGTCTAAGTTCAGTATAGGGATGCCGACCTCAGTGGTCGCTCTGAGGCTGTCAGGGATGAAGAAGTGGCGCTGTTGGAGGTTTGGGGCTAGGGCCTGGGGATTTTGGAGCAGGGTTCGGGTCTAGTGCAGCTTTGAGGGTTGGAGTGTACAGCATACTACACCCTAAAAGCCTGAATCAATTCCACGACCTCAGCGTCTTCGAGGCTCGGGCTACCGTGGCCACCACCATCATCCCGAACCCGAACCCTGAACAAAGCCCAGACCGCTTCACCACTTCCCTCCAAGCATCTCTGATTGGTACTGTTGGCGTGAGGCTGGCTCGCCGGTACAAGGAGCTCGGTGGGTCCGCAGCTAAGCATACCCAATTGACACCTCGTGAATGCCTATGCTCCCTGTCGCCAATACGCAGGTGGCAATACACAGGTCGACGTAGGTCATAGGTTATGCCGATGATTGTTATTGCTGCGGTCAGTAGATGTACCTACGTCCGTAGATGCTACTGAAGGGCACCTCTGTGCTGAGGCCTGATGCTTTCTTCGTTGGCAAGCCGGGCGCCTACCATGTGCGTGGAGTAGTCCCATCTCCAAACCCGGAAAGAAAGTTACATGTACATGTTCAGTAGTGCTTAACTCTCACAGCAAGTATCTTCATCTGTTCGTTGCTTTCGTGATAGTTTTTCAATGTTTTTCAAGTCTCTACACCTGTGTCGTGGTGGAAACGTGAAAAGGAGTAGCAAAAGCCGTAGCCCTAGCAGTAAAGGGAGTCTTCGTCGTAACGGTAGGTGAGGTCGCCCCCGTACGTGCAGCAGCATTATGTACTTCAGAAGGAGCAGTGGTGCGACTGCGAGGCATTGTGTCATCGTTGTACGTGGTCGTCCTCGCAGTAGCCGTCGTGGTTGTCGTCGTTGTAGTTGAAGGAGGATTGAAGCACTCTTGCAGCAGTGGTCGTGGCAGTAGCAGCGGCAGGAACAGGGTGTTTAACCATGGTGACACTAGCAGTAGCATGCGTAGCGTCAGTAGGAAAGTTACTCTCGGTAGCAGCAGCAGCAGCAGCAGCAGGAAGAGCAGCAGTAGTAGCAGTAGCAGTAGCAGCAGCAGCAGTAGCAGCACTGGCAGCACTAGCAGCACTAGCAGTAGTAGCAGTAGCAGCGGTAGCAGCAGTAGTAGCAGTAGCAGTAGCAGCAGCAGCAGCAGGAGGAGTAGTAGTTGTTGCAGTAGTAGTAGTAGCACGTGGCGTAGTAGTAGTGGCAAACCCAGCCCGCGACACCCGCAAGGCCCTATCCGGCGGTGTTTGACCTAGCGGTGCAGAGACTGCAGGAGGCCCTTGGCCCTTTCGGAGCCACAGGCCATCAAAGGCTTGGTGTAGGGTTTGCTTGGGGTCAGAATGATTGGGCTGGTGAACCATCCAACATGAGACTTCGCCATCCGCAAAGGCTAAAGCAGGCCAAATGCTTGCAACGTGTGCGCGAAGAGGGTCAGAAACGCATCGTTTCTTTTATGTTTTTTTGTTCGTAGCCGGGCATCAGAACCAGTTCAGACTTGTGTAGGGCCTGTGTCGGCAGAACTTTGAAACCCAAGCTCCAAGGGCAACTGCCACACTCAGACCCCTATGCAGGCAGGTGTTCCTGCAGACGCTCGAATATGCATGGTTGGTGATTCTGCCAGAGCCTGAAACTGCAGTCGGGAGATTTGTTAATCGTTGCAGGGACTGATCATCTCCGAGTGTTGCAGCGGGGGCACGAAAGTGGTCCATGGTAGGAAGACAGCCCGCAATTGTTCCAAACTAGACTTCTCTTTTCAAAGGACCTCCTTCGGTTGAGTGGGGTGCAGGGTCCAGGTAGTCCGGTGGTGTCCGTTCTACAAGGGCCGAGGATGTGGTCATCCATATGAGCCAAAAGTTGCATACCCTCTTGGGAATTCCTACTTACCACGAAGCGGCATGTGCACATCCCCCAGATGCCTAAATCCCGAAGTTCAGCTTTCCCCTTACCCGTGAAGCCAAGCAGGGAAACTCCATGTGAGTGTTTGTCAAAATTGTGGTCCCTTTTTGGGTACCCTAAATATTAGGTGCCGTATGATAACAAGGACCCAAAAAAGGGACCCTAGTTTTGACAATCACCCATGTGCTTGCATGTGTTTGGTGTTGAGGGCTTCTGCGCGAGCAACTGGGTCGGTCCCAGAGCATTTTGGTCAGTGTTTTTCCGGGGGCGTGGGACCGATGCAGGAGGGTTTAGGGCGCATGGATGCGCATGGGCTAGCAGAAAGTCGCCATATACAGATGTTGCATGGCTGGGCTTGTGCGGAAACCCGCAGCCAAGCTTGTTACAACAAGCTTGTCTCAGCCTCTTGATAAACTCAGAGATGTTTCATGAGCATTTCGTTTCGTGAAAAGTTTGAGCTTTCCTCCGTATGCTGAGTTGCCACAGCGAGTGGAAGATACTCATGCACTAAACTGCGACCCATGATTTCTCAACCCTCGTCTTTCCGCCATTAACAGTCGATGTCGATGCGGAAAATGGGTTTCTTCGGCAGACTTTTTGCATCTGCCACCGACGCAACAGAGATGCCAGGCTTGGCACGATGTGCGTGGGGCTCGCAGCTACGGTTTGGACGTGGGGGAACCTGGACTCAGCATTCCGAAGATGTGCTTCCAAATCCCAGAAGCATTTGACAACGTACTACACAGGCCTGAATAGCCGCTTTTTAAAGGGGGTCTATAATAAGGATTACTAGAAGGGCCACTATAAGCGTGTTGATACAGTGGGCATTAATTATTAATTTCCTAGACTATCCTTCACTATGTTTTATATATTTGTTTTTTTGGGGGGTCCTTATTCTAGATATAGTATCATTGGCCCCAAAACTCTATTCTAATTTTGAAGGTGCCTGTACTAGGGCTGTTGCGTTTTCCATCTTGACAGCCGTCACAGGCGGCGTACCTGCATGAAGACGATAATAAGACCGTTTACGACCCCACATACCCGGTGCTTTTACTGATGTGACGATGACTATGCGTGCATCGTTCTCATCACAATCGTCTTATTCCCTCTCCTAATCACTATTAAATTAGTAGGTCTCGTCCGCAACTCTATCATCACGCTACCATCGCGGTCGCCATCACTATCTTCATCATCGTCGGCACCGCCATGAACATCAGCATTTCCAACATCGTGACAGCTGGTGACGTGACTGTGCTTCCCTGCTTGTCTCCTTTGCTGATCCTCGCACAGCAAAACTAAGACCATCCTGGAACCAAAGTCCCACTCGATTCTACCCAAACCCAGAACCCAAATTCCTGTGAAGCCGTACATCATCCTGGAACTCCGAGTAAGACGCTAGCTGCCCCTCAACCCAAACTCCGGCATACTACATTGAAACTAGTATAGTCGGACCTGACCCGTAAAAGAGGTCTTCACCATTGTTTGTTGCATTCTTGCTGAACACCGCACACATAGTGTGAGTTTCTCTGCTACTTTGTCGGTGAATCGATCAACTGCGGCGACTGCACGCAGTTGGATGCTGTTACACTGTCAGATTAAAGCATCATGATCGCTGCTGCTCCGACACGGCATTGATTTACTTCGGCTTCGTTCTGAGTGCTAGAACCTGCATAACATCACAAGAGCAACTCATTTGTGTGCTACCGCCCCCAAAACTTGCCACAATGCTGATAGCACCGTGTCGGAAGCACTCGACCTGATCAGCGTTTGTAGACTGCGTATTCTGGAGCCGGCAAAGACCGAAAGAGTGCGCAGCTGCTTGACAGGTTGTGCTGCTGTGCAGCGGGGTCCACAGCCAGGCCTGCTCTGATATGCTGCGATGCTGCTCATAAGTAAGTAAAGGGTTGCATCCTGTTTTGTGCGGTGCTCTGCACGTTAGACACAGCCTGCTTGTCCGATTGAGGCTTTGGTTTGCTACGCGGCTTTTGCCGTTGCTGTGTTCTGACCACGCCATGATGTCCATAAAGCTCGTGTCTGCAACTGGACAGCGGATGTAGTTAGATTATGTCTGGAGCCTATACCCTCAACTCAACTGCGTGCAAGGTGCTTAAGCACCCTTAGACCATAAGCAAGTGTTGGTGCTTTGACTTTCAGCATGTTTAGGCCATCCACTTACGGTCATTTGGCCCTCTGAACTCCGAACTCTGCAGAAGATCATCATGAACGGGAGCCTAGTAGAGTAGGCAACCTTTAACCTTTTTTGGGTAGTATAGTCCCTGTATAATCCCTATATACCCAAACAGGTTAAGCTTTAGCTCCCCATGATACCCGACCCTATATCCTCCTAAACCCCAAACCCTAAACCAAACCCTGAACCCTAAACCCTAAACTAAACCTTGAACCCTAAACTAAACCCTGAACCCTAAACCCTAAACTTGTGCGAGAGTGAGCGTCGAAAACCCTAAACTAAACCCGCATTCAACTCGCGGCTGACGTGAGGCCCTGGGGATCGATCAAGCGCCTGCCGAGCCTCGCAGGGTCCTCGGAGGCGGTGCCAAAGCTGCCTTTGGGGCACATTTTGGGCTTAGTGAGGGTTTGTAGGGATTAATTATTCACATGTTTAGCTTAGTGAGGGCTTAGAGTTTAGGGATATAGATTAGGATAGATTAGGATAGCTTAGAGAGGGCTTAGAGCTATAGATTATGGAGCATGTCAAGGAGCGCTTTCAGGGCTTGCTTGTGTATTTGGGCCTGTCTTTCAGCGACGGAGGGCTTGTGCAGAGCTGTTAGCAGGGTTTGTCGATGGTTTACTTCCGGGTGTTTGCAGGTTTAAGCCGGGCTATTTCGGTCGGGTACATACATATTATGTTTCAGGTGCTGCCCCAAACCCGAAACCAGAAGTGGTCTCAAGCAAGCCTGACCCTCAGCTTCGTGCGAGCGTGCGTGGCGAAGTGGTCTCAGGCTCTCTTTGCGGTCGAGGCTCAGAATCAAGGTGTGAGGGCTTGTTGTTGAGCATTTTCGATTTTGCTGTTTTGTTTGCCTCCGAAGCCCAGCTCCAGTTGTGTAAGTATATATATATAGACGATATTTATGTATATCTATATATATATATATATACATGCATACATACATTCATACATACGTACATACATACATATGTAATTGCATATTTAAAACACAAACACCTGTATACACACATGTATACACATGTATGTATGGCTTTTTTGCATTTGCACGTATTTGCGTGCATATATGCATATGTGCGTGTTATTGTTATTTTTTGGTTGATATTGTCACATTGCCTTTGTTGTTGTTTTATTGTTGTTAGTATCGTTAGTAGTTGAAGCACTACTACTATATACCCAAAGCTTTCACACATGTGACAATTTTGTGCTTTTGCAGTCTGTTGAGTACGACACTCATTTTAGAAGCAGCTGCGTTTTAGGTATCTTTGGTTTGTGCAGCGTGGGGTTTCGAATTCCGAACCCGAGCTGATTTACCATGAGCTTTTGCAAACCTAAACCGCGCCTTCCTCATCCACAGCTGCATTGTGAGTCAAACAGGAAACACAAATATCTTACGAATCCTCCTCTGTCTATCAAAGCTTGACGATCGAACCTGCACAAAAATCATCTGTTCTCGTAGGGCGAAGGAAATTAGCAAGTATTATGCACCTTAAGAGTTCCCCTGTCCTCTCTGAGGGTGTCCGTCGTCGGAGCGCTGCTGGGCGAAGGAACAAGTATAGGTTTAGGCCATTACTACTTCTGCCACTGCTACTGCTACCGCTACTGCTACTGCTACTGCTACGACGACTGCCTGCGGCTGAGGCTACAGCCACAGCTACGACTACGACTTCGAACACTGTGACGACGATTGCTACTACTCATGCTGCTGCGGCTGCTGCTGCTGCTGCTGCTTATAGAACTACCAAAAAATCCTAATGAGGCTTGAAGGTTGAGGATTCGGAGGCTTCAAAGTTGAAGTTTCAACGTGTGAGACACAACGAGTTGTTTCTCGGTTGTGGGGTGCAGGCTACGCATTGAAGACTCGAAGAGGCGATATCGGACTTCGGTGGTGCAAATCGGGCGGGGGATCCAGAAAATTCGCGCAGCTTGATCTCCTTCAGATTAGAGGGTTTCGGATTCTCGAAGTTGGCGATTGACCTTGCTTATGGCGACAAGTAGGTCGGCCTTTTGAGATTTCAGGTGTAGTGCATGGTTTCAACTGCTGGATGGAACTCGGATTGGGCGTCATTGGGGCTTCGGCTTGACCCACCCGAGGCTTGCAGGGCTTTCTTGGTGCGCTGACGGCCGAGGCCCTTGGTATCATCTTGTTTCAACTCTTTTCCATGGTGAGTTTTGTGAGTTGAGGTGGTTCGTGTTCGGGTTCATCATTCCCTCAGTCAAGGTAAGTGTTGCCATAATTCTGTTTATGACGTCGGGCTTTCGTTTCCTATTCCGTGCAGCTCGTGGTTTGAGGTTGCATTGTGCATCGTGGTGAGGTCTGCAGTTTTTAGCCGGTTGCCCCCACCACGCAGCAAACTAGCACATGGCAACCTGTCCACTGAGTACTATGACTGGCGAACACTTGCAACAGCAACGAAAACAAGTAGTACTGTAAGCATTGAGTAGCGGCATCACGAAGTGCTCGAAACAGAAGTAGAGTTCGTCGTTGCGGACGACCTGAGGTTTCGCATGGTGCTCGCCCGATTTTTGTGTCCGATGCTCGTCGCAGAGCTGTTTGGCTCAGGCAGCCTCACGCATGAAGACCCAATGGCTGCAACATAAAGGCACCAGGAAGTGTAGAAGTGTAGCAATAGCAGGGTACCTACCTAGAGCGAATGTAAAGACACCCATGAGACCCCAGACCTGAAAGCTCATCCCATCTAATCCCTATGAAAGGTCACGGCATGGAGCCGTGCAAAGTTGATGTTGTGAAGTTTATGACCACAGTTCCAACGAACCCACACGACGCAAGCAGGAAAACAGTGGCCTCGTACATATTGCAGTGTAAGAGCCCTGGCTCAGCCAACAACTTGAAACCGGCAGCAGGCTTCACAAGCATCGATGTAGCTGTGGAGCTCTTTGCGCTTGCTACCACACATTTGAAGCTGCAAATTCCCACCTCTATAGGGCCCTTCTTTGGGCAGGGTTGCGTTGCTTACCCGCCTGCTGACGCGATGGACACGCTCATTTGCGCAACTTTTCTTTGCACGTTTCCTTTGAACTCGATCGCGGCATGTCTCAGTGCCACAGTGCCTTGCAACGACTTCAGATATGATTGGTTTTGATCCTGCCGACTTTCTTGAGGAGCTTCGCGGGGAGCGCGTCGCTGATCTCCATGTATTCCTCCTCTAGCTAGGCGAAAGAAGCGCAGCAGCGCACCTCCGAGGTGGCTCTCTTTGCATATGGCGGCAGCACTCTCCGGTCTCTTCTGCTGGCCTACTTCTGCTGGATGTTCGTGGACTGATCAGGGTTCGCGGGTTGAGGCCAGGCCTTGCGGAAAGCTGCCTGACCCAATCGAAGGCTACTCATACTTCTCGCGAGTGCCAGCGGTCGCCACCTGTACCCGGCATGTAGTAGGCAGTCTTCGCACGAAACCTCAGCTGACACCAACCGCAGGACCCCTGCCCTGAGAAAGGCGGATATTCGCAGCTTGCAAGCAAGAAGAATGAGCCGCTTGCAGCCATGTGTGTGAACCATGGAAACAGTGCATATGATTTGTTAAATTCTGAGACCCCGGTATCAGTGAGTATCCAAGGAACCTTGGTTTTGAAGAACATGTAATTCCAGGTCATTTTCGCACTAGATACGTTTTGCCGCACCACCTCAACACTTGTGCCACTGCTTGTGTAAAACCCTTTGCAGCTACTGTATACCTAGCTATACCACATTTGTGCTCCACTGTCTTGACTGCTGAAGCAGCGATCAGGCAATCTGAAACACGTACTTTTCTGTTATACTGTCATGTTGCCCTTACTGTTATTACATATGCCTTCTGGCTTCCAGACCCCGCCACCGCGGGAGGCTTTTGTGGAAGCTCGGAATCACTGCCACCCGACGGCAAAAGAGTGTTTTTGTTCTGAGTTCAAGGTGGGCTCAGGGGTTGGAGTGAACGCAGTATGTGTGCATGTCACATCTGGCGTGCCAGCAACAAGGTACCAAGACCCTACACCGTAGACTTAGCGTTACAAAAGAAGCCTAAGTCTAGACCCCAAGTCACGGTCAAGGCCCTCTTTATTCTTGAATCTTCCCTGCCGACAACGGCCACCGTAAGCGCCCAGCACATGTCATAACTTCGACAAGACGGGAAAGAGTGCATGTCCCCTGGGCGCAAAAGGAGGCCCATGTGATTCAAACTTGTCCTCTCGTGAAGAGGTTGGCGCTTCTTCTTGCATTCACGCACAGGCATCGCATGCGTGCTGGTGATTGAGGCTCAAGCAGTCGATGCACGTAACATCATGTAACCATTAACTTCCAGCCGTGCGTGACGGACAGAAGAAAGATCAGATATGTTGGTTTAGTCCAGAATCGCATACTTGAGAAATCGTTGGATGTCAAAGTACATGTCGGCAGTCTGCTTCCGACTTGTTCCATGATCATGTATAGTTCCGGAAGGGCGACTCATGCCAAATGCACCTGACATCCTTCACTCAACGGACTTCCTAGACAAGAGACCCACCAACGTGTTACTGCTGGGCTACTGTTACGGAAGTCATCTAAGTAACCATAAGATGGGTGTATAGTAAATTATAAGGGTTTCCTTATCATACTAACCTGATTAATTCACAATCCCTAACAAACCCCTAAACCCTAAACCCCCAAAGCCAAAAACCCTAGACCCTAAACCCTTCAATCCGTAAACCCCTCAGCAACTCCGTATCTTTGGAGCCCACTGAAACATGGATGAGCGCCATGGCGTCTCGAGCCAAAGCCTTCGGTTTGCTGCTGCTACCTGGATCGCAAGTTTCTAAATGGGAAGTTGCACCGAAGTCTGTTCTTCTCATCATGATTGCTGATAGTCTTCCTCTTGTTGCTATCACAAGTATTTGCTGTTATTGAAAAACATGATATGTCTTGCCATGTGTTGTCCTTTGCCCAGCTCGTGTCGAGGCTGTTGGTGCTCAATGTCATTTGGACTTTATCTTCCGCGTTGGCGCAATACCTGTACGGCGACCTGCATTTTGACAGCCCGCCGCTTTTCAGTGAAGGTCCACGCATTCAAGCACCCTTTGGGTTGACTTTCTGATGGGTTCTCGGCGAAGCCTTGGTTGAGGGTTTTGGACTTTGGGCTCTCTGGTGCCTTACCAGCAAGACTAAGGTGACTAAGGTTCTTTTTCACATACACAGCGGCCTTCAGCTTCGCACTGCTGATCCCACTCCACCACTTGGGGACATGGCTCCTGCCACCGCAGTCTTCGGCTCGGGCTACACAGGAGAGCGCCCAAAGAAAGGCAACATTGCTTTTTTGGGTTTCTGCTTTACGGTGTATGCGGGGTCTGTCCCGGTAAGTTGGAGTGTCCACATCGCACAACTAGTCCCAAATATCCGCAAGCTTTTAAAATCCCAAACCTGCAGGAGGATGAGCCGATCCAACGCAAGCTTGGAGATCGCCACCGTCCTTGGACTCCTCGCGACCACCTGTACGCCGCGATACGGATGATGCCCATTTGGGTACCCTGCTGGCTTTTCTGAAGACGTTTGATACAGCTTTCAGTAGGGACATACACGAACAGGTCCCATGTATAAACAGTTCATGCAAAAGAAGCTGCTGTTCAGGATTAAGGCTCGTCCTGTTGAAAAGTGTGCAGCTATTGCCATTGTAGGGAGTTGAAACGTCGGAAGTTGGAGGCCGGACGTGGGAGCTTCAGGAGATGGCGGGGACTCTTATGCACAATCGGAGTCGGACACTCATAGCACCGATGTTAGTACCATAGTATGGTAATAGTATAGTATTTCACACTAGTGTACTAGGCTTTCTTAAAGTCTCCCGGACTTGCTTGCTTCTTTTTTTTGTTTGGGGGATCTGTGACCACTGGACAGCCCAGACCAACTTCATGACATTCATTCAATCCTGAAGCGCTTCTTGTAGGTAATGCACGACCCCAGGCACCCTGTTTTGCGTAGAGGTGTGTTGCCAGTGGCAAGAGGAGGGGAGAGGTTTGGGTCTAAGTATCCCTGTGGCAAACCTAGATCTTTGCCGAACATCGCTGGGAGTATGTACTCCGTGTACGTTTTCATAGGGCCGTAAAGCTAGCATGTGCTCTCCAACACCTGGACCATGTCACCAGGCAGGGCTGGGCAGATCCATTCAGGAGTCTTGTGCTGAGAGTCTGCGCCTAATGTCCCTGAATTCTCCACACTCTTCACAGACTAAAAGCCCGATATGTTGCCCTTTTCTACATCCCAAGTTAACCAGCACAAGCGTTGCTGAATGCCTCCCAACACATATATGTCCCTCGCTGCAAGTCCCCGACGAAAGGCGTAACTCCTGCTTAGGTACTTGGCAATTTGACTTGGAACATGTCGCTCAAGTCAACTTCTATTGCTTCGGCCACCGCCTTGGACTCCACGACCCAGCATTCGTTTTGGCACTTGTTTCCAGCTTTTGCCAGGGAGGCACTGTAGAAGTAGCTGATGCACTTTATCGTCTTCCACCAAACATAAGTAATTCTTAGGGGTACTTAGAAATAATTTTTAATTTTTGGTCATTATAATCCCTATGAAACAGCTACAATTATAATTTTTGCTAGGGTTCTAAGTTCAGTCTAGAATTGAGGACATCCATTTTTGCGTTCTTGATCGTCGTCCTCATCAAGGACGAGCAATTTGGGTGGAGAAAGGTCTCAGGCTGGGTGCTGATTAAGCGAAAATGCATAGGTTTCCTAATATTTGGGGTACTCATTTTGGGGTCCTAGTGATAAGGGTTAGTTTATTTCGGATCATTTTGGGAGATCTCCATGTGCGACAAGATTCTTGGATTCCGGGCCGTATTGGCATGGCTGCTGGATCTCTGTTATTCCAAACGAGACCTGCTTCACAAGAGTTGATGCTGGGAACACTGTTATGCAACGGCGTTTTTCAATTTGTCAAATTCCTTGATGGATTTCCTAGGCTCCTCCAAGAAACTCATAGCAAGGAGTACTGAGTCATGACTATCCTGATACCTCCAGATTTGGTTCAGATTTGTGCATGCAGCGCCAGGTGTCTTGTTGGGCGTTGCTGGCTCTGTTCTGACATCTCTGCACGATGCGAAGGGCTCGCGGTCCTTGTCTTCAGGCTCCCTTCTGTTGGGTGATCTTTTGGCTTTGGTGTC